GCATGAAAACCACATGGGCACCGCAGAGCTAGATAAACGGCCCGTGACTGCTCATCGAGCTACACAGGTAGAAGGTCATACCCATCCGGCCAAGGTATACGACCCGTCTACTCCAGATTCTCTTGCCCGAATTCATGAACACGTAATGCGTCGCCGACAAGAGGATGAAGAACAATCGAAACGTGAAGAGTTCGAATTTCGTGACGACGATACTACGCCCATTCCTTATCCTTCTTCACCAGAAGACGAGCTAAGCCTAGAACATACCCAACCACCATCTAGGGAAGATACTGGAACCGCTGGGACTTCAGCCTCAGCCTCTACTGGCACGCTGATGACACCTCTGACAAGCCCGAGCGAGTCAACAAGTCCAGTTGGCCTCGGGAGTTTACCAGGCCAGGATGAAGATTCACCCGTCTTCCGCTCGGACCCATCGCTGCCGGCGCTGCTTAGCGGTGCTAGCTCAATATCGGCTGACGCTGAAGGAGAATTTCTTCTGAGGCCAGGCTCTGTTGACCGTCCTTCCCTTATCGATACTACCGACTCGTTAACCCCACCCGCTCTTATAAAGGAGCCGATTTCAGGATTTCCTCTGGAAGATGATGAACATTTCCAAACGCTATTACTTTCTCAGCCCCAACGTTCCTTCGCCACATCATCCCTCCTAACCACGAGAGCAATTGATGATGATGACGGTAGCGACAGTGATGAAGGTCTCGTAATGATGAAGCCTAAGAAGCGAAATCCTGTTAAAGACCACACCAGCTCGCCGCTAGGAAGAACGATATCAAGCGCAAAGAGGCGTGATACGCAAACAAGTATCGGTAGCACAGAAACGGCCAAGAAGATAGTCATGCACAGTTAATAAAGGTTGATGTTGCTACTGATGTTGACGCCTCCGCACGACTACATCAGAGTAACTACTACCTAACTACTATCCTTCGTATATGAGATGAGATACATGAACATGTATCAAACCGATCCGTTCGTATATCGGATGCGGAATATAGCTCTCATTGAGAGCGACATGGTCGAAACGCTAAGCATTTTGCTGCGAATGCAACCAAGGTGGAACGCGTAACGAATATTCACACAGGATCTGGTTTAATCTAGCAGAAATTCTTAACGACCACGAGTGAAGCCTCAAACCAGCTGCGTCGAGGCTATTGAGGTCGAGGCGAGTCGATTTATTTTTACTTCGGAAGGATCAATCACGTCTCTTTTTCGGGAGAAAATGTATAACATACAATTTTTTATTGCTTTGGGATGGTGTCTGGGTGCGACGTTGATGGGACTGAGCACGACGAGATGATGGGACGAGACATGAGCATGCTCGGCGATATCAGGTATGCTTGGCTTCTCGGTCATGCATCAACTACTTTTTACTTCGCGGGATGTGGACATGGCCTGACGACGAAATTGTAAAGATGAACCACATAATCGCGATGTTTGATGCGTGTTCGGGCCCCTGCTTCAATCTTTGTTTATCAATTATTCGGATGAGCCTCCGGGCTTGCTTTTCCTAGTTAGAGATGAACACCACGAAACGGTTCGGCAGCGACCAAATGAACATCAAAAAAGGCATCGGGCAGAAGGGAGTAGGATGATATTCCGGGGGCGGCGGTAATCTGTTTTGAGCGTGCTGATAGACCATAATTTGATATGCATCCTAGCGGAGTTTTCATGGGCATTTTTTACCATTTATACCATCATCTTTAGGTATTGTGTATACAGATGTTATGGTGATTTAAAATTGTTAATGCAGCATTGGTATACACTATTTACATTCAGGAGAACAGCATCGTCAGACCTTAGATTTCTAGTGAGGTTTTTCTTATACATTTGCTTCTTGCCCGTATTATCTAAATTATATCAGGAATGAAGTTGCACGCTTTCTTTCCCTCTATCTTCTATTTACACTCCAAAGGGGTAAGTTTCTCCTTTTGAGAGAGCCTCTTTCGGCTGTGCTATTTCAAATACGTTAACGGCACTCGTCTTGTCAAACCAAACAAATGCATCATATTGTTCGCTGAGAATAGTCTTGATATAATGACTCCATCTCTCAGTACCGGGCCTATATATCACGCCGATGAATCGCTGCAACATAGGCCCGGTCTTCAAGCGGCGCAAGTCAACCATGAAGGAGGGAATTCCAGTATCATGCATCATCCTTTCATAACTATCCTGGCGCGAAGGTACTAAATTCATGACCTTCATGGGCTCATCCCACTCGTCTGCGGCGGCGACGGTCCCTGTGTGCGTTCCACATCCTATTATAGAGACCTCGCCCGGGTAGTTCTCGCGGCATAACTGCCCTAGGTTAAGCTCGCCGCGCCTGGCTCCCATGCTCGACCCCCTGGCGTCTCCCAGATGCGAGTTGTGAGCCCATACCACGGCCTTGGAGCCGGGCTTAAGCTTGAGGAGGCGCGATAGGGTGTTAAACATGTGGGTGTCGCGAATATTCCACGACGTCTTGTCGCCGTGAAACATAGCCCGATAGTACTTCTCCGAGTCGCGGACTACGCGGGCATTCATCTCGGCGTCTACAAAGGATTCGCGGTCCTCCGGGTGCGAGGCTAATTGAATCCGTTTCTTGAGGAGTTCCTGTAACATCTTGATCACACCAGGCTCACATTTAGCCGAGCCGTCCTGGAACGACTTGCGCCCGTACTCTTGCGGGTCGTCAGTCCATGGCTCCAAGCAACCGTATCGCTTGCGAGCCGCGTTGGCGAGGGCTGGGTCGACCTATTTACGATATTAGTACACGATAACTTAACGTAGTCAATAGTTATAAACATGACAACCTACCCTATCAAGATACTCGACCACTGCCCGAATCGAGGACCCCATACTGTAAAGATCAAGTCCGTTAAATGATGTTCTCCGGTTCATGGGCAACTGAGCGTTGTGCTCTCGGAGCCAATCAACAAACTCCTGTACTTCGGCATTCCGCCACATCTAGGACACCATAGGATATTAGAATATCTCAAGAAAACCATACCAAGCTATGGAAATGATATAGCTGGGAATTTCTCATACCCAGCGCGGGAAGTGATCAAAGGCATGAACAGGCACATCCTCAGGCCAACGAGGATATTGCCGCACATAGTGATCGATAGAGCGCGCGTCTGGCCAGTCACCTTCGATAGCCACGTGAGTGAAGCCATGCTTTTCTATCAAACGTTTCGTGATAGCAGCACGCGCTCGATAAAATTCAGACGTCCCATGGCTATTGTAATCTGTTAGCGGGCTGTATACTGCCATCAGAGCTGGATTAGGAATACTAACCTCCCGTCGCCGATGAGAACCAAGCGGGAATTTCCAAATATGTCAAACTTGGCTCCGAACTCGTTGCTCTCTATTGGCGGTAGCTCCTGCGCAGCACTTTTTAGGAGTTTTTGTAGGCCGGCTGACATTTTCTTGTTGAGTCTGAATACCATGTATTTGCAAAATAGGAGGTTGCTATATACAGGTACTTTTTCAAGCTTGTTCTTCAGTAGCGGCTAATTAAGAGGGTACTATAAAGTGAAAAACATTAAATAATTCCAAGCTGATGCATCAAGATCAATTCTATTTATCTTCTCTGGGGTATTGGATGTACTGAAGATGATAGGTATCGGCATCCTTGTGGCGACCCAAAAGTGGGCAAGGCTCAATATATCACATTTCGTCATAACAACATAACAGCCAGATCTAGCCCTCGTGCCCCAACGTACCATTTTGTATATTTGTAAAAATGAGGACAGAACGGCTCCATCAGATGGACGTCTGGGCTATACACGAGTCCTGCTCGCATTACTCGTTGCTTGATAAAAGGGGGGGAGGTCCTGTAAGGCAAAAGTAGTAATCTCGAATCTTTTTTTTCCTACTCAGTTAGAAAGGGTTAGTCTTTAATTTTGGAGTTCTTTAATGATATTAATTGTTATTTGATAGGCCACATCAAATTTGGATAAGAAATTGCGAATAGACAATCTCATAAAAGCTGATGTATCAAGTAAGGGGCATTATTATTTGTGTAAAGCTTTGCATGGAAACTTCTAGTTTAATATATCAAGTACACTTCACAAGCAAGCAACTTGCTATCGAGTTAGGATCAGTGAATTTCTGGTCTAGAGATAGCAAATACAGAATTGGAAACTGCCACGAGTGTTGTTGGGTAGAAGTCAAGTTCACCCTGCTTTAGGTGGTTAGTTGAATTAGAAGATTACCTATCTCAATACAGCATCCTGTTTGGTCTGTCGTCATCTGTTAGGACTAGGACAAGTAAACTACCAAGCACGTCTTGTAAACTCTAGCTCTTTGAACTAGAATATTTAGTGTAGGGGATAATGTGGTTAGAAAATAGGTGATATACTAGAGTGATTTACTAGGTTGGATGGATATCCTTTGTGACTCCGGGATAGAAGAACGACGAGGTCTGTTTGACAGCTGTTAAATCTTGTATATTAGATTAGGATGTACCTAGAATTACTACAGTAACCAAGTGCATTTTACGGTGCGTTATCGTAGTTGTCACAACGCGGCAGCTGCGCTGCAGAAACGCGTCTCGATAAAAATTTCACCATCTGTTCACCACCCGTCGAACTACCTTTTACGTATTTAGGCACCAAAGCACCTTTTCTTTTTGAGTTGCATCTCAACTCTATCCATCTTTCATCGACATAGGATCGGTAGCTTTATCGTCTCCTATAGTTAAAGTGTTCCAAACAAGTCTGATGGTTGCTTTAATTTATTAAGTACAACTTCCATACGATGGCGGCGCCGGATGATCCAACGGCAGCATGGCATAGCGCCGACGGGGAGACTACAAATCTTATTACCAGTCTCGAGCAGGATGATGTACGACAACATCTCGCGTTGGATGATGGCCAACATGCAGAAGGAGAGCCTTCAGACACCCATCTAGCAATGCAGCTGCATGCCGAGGAACTCAACAGTGTCGACGCCATTACCCCTAATGGATATCCAGCTTTGCAGACAGAAGGGGATGACCAGGATGACCAGGATGACCATTACGCCGAATCTGGATCTGAATATGACGATACCCACTACGAAGATGAATATGATGATCTCCACTACTACGAGGAGGATGTGGGCTTGCCTTCTAATAACAATACCTTACAAAGCAGCAACAACAATGCTGATAGAATGCTACTGTGTCTTTCCTGCCATGAGATGATAGCAGTGAAAGACTTGGCAGAAGCACCTTGCCGCCACACGTATTGTCGTGGCTGTCTAGAGCGAATATTCCGCCACGCCATGACTGACGAAGCCTTCTTTCCTCCACGCTGCTGCCGCCAACCGATTCCTGTCGATCCCAACCAGCTTTTCCTCCCCGTGGATTTGGTCTGGGATTTCCGAGAGAAAGAAGTCGAGTTTTCGACACCGAACAGAACGTACTGCCACCAATCAACCTGCTCTGCCTTTATCAAGCATGACGCGTATGTCGGCAACGTTGCAACATGCAGCAAGTGTCAGTCTACGACATGCGTTACCTGCAAGGGCCCGTCTCACGATGGCAACTGTCCTCCCAACGAAGGTCTCCAGGAAGTTCTCCAATTAGCCCGAGATGAAGGATGGCAACGATGCCCCAACTGCCTATCGATGATTGAACTGAACGCTGGTTGTAACCATATAATGTGAGTGTTCCTAGCGATACCTTGAAGAAGCCCGAGCTAATCAGCTAATTACGTCTTAGTTGCCGTTGCGGTACTGAGTTCTGCTACCTCTGTAGCCGGCCCTGGAAGACATGCGGCTGCGCCCAGTGGGATAACGGCCGTTTATATGCACAAGCAAGAATAATTCAAGACAGAAGGGAATTTGCTTACGAGGGAGGCCACAATGATCAGAGAGAGGTTGGTGCAGCCGCAGGCTTTGGCCTAGTTGGTCTAAATGACAACGATGATGACAGACAACGGAGATTTCGAGAGCTTGTCGATAATCTGATGGAGAACCACCAGTGTGATCACACATCTTGGAGAACTGTAGACACAGGTAGCAACTGTGATATATGTGACCATCTTATGGGACTCGTCGGATTCCAATGTGACCTATGCAGACTTCAGGCCTGTGAAGGATGTCGATATTTCCGTCTGTAGGGGGGGAACTAGCAAGACAAAGAGGCGGGAAAGGGTATGGATGCTGCTGATCAACATAACCATAATGACTCGGTGAACTTTTCATCGTTATTTCTCAAAAGGGTTCTCGCATGTGGCAGTTTGCGCGTTGTATTTGAACGCTCCTTTACTTCAGGTAGTCTAGTGGACATGGCTTAATAGAACTAATGCGTTTTTCTTTCAAGTAACGTCACCTTTACTAAGAGCCATGGTGAATTAAAATGCGGATATTGTAACGCTTCGATTTCAACTATTGTAGTAGCTCGATATCCAAGTTCCTAGATAATCTGCTCTATGAATATATCGAAACGAGACTGAAATTATCTCAAGCCTCCCAAGCGGACACACTTATCGACCCAAGATTCCTTCGGCGGCTTCGTTTGCGACCAACCCCACGTCCTCCACGTACTCTCAGTAGTAGCTGTGGCCTCACTTTGCCCTGCGACAGAGGGAGCTACCGGAGGGGGCATTCTCGCATTAGCTGGGGTCGTGAGTCCCTCTGCTCTTGAGCCCTTGTAGAACCCGGACATGAGCTGATTTACGTAAAGAGAGTTGGATCCCCTATCTGGATTTACTGCGGCTTGAGGCATATTCGACTGTCTCGTATTCGGGGCATACATAGAGTTGTTAGATCGTTGCTTTTCATCCATATATGCCCCGTACTGGGACGCATTGCCGTCCTCGGCAGCATACGCAGCCACTATGAGATCATCCATGATTTTCGATCCTGTCCTCCCTCCTGGCCCGCGGTTTGTTGTGTATATTTCCCGCGGCTCTTCCATTTTCTTGAACCCGGAGAAGAACGAGGATCCAGACGTGACGCTCCCGTTTGAGCGGGCTCGGCGCCGTCGGCATTTCCAGAGGAGGAATACTATGGCCGCAGCTATTATTGTTCCTCCTGTTCTTTTTGTTAGTCTTTAGGGTTGCTGAAAGGGGCTTCGTTAGGATAGAGCCTTACCAATTGTGCCGAGTGCTATGGCGCCGTCCTTGCTCATTATACGTGTGGGGGCTTCCGGTTGAGCTGTTTGGGCTTGTGAAGGTTCGTTGCCTTGTGGTAATGCGCTTGGTGAAAGAACTATACTGGTTGAAGAAGACTGAGCCGTCGGTACGCCAATGCTCGTGGCGAATGTTGTTGTAGGCTGAGGAGCTCCAACTTGTTGTGCGGGTGTCTCAGTCCCAGCAGAAGGTGGTGGAAACACATCTTTTGTTGGCGATGGTGTATCTGGCTCATCTTCATCTTCAGATTCGGAATCGGACTCGACATCATCAACGGTATCTGGGACATCGTCGCGAATAAACACCCTTAGGTTATTTGCGCGAGCGCTTCTTCGATAGCTTGAACTCCTTCATCACGATTAGAGCTAGAACACTATAACGGAACTTATCTACTACTTACCTCATTGTGAATACGCAACACTAATAGAATCTCGACAACCTAGACTTGAAATAAATAAACAAAGGGGAAAGACAAGTAGTCAATCTCAACGAAAGTAATTGTTATTCAATTAGGCCCAGCCGTAGATAGTAATCATTAGTGAGGGCGCAGCCCGATATCTCGAAGTGAAGTGAAGTAAAGTGACCTGGGGAAGCACATGTGCTCAGTTGCCAAATCCAGCGCAGGTAAAGATATCAAGAAACACTCTGCAGACGCCATCATTTTAATACATCTCAACCAGTCGTCGAGTTCATTTCCCCATCTCCAGATACGACTGCCCAGACTATTTGAAACCCTCGTTGATGTTTCAAATTCCAACCGCCAACGATGATCACCTTGGCGCCAAGGTTGCCAATACTGATATCTTATTCGACAGAACCAAGAAAGAAATTGTTTCGGCAGCGTAAATTAGTTGGCTACGTGTTCGGACGAATAGTCGTTTTGACATGTGTAGCTATTTTTGGGTTATAACATGTCTCGTCGTAGATGGGATGTGTGGGGGAACAAGGGGATAAATCGTAGACTGGATTTGATTACACCAAGCGTCCCTACCTAGATACCTAGATACGTAAACAATTTTGATATATACAGCTTGCAAGGGAAAACATATAAATGTCGTAAACGTCGTGAATATCGTGGACATATATCCGTAGATCCGTGGTCAAATAAAGTCCCTGAGACTGAGATCCTCTATCCGGTCCGGGGCTTTTCAAATTTCGGGATGTATGGCTGAGAAACCGTCTCTGCTTCGTCTTCAAGACTGTGTGGGCGTCATATTTACTCCCCTCCCTTGTTACCTACCTGTGAATCGTGTAAGTGTCTGAGACATGCCCTTAACACTCGTTGTTCTAGTTACCACCACCTTGGAAGAACTTCTCGTACGCTCCTTACTTCTGTCTTGACTTGGGAGTGTCAACACATACAATTATTCGGCAACGATAATGAAATCAACTTACGTGCTTTCCGCGGCTCACCGTGGGACTTCATACCGTCACGCCAAATTCGTAAGGTCCAACTAGCTACCATGGCATCCATCATCTTCCGCGTTATAGGGGCCGTAACTATCAGTCTATGCTGATTCTCCATCTCATCGTCTACCGCGATACGACTCCCGTCAATAGGATGCATCCACTCATAATGATCGCGCTTCTTGAGTATCTCGAATATCACTTCGTCTCCCTTCAACGACTCCTTTCTAGCTCGGTATCCTTTAGGGAACCCGCTCTCCTTCTCGGGTTTGATCTTTACCACCTTACATCCCGATCGAGGGAAGGATGCGGGTTTAAGCGCGAGGTTTCCGACGGCATGTCGCGATATGGCATCTAAGACGTAAGGGAATCCGGTAGATATCACGGGAGGTAGATGCTTGAGCTCGAATATATGGCGGGTGCGGTGTATAACCCGAGGCGTACCGTTTGCGCTTATCCTTACATTGCGAATTAGACGTTCGAGTGTGACTTGGGCAAGCTGGGCCTCGCTTGTTGGAGATCTCCTGACATCACGAGAGAGCTCATATAACGGAGCACCGTCGGCGGTCTGGGCTCGGATGTAATGGCCGTCAAGTACGAAGATGGAAGGCTGAAGTACATCGTCTCCGTCATTCCGATTCTCTGGGATGTAGGGCGGGGGATCTTCTTCGTCTAGTGATAGAGTTGCCATTATGCAGGCTGCTTCGTTCCTGGCTAGCGTTAGGTACAGTAAGTTGCATTAGACTACCAACGCTGTTATGGGCACGCACGCCTCTTGCGTCACAAGCGATTCTAGTGGACGTTTGAGGCAAGAAATCATGCGGCTCGATGTCGGCTTCAGCGGAATTTAGACGTGGGGTATTAAGCACTGCCCTTATGTTGGGTGGCTTATGTAGGTATGTAATAAGAAAATATGACATCATGAAGACTCAAGTAATGTACCTGATATCCGCAATACAATGGAGAACGAGGGGACAATAAACAACTCACCAATTTGATCATGTTGAAATTGAAACTTATAAACTACGATGATTCAAATCTTGGATTTGTTATAGTGTATCTGGCACTATAAACGACATCAATTTGTGTAATATTTACTTTGTGGCTCACGAAATTCATCTATCAGTACATCTTAGTGATGACTACCTCCTATGTAGGTAGAAATAACAAACAACCTTTGGCCCAAGTTTACTTGAAATGATTTAAATAGTGTACTCTTCGTAGACTTCTTATTTTATTTAAAAATTAAATATTTAATAAGAGTCTCCGGTCGATGATTTAATAAATAGAACCAAGCTAAGAGATGACAATATTATGAAGTCTCTCTAATAGCTAAAAATACGTGGGATTGCAGAGACTCGGACGGTCCCGGACGGTCCCGGACGGTCGGATATGTCGGATTCAATAACCACTGACTCTTGTTGATTGGGTTGAAGAGCCCGTAAACCGTCTCATTCCCAGCCATCGCCGTATAGAGAAACTCTTCTTTACATGAGAAGGCCAAACGATACATTAACTCCCGAACCAGAACAGTTGTATCCGATAATGTGCGAAAAGAATGTCGGCAACTCCTCCGACAAGACATCGCCCCTTACCCCCACCAAATCGAAGACGGGATAAACCTCAGGTGGGTATTATGGGAGAGCGAGTAGCAGTATGTGTAGGTACCTAAACTAATAATGATTGCGTTCAGCTTTCATGTAATTCATGTCGCCGGCGGAAGTATGTTATCCTTCTAACATCGGCCCCAAACAAGTTGCCCTGCTCACATTAGCGTCCAGGGTTAAATGTGATCGACAACAGCCTTGTAGGACATGTACCCTCCGGGGACTTGCCGCTTCTTGCAGTTATCCCCCGGACGCCACATCACGCCCCTTGGACCGTGATGCCAATTCCACAGTGCAGAACCGAATCTGTGAGCTAGAAGGGCTTGTGCATACCCTTATGCAACGGGCAGCATCTAAGAATATCCAAGCACTCCCCGAGACCACCGAAGGATCCCCCGACTCCGAGGCGGGCGCATCGGGAGAGCTACCTAACGGTGGTATACTAACGGACAGCCCCGCTGGCGTCAGCTACGTCGATGGTGCACATTGGACCGCCCTGCTAGACAGCATCTCTGAACTAAAGGACTACTTTCAAGATGGTCCGGAATCAGGACCGCACTACCAGATCCCTTTACAACCTATTCCTGATTATGGACCTTGTCCGTTGTTGCTATACGGTCGGTTTGCTCAGTCCAACAAAGAAGAGATTTTGAGCGTACTGCCAACGCGAAGTGTGGCCGATTCATTGATTTCGAAATTCTTTTCATCTATCGACTTGACGCCAGGTAATATTCATATGTTTATTTCAGACCAGAGCAACATATTCGAGCTAATTCTCCTGCCTAGCATTACTACACAGCGGCCAGTTCATTCGACAGGTAACTACCATGTTTCATATGTCCCGTAATTTCTGGTTGCTAACAGATACTGCTATAAGTACAACCAGTTTTGGGAAGACCCCTCCGCAACCTCGATCATGTGGATAGGGCTCTTGTTCGCTATCATGTGTTTTTCGACCGTGCTTTTACAACGCTACGGTGATCACGATCCGGGCACTCTGCCTCTTAATGCGGAGAACACACTACTTATACGAGCGTATCGGGAAAAGGTTGTTCAGTGTCTGACGCTGGGCAAGTACACCAGGGGCGGTGAGAATGTCCTACAGACTCTAATTCTCTATGTTGGTGTAGAACATTTCCTCCAAGAGGATTCGGATTTTGGTACTCATCTTTTACTAAGCATGATCATAAGTATCGCTATGAGGATGGGATATCATAGAGATCCTAAGAACTTTCCAGTCATATCACCCTTCGATGGTGAGATGAGAAGACGGACATGGGCGGCGCTGTACCAGGCGAATCTTATCTTTGCCACCCAAATGGGCCTTCCGAGTATGTTAAAAGACAACCAGATAGATACAGAAGAACCACACAATCTTGCAGACTCTGATTTCGATGAGGGAACAACTGTGCTTCCCTCATCTCGACCTGAGACAGAGTTGACGCCAGGTTAGTAATTTTGATTCCTACGCCAAGCATGAGACCCCCAAGGCAATTATAGAAATTTAACAAAGTTGGCAGTTCTATACGTAATTACTAGGAGCCGCATCTCACGGCTCTGGGAAAAGGTTCGCGACCTAGCGACTGACACAAGACCTCATACATATGAGGAGATCCTTGCAATGGATCAAGGGTTAGAGGCTGATAAGCGCCGCATTCCGCCACCCTTAAGAATGCAGCCTATACATCTATCCATCGCAGATCCTCCACACTTGATAATGCAAAGAATTTGGCTGGATATCTGCTTCCTCCGGTTAAAAATCGTGCTACATAAGAAGTACTTTATGGTACCCATTCAAAATGAACGTTATAGTTACTCGCGAGAAGTCTGCTTGAAAGCGGCCATAGAGGTTCTTGAGTATCAGCATATAGTCTATGAACTAATCAAGCCAGGTAGCCTGTTATACGAGACTCGCTGGAAGCTTTCATCTGTGATGAATAACGAGTTTCTCCTGGCAACTAGTATTGCATGTGCTTATGTCAAACAGATCACCGATATCCCCAAAAGCGCAGTAAGGGGGACAAACACGGAAGAGGTCAGCAAGCTTCTCGCAGTATCTGCGGAATGCTGGAAGAGGTACAGCGCCGTATCTAGAAATGCTCGGAGGGCTGTCAAGGCGATCAATATGGTCCTCAAAATCACGAGCACTCCTACAGCGAGCCCGGCTAGCGTAGAGGACGAGCTGAGTCCGATGTTCGCTTTGCAAGGTATGCTACCCCAAAAACCACTGTTTTAGTTCGCTTCCATTCCCATGTATCTAGTGGCGAAGAAGATGCTAACCCGGTAAAGACCCCCTACTTTTAGATTTTAATTTCCCTTATACGCTCGACAATTTCTACGGGGGAGACGACTCGAAGTTTAGGGATGACCCTTCTCTGGAAGCGCTTTTGTCTGCACAGCAGCATCCCACGGATGATGAATGGATTAACCTGTTCCAACGGGTATCTACTCGCCCAGCAAATTAATTCGACATATTGTAGGATATGGTTGTACATTCAGGAGTTATTTGAGCAGCAAGACAGAGGAAAGATAGATATGGCGTGAAGGCGTGGTGCTCTCCCCTATAGATGCTCATTTTTGATATGGGCCTACGAAATCATTGTATACTACGACTACCCCTTTCAGGGGCGAACAATCCTATTGTATACCACCATCTCACTAAGGCATTGTCTAGATTCCGTCTCGGTTCAGCAAGAACCAAATCCCGGTAACCATTTTAGAACAGCAAACAAAAACCTAGGAAAACTAGTGCTTTGTGTATAAGTTATTCTGGCAATGACTAAGTATTGCTTTGAAATAGGCACACCCCATGGACTATAAATACAAGCCTAAAGCATAGTAGTAGTCCGATCTAAACCAAACTCTGCAGACTTTGATAGTTCATACCTTGACCAATTCAGACCTTAATCAACGACCTAAGATACCATACAAAATGTTCGCCAGGCACCCGGAGACAGTTAAGTCGCTTCAAATCTCCCTGAGGTTGAAGACCCATCGTGATGCGGAGGCGTTGATTGAGGTCGATGAAGTTAAGGAAGCGTTCCGGCTTTACATGAATAGGTGTCTTGTAGCGACCTCTATGACCAAGGAGTTGCCCAACTGGAAGGACGTCGACGACTACTTGCAAAATCTTCGCACGTCGTCTGCGGTTCGAAACAAGGCGAAGACGTTGAGGGAAGCAGTAGAAGAGGAGTGCAAGTCGGCGCCGTACGAGCTCCTACCCCACGTGTCAATGTTTGCCCTGCGAATGATGAGTTTCTTGATAACCGCCCGGGGAGAGGTGTACGATATCAACTTAGATGCTGAGATAGCAAAGAGCCCCGAAGACGTCCAGTTTGACCGCTGCATTAGGATCATGCACTTGTTGGGTTTCCTTGTCAACCACGACCGGGAGATGAGGAGAGCCAGAGAGGCTGAGAAAACCCGGCAAGCGATTGGAGATAACTGGATATGAAGCCGCTCCATGTGACGACGTGACTCGTTCGCTGGTTTCGAACGTGTCAAAGGTTTAATGTTTAACTGTTCGATGTAGGTTCCCCGTCTAATAAATAAATAAATTTTAATTATTACCTCCTTTTCCCTCCTACTTTCATTCAGAGTTTAATGTCTTTCACTTGTTCGCCGTGTCCTAAATATGGTATGCATCTCTCGTTGCCGTTTCATCCGTCTAGCCCATCCATTTCATTCCTCTCGTTTCCTCTATTTGTGTCCGTAGCGTTCCTCCTACCTTCTCCGCCTCCTTAGCAAAGGCTTAAGCAGGACAGCTTAGGTAGTAGGTAGTTTCTTTAGAGCGGTGTTCACGCACATAAAACGAAAAACAAAAAAAGAGTTCGATTCCGGTACCCCTGTTGCCTTCTTTTGCGTATTGCCGGTCACAGTAGTGTATGAGGTACCATAGCCTAAATATCCATTCGATCATGTTCACGTTAGAAAACTAGATAAAAGTGCAACAAGGAAAAGAATATAGGGATTATCCTCCTCCGGTCTTGGCAGGTATCCTTCTCCTACGGTCCTACATTCATTTCAAATCCTCTTGATAGGGCCTGTAACAATGCTCGTGTCCCAATTACTACAGTGCTAAACCCTTCTTGATCCCCCTAGTGTGTACCTCGTCAATCATGTTAATCCATGGCCACGTAAGACGCCCGGGGCGATAAACCACGACCTTGGGCAAGTCATCCCCCATTTGGACAGCAGAGAAGACAACTCGTCTTTCTTCCCCGGCACGACGTTGACGAATATCCGATCTCCAATGTTCATGCAGGGTTCTGAGTGCACAGCACCGCGTTCCTGGCCGATGCGGAATATGCTGCACTCGCCCGGCTCCGCTTGAACCAGACCCAGGGGGGCGAACTCGGTGGTGAGCTTATCTCGGACAGCTTCGGCCGTCGCTCCACACCCAACACAACGGACTGAGGTGCAGATGTGATCCGTAGCTAGAGCACTCTTCGTCGAGCGCGACGTTGCGCGAGCTGCTGCCTGGTGTTCGGCGGGAATGAACATGGTTGCGGGGCCGAGCAGCGTAGCGCATAGCTTCCAGTCTGTCTGCAGGTCCAGCTCTGCCTTCTCCCTACCCACTACTAGCGATCTTCTCCGGGCCCAAATACCGCCACCGTCACCACTACTCCTATTGAAGAACATGTCGTCTGTGTGCCATCTAGGCTTGTTGTATTCCGTGGTCGCTTTCGTCGCGCGGATGGTGAGCCAGTAATGATCAAGGCCATTTGTTCGGATGAGCTCGTTGACGAAGGTTAGGAAAGGGAGTAGGAGCGGAAGTAAGGAACCAGACAGAGCAGCGTGGGCCCAGTCGTGGAAGCTAGGTGGGAGATCATCTAGTGTGGAGAGCAAAGGGCCGCAGTAGCTCCAGAAAGCATCTCTCTCTACGGACAGGCTCTGGCCCGGCTGGTCAGGAGGCTCTTCGAGACCAAACTTTATGAACTCGAAGCTCGTCGATGATTGGAGCCTGTCCTTCATGGCTGGAGGAGCATATGGTTCAAAGTTCACTTTTTGGGGGGCCTTTCGGGTTTACTCAAAATATCTAAGCCGGTAGTTCAGCACGGCCGGTAGTCTTAATTGAGAATAGCTCTAAGGTATAAGTAATAGTATGCATAATGTATATATGAATTGTATATATGTAGGGTATGTAAGTGTATGTAGGGCTAAGGTAACAAAGAGCAGCAGTAACAGAAGCTAGGTAGCGTTGCGTTACTCCGCGTTGGAGACACATGACTACCTAAGGCATCTATATACCATGTAAGTAATACCATGCAAGTTAGTGTATATCATGTAAGTTATACCTTGTAAGCACCTCGCTTCGCTGCCTGCTTAGGCGATGCAGATTTCCAAAAATAAAATAAATGGGAAAGGGACTCGAGCCCGATTCATTCGGCGCCAGATACAACGGGCCTATTCCGCGAACCCGCTCTGTTAGTCATTTTCCGAATCAGGAAAACAGGCTAGCTAAACCGGTTGTGCCTTGACATTAAGGAAGTCTTTTGTAGAGTTGATTTTAGAGCTCTTGTGGTTAGTACATATTGTCGTAAGATATGGAACGATTTTACGTGAATATTTTATATAACTACCTAAAGGTAGGTAGCTGAAGTGAATACTAGTTTCTAATGTTAAATGAGAGCGGCGGGATCATCGCTTCGGTGCGTAACCCCCTGCAGTTTTATACAACTTGTCGCGGTTCCAAGTCTAAGTCCTATGTACGCAGAAGCATGTAAAGAACAAAAGCCTAACCTATCGTAATAAGCTATGCAAGTGAATGAACCGAAAACAAAAATGAAAAGACCCAGATACCCAACGCTTTTCTGGGTCGTAGCACGTGTCCTGCAGGCACAAAGCGGCCCGACTTACATAGATGAAGTGGCCGATTTAGCGAGCGCCGAAGATCGTGGACCGCATCTATTGGAAAGGCACGGGGAAATATGTTCTCTCTCGTGTTCCTTAGGCTTTAAGGCCTCGCAGATTCGGAGATTTGACAACGCAGGGTTACAGTGCGCTAATATTATCTAAGGTACCTACCTAATCTTTATATTAATTGTAAAACCCTTCAAGTTCAGCTCATAGTCGTGAAGGCCTTATTCATTAGCTATGAAAGCTGGAGACTGATGACTGGTTGCAAAGAAACAAGATCTCAGTACAGTCGTTTATGTTAGTACTAATGTCAGGTTTCGCGGCTCGTTCGGCTTCAAGGCCTTGGATCATTCAAACTGATGGTCGCCTCAGTATTGATTTCTAAGTGGAGCGGCCCTTTTACTGACGACTCGTACGATATCAAAGATTTAATATTCGATTATCGCGAACTATCGTAGATTAGGTACTATCACACCTATTACACCGAGTCCCCTCTCCATTTGCCTGTTCTTAAGTGGTGAGTGACGAATAGACGGGGATTCCTGTTGACCCCTCGCTCGCTATTGAAGTAGATAGTGTTCTCTTTCGCTCCGTTCGCTTTGTACATTAAACCTTGATATAGAATCTTTTTTTTTTTTGGAAGACTTCGTTGTCGAGTAGTGCGGTTCTAATGTTGTGCGGCTTTTCTGTCTTTACCCTTCGGAGGTAATTGTATTTTTATGTTGAACATCAGTATGATGCTACGATGCTGGACTCGAGTCCTCGTCGGCAAAGCGTGCGTGTCTATCCTTACGCGGTATTGGGTTTCCTGCTTGGTTCTTTTGTCGGTTTCTTGAAGCCGATGAACATGGTAGCGCAGACCAGGCTTGGCGGATTCGGGTAATGAATTGGCTTAGTAGAGAACCCTTCTTGATGTTCTCTTCATCTTCATCTTCCCCGTCGAATTCCCAACGGTCCGCGTTTCTTTCCTGAGCCCTGCGAACACTTCTTTCTCGATATAATTCGAAGGAATCGCGATGGAAGAGAGGACCGGCACATTGAGTACGAGCCGCGAACGTCTTGTGATGATGACAACGGTCGAATAAGTGGTCAAGAGAACCAGTGGAATATGAATCTGGAGTTGACATGATGATGATGTAGTAGTTATGTGTAGTGAAGTGACTGACTACTACCAGGTAGTTATTCTGTAGTTGGGAAGAGTTCTATGTGCTCTGTCACCTCTGGGGGAGGCCACCTATCGAAGATGCACATCGTCCTAGAATATTTTCTTAATGGCAATAGTTGGGATTTGTTGGGTGAAGGAGTCCGAGGGGCAGAAGTTGACTTCAACGCCTTGAACCTAAATCTATATAGTCCGAACCCATCGTGCAAATGAGTTTGTGCGATTCCAAGATGATACATAAGCCATACAAAGGTGTTACTACTACATAGAGAATTGAATGGTAGTTATAGTTATCTATCTTTGAGCACAGTCGTGATCAACTTATATGTATAGTTGTGACGTATGTTACTTGGAGGTTTTGAGGATAGCCTCGCTGTTATGACCCCCCCCCCATGTCTGCGGCTCTTTTCTAAACGGGGGCATAATAAAGTTCAGGCTCTTGGATCTCCGGCACTCGAACCCGAAACTATCTGGTACCTATGCGACTGAGACTAGCAACCAGACCGCTGCTGATACTATGGCTCGGGTGGTAATCGATAATAACGAGGCGGTTACTGATATATTACCAGACCTCAAGGAGTCGTAATAGACTGCGATAATTACGTGCGGTACGGGATGATAAGCTGCTGGCTGATAACTAGGAAATATCTAGCGAATTCTAGACCGTAACGCTTATTATCAAAAAGCGCAGCAGAGAATAATCGACCGATATTATGTTTCTCACATGCTTGCGGTCTGGTTTGAGGGGAGGGGACGGACCGTGTTTCGTCTCTTTCGCCGTCGCTGGCGGGGTTAATTAATTGGTCCAGGACTTCCAATTTCACATAGTTATCGTTATTTTATTTCTCAACAGTTTCGGGATTGAAACGCCCATATTGGTCGGTGTCGGACGACGTACATAGTAGATACTAGTTTAAAACTGATCCATTAAGAAGCAGTCGCGGTACCCGTCCGTTATATACCTATACCGGTCCTTTATATCCTAACTTGTGTTCGATCGGCATTAGACCTCTGTAGCAAGACTACGGTTGACCAAAATGGCGTTCTAGTGGGGATAAGATTGGTATATACAATAGAGGGTCGGGAATCGGGACCGAGCATGGTTTTAAGGGGGCCTAGAGGGTGTTGGGCCGTTAGAAAAATGCTACGATTTGATACCGACCTTAGCCCGGCGCAATCCAGTCAGGCCAGTTAAGATAGTCACGAGAAAGGAAGCTTAAAAGAACTTCTTGAGGTCATTTATTGGTCATCTCAGGGGTAAAATGTCGATGCGACTATAAACACTGCTTACTGTATGAACATCACCGAGGCTCTGAAAACGCTACTAATCTAAACCTGTTACAATCATCTAAAATCTAAATACGTAGGTAGGTAACTCGTAGGTAAGTCTTAAAATCCCTGAATAATTCCTGTCGCGTTTACTGAAGCTGTGAGGTCATACTAAACCCAAACAAGAGCACTAGAGTAGGTGAATTACCGCCCTATTATAGCACTTTATTCAGCGCGGCTGCTGATCCAACGAGGTGCGATGTCTGTCAGTGTTGCGGGGAGCATGCAGTGACCTTTTACAGAGCGAGGTGGGTAAAGAGCGAGGTGTGGGTAAAGAACATGCACCCCCTTACATTGCTGGGAACCCCTGCTGAATTCAGGAACGGGCGCAGGCTATGCCGTACATATTGGGCGAAGGAATGGGTCGAAAACTGCAGAAAACTAGAGGACCTGTAATCGCCACTCAATCAATCGACAACAATAGGCTCCGCTAATAGTCGATTCGGTTTCTACCTATTCCTTAGCCCCAAGGGCTTCACGAGGGAATCATAACATCCAATAGGGTTGCAACAAAGTCTTAATTCGATCTCACAGTACTAAAATGGAATAAAAAAGGCGAGAACCTCAGTGCAATTTTACTTGTTATACCGCCTGCTACAAACGGATTTCCCGTACGTTGTGTCGATCACACCAAGGGAGGGAGCCTGCAAATCTATGGTAACTAGCGGCACAATCGGGTAGGGCTGTTAAAAGCCCTGACCTTATTAGGTAGTCTAGAGCTTAGCTGAAGATACAATCTAGCCGAGCAATTGTAACTACCTAACCTACCTAGGTAGGTTAGTCAGATCATTCGACAGCAAAGCGGCTACAGTCTAGGGAATAGCAGCATTAGGAATTGGCATGGGAACTATTCAGAAGACATCTATTTCGTGAAATACCTATGAATATGCATTACTTATAAAGTACAGAGATCGAGTTAATCCACGGAGCTCGAGTCTATGTACTAATGCTTGGGGACCCCCAGACCCGTAACTTTTTTTTCTTTTTTAGAGATGAGATTGGATAGGACAAGCGGAAATATAGACCCAGAAGGATTCCATATCCCCTGCCTATGGTCGCATTAAAAAGCAAGCATGCAACTACACGAATCCATAATAAGTTAGCCTAGGACATAGGACGCGGTAGGCTAGGTTGGATTATTGTAATATAATATGTATAGAAGGATTCATAAAACAGTTCAATAACTCCCCTGGGCCACATATACTACTACGAGCGAGAGCTGAAAAAAGCTCCCAGTCCATTCTCGTCACAGCGTCAGCTATGTCGTGACAACCTAATTTCCTAATTTCGGGTGCTTCTTGACCAAAAGAAGACCATGCTCTCGCAGAGACTATCACGAATCCAAATTCTCTCGAGCTGAGCAATTCTTGCCAATCTAGCAGTATTAGTTGTTGAAACGACGCCATGTCCCAGCCACCGGAACACACGCCTTACAGCACGCTTGAGGTCTCTCCGGGTGACCCAGAGACCTTCCAGAAGGAGGTGATACAATATCCAGACCACAGTTATCCGCAAGCTGTTCCTGTTGAACAAGCAGCCGTGGGAGGTACACAGTCGTATTATGGACCTGAGTCTGCGAAAGAAGTCGTAAATCCATCACATATATATCCTGGTGTTATTCCAGGCCCGTATAAATACCCAAACTACGCTGCAGGTTCAGTTTATTATCAAAACGCCGCAGCATATCCCAACGGCGCAGGCTATCCCGCAAGCACGATTTATTCTGATGGATCAACATATCCAAACAGCGCATATCCTTCTGCTTACGGACCCGGGCCAATAGGCGCGGCCGGATTCGACGGCGAATATCCCCCTACAGAGAGTGCAACTCCAATAAAGACGATATGTGGCCTTCCAAGGAAAACATTTTTTATAATTCTAGGGGTGGTGATCGTTGTGGTGATCGCGCTGGTAGTAGGAATACCAGCCGGTTTAGCGAGTAAAAACCACGCGTCAGGGTCAACAGATTCAGCGGAATCGTCAGGGTCAGGGTCAGGGTCGGGGTCAGGGTCAAATAATGGCAGTCCAACAGATCCGCCGTCGAATTCAACAGACGAAAAACTCATACTCGATAATTCGAAAATAACCGCATCTAACTGGACAGATCCCAATGGGGTCATTCACAGGACTATCTTTTTCCAGGATGCATATAATTCTATTATCGCCCGGCGTTGGGATTCCAAGAACAAGTCGTGGAAGACAAATAACCTAACCGAGTTGATGGCTGCGACAACAAAGCCTCTCAACCCACAACCGGGAACACCATTGGCGAGCGCGTCTATGGATTACAAGCAAACGTTCGAGACACACGTATGGTTCACGGATCCGGGTAACGTTATAAGATCTATGGCTTCCTTCGACGCGCTTAATAGACCCGATAGCTGGGATAATGATACGCTCGATAATGCTAGGCTAGAAACTTGGCCTGGCGGTCAGTTAGCGGCGATGTGGCAACGTTGTTGGGGCGCCGATTGTGAAGGCACTTGGGTCGTCGCCTACCAACGACCAGAAGGAGCAATAAAGACGGCCAATTCAAGTACTTGGGCTACCGCAACTGTAGCAGTGGACTCTAAAAATGTCGCAGCCAATTCCAGCTTGGCCATCCTCCCCACGTTGCGTGGGCCATGGCTTGATCGTCTGGAGCTCGTCTCCGAACAAGTGACATCCGGCACGACAGGAAGTATGAGAATGACGCCGTACGATGACACGTGGGATGGCGCTGAGCAAAAAGGTAAGCATACTGACGAATGTTTATTATATTCATACTAGTTCAAGGCCCCCGAGTAGGTATGAAAGCTGACATACTCTAGTAACCGAACTTCAAGACGGAATACCACTTCCCGCTCCATCCCAGCAGTTCGCTGCTACTAGATGGGATAATTGGAACCAAGCCCTATATCTCGGACTCCTCCGGGGAGGCAAGACCGAGGGTAGCCATTGGGACGGTAATCAAATGAACCCTATCTCAAGTTTCCAGTTCAAATCAGGCCCGGAGACCAACTTCACGGCCATCGCAATGTCGCCGGATGCTATGTTTTACGGGATCTCTAACAATGAGATCTTAGAGTACTCGCTAGACACGTCAGATCCGTCAAACTTCAACTACGTGGGAAGAGTATATCCATGATACTTACGCGAGAATCTATACTTTCTTATTTATCCAAACTGTAAAGGGGAATACCTAGGCTTAGGAGGTTGGGTTTTTGACGGGTCACATGGGAGTTAGGAGGAAACATCTGCCTGCATACTAATGAGTTCCAGAGCATCTACCATTTTATTCTCATACTACTATACTACACAGCCGCGTACTATCCTAAAATGGAGCGGCCTTTTTAAAGCGAATGTTGAGTGCGGAGCTGTCGTTGTTCACTCCGTGCGGCTCTGCAACTCCGCAATACGATTTACTTGTATGTAAACGATTAAGATACCTTAGCAATAGATGAACAGTGAACAAATCATCAACCTTAATCTGTCGTCTTTGCTCATCTCACATTAAATATTTTAGCTCCAGCCAGAGACTTAAGGACAAGCAAGAGGCTATGTGCATATGGTTTGGGATAGTAGTTAGATCTACGAGTATCATACAAGGAGGTACCAAACCAAGGTTCATTGACATTCAAATCAACTTTAGCACAAAGGGACACATATGACATCGACTAATTAACTAATCAATCTACATGCGTAGCTTCATACTTTTTATACGTACAAGTTTATTTAGAAGGGTCAGTCTAGAATCCGGTCTCAGTTCGTAATCGTGACGCGCTCTAACTATCAACGACGTCATAATATTGAATAGATGCCTCGTAGACCAACAACTTCTTCCAACCCATTTCTATGATGATATCTGTGAAACAAACCTACCTAGGCCAAGCTAATAATCCCAAGTGGCGAGACAATAAGCGGTAGACATGATGAACCAACTTCGCCGCACGTAATAATTGGTTTGGTCAATATAAAAACGAGGAGCCATGCTTAAAAAGACTACCATCTCCCACCGAGGTTTACTCAGACCCATCAGTAGAAGAAGTCATCTCGAAAAACCAACACGTCGACCATACATTTCAACAGCATCTACTCAAACCTCACATCAACGTGTTAGAAATATTGCCTTCAACCACCAACTCCCACGCAAGATGTCGTCGTTCTCAAATGCGGATACCGGTGACAAGCCGTCTGGACCTTACTATGAAAAGAACATCGACAGGGATGTATCCCTAAAAGAGAAGGTTGAGATTCTAATCAAATTCGTGTCGTCGTGCAAGTTCGGCATGATGACGACGCGAGACCCCTCGAACGGGAAGCTGGTTTCTCGATGCATGGCCGTCGCAGGCAAGGTAAGCAATGAGTCTCCGCAGATGATATCTGCATATGACGTTCAAGTAACTTATTACTTGTTCGTCTAAGTTACAATGAGACAGTATCCAGAGAATTAACCGTAACGTGATAACTTCTAGGAAGGCGGTGATATCGACCTAGCCTTCACGACCAACACAGAATCACACAAGACGGACGAATTGAATGCGGACAGGCACACGAATATCTCGTTCTACGACAACTCGGGCCAATGGGCCTCGATCGCGGGCGAGGCGAGCATCGAGACAGACCGGGAGGTCGTGAAGAAGTACTACAGCCCGACGCTCAAGGCTTGGATGGGAGATCTAGGCGACGGCGTTCACGACGGAAGCGAGAACGACCCACGCATTGCTGTGCTCAAAGTGAAAACCAGTTCCATCACATATGCTATCACAGACAAGACGGTAATGGGCAGGGTTGCTGAGATCGCCAAGGGCACCGTCACGGGCGAACCGGCTGGTATTAATAAGTTGAGAGAGATTAGTGAGAGCGAGGTCCAGCAGTGGAGGGCCACTGCTTCAAGACAGGCTTAGGGTTGAGATTAAGAATGACGAAGTTTTCCTCCAGTATAATTTGGCTATAATTTAACCTTATGAAGTTAAAACCCAATGAGATCTTTTTTATGTCAACGTCGATCAAATCCTATAGTCCTCCGATGAGGCAGTAGTAAGCGAACTGGCGGTCTGCTTGGTTTTATAATACGTTCTTACAATGATAACAAGAGATAATGTTATTATTAATGGCCACGGTTGTGATAATAGGCAAGATATGTCAAAAACACTCCCATCAGCCGGGCCACCCATACAATTGATCTTCCATTCTACCGGAGGAGGTTCTTAAAGTAGTAAGTGTAATCGGGGCTGACGGCGTTTCGAAGGTGCGAAATTTAATTTGGAGATTTGGAAGAATTAAGTCAGCCATAGCTAGCGGCCAGTCAGCGCTGGAGCCATGCCTTGTTGGGGTTAAGTGCAGGCCCGAAACGTGGGAATGGATGCTGATGTAACGGGTTGGTAAGGCTTTGGTGGAGGGGGGGATTTTCACTTTTACATAAGTTTTTGTAAGGCAATTGCTGACCAACTATCCAAAACTTTACCCAGAAACAGGTACCTAGGTACAGGGACTACAAGGTAATTGCCCCGCTTCCCTCCCCGTGATGTTTTTCTTCCTTCCCCCCCTCCGCCCCTCCGTATCAAAAACAAAAAAGACAAACGTCAACCAAACAAAATCGGGCGAATCTTCGTGATATTTCTAGCTAGCCTACATAATGCATCTACCCTCGTCCCTGATTCGCGACTTGCCTGATTCAGTCTTACTGTTCGATCCCGTATAAGACACAAGACACCCTCTAATGCTCTAACATCTCTGCCCCTCATGAGGACTGTCGCCTTTTCCTTTCTAATAGCCATACTGTCTATAGTTGTCTTTAGGGAACGAGTTATCGACCTGACCACGACGACTTTCACTTCCGTGTTAGAGACTTTCAAGACCTACGACGGCAACAGTAGAAGTAGCCGTAGCGCTGTGACTAATAGCGATACGGTAACCAAATCGACCACTGCCGACTCCGAATCCGAAGCCCCTTTTTATAACCCATCCGAGAAACTCGTTGTAACTGAGATGTCTGTCCCGCGTGCAATCCGCAAGGTCTTCCTAGCGGTCGAACAGGCCGAAGGAGCTGGAGCTAGGGTTAGGTCAGTTAGACCCGAGAATGGCTATGCGCCAAATACGTGATCCGGACGGCAAGTTGACTATCAGTAGGAGAAGCGTAGGAACGCCGCAGTTACGGAACTTCTCGCCATTCCTAATGCTAGACCACTTCAGCATCAAACCCGGCGCAGGCTTCCCAGACCACCCACACCGCGGGCAGGAGACCATTACGTATCTACTAACGGGCGGTGTCGACCACGAAGATTTCGCCGGCCACGCTGGCACCATCGAAGCCGGTGACCTGCAGTTCATGACAGCCGGCCGTGGCATCATGCACGCCGAGATGCCGCGCCAAAACCCGGACGGCAGCGCAAACGTCGGCCTGCAATTATGGGTTGACCTACCCGCCCACCTCAAAGCCTGCGAGCCTCGATATCGCGATCTGAAAAAAGACGAGATCCCAAGCGCTGAATTGGACGGCGGGAAGATTCGCATCAAGGTTATCTCGGGACAGGCTGGTGGCGTTGAAAGCCTGAAGGAACTAGCTTATACCCCGGTCTGGCTGCTCGACGTGGAAATGCAGCCAGGTACCAAGTTGGCTCAACCTCTCCCGAAGGGCTGGAATGCCTTCTCGTACCAGCTAGAGGGATCCGCCGTGTTCGGCTCCGGTGACAAGAAGCAGACGGTCGCGCAGTACCATAACTGCGTGTTCGAGCCGGATGGCGACGTGGTGAATGTCGAGGTGCCCGAGAGCGCAAAGGAAAACGCGCGCTTCGTTATAGTTGCCGGCCAGATCCTAAACCAGAAGGTGGTCCAGTACGGTCCCTTCGTGGCGAACTCGCCCGAAGATGTGCGACAAGCGTTGATAGATTACCAATTCCACATGAACGGGTTCGAGAGGGCCAAAGATTGGCATAGCGAGATCGGAAAGACAATGGTTGGTTGAGCGACCAGGCGCCTACATCTGTTCCGTCTTAACATCATCGTATCTCCTCTTCGGTCCCTATTCTCGCGCCCGACCTTGCGAACTTCTTGTATATAGTATATTCTGCTTCCTTCGTTTGTTCTCTTCTTTTAGATACCTCAAAGCACAACCTCGGCGTATAGGGGTGAGTGTAGTAGAATGGCATTCAGCAAAAAGAAATATTGAGTAGTATTATATTGGATATCTCTTCTTCGTTTGCGACTTACGGTATTAGAAATTTCCTTTCGGCCGTTTGACGGGATAAGTGTCTGGCAGGTTCATAACCCATTGGAGGCGCGCTAGCTCGTCTCTTGGGGGGTGAGCACCTTTCCACCAAGATACCTTCCGTGGGTGCAAGCCTGTCACCTGCTGTAGTCGCGGGTGGCTTAGGATGGACGCGGCCTCAAGCGATTGACCGTGGTACGGCTGTCCTGTGTGTAGGCCGGTTCTGCCGGTTGGATTCTCCGGTTTTGTTGGCGCGGTCTTGCTAGGAGGAACGTGTACATTATTACCCCTCGGGGAGCTTAGGGGAGGAGAGAACATAGTAACTCGGCCCCTCGAAGCTAGTACCGCCCTATGCTTTTCCTGTTCAGTCGGCATACTCGAGATTGCGTACAGAAAATCAGTATATTGTAAACTAGGTAAGACAGAGATTCCGCCTACTTATAGCATATGTTAGGAGAGCAAGTAGTCAAATAAAAAGCAAAATGCAAGTTAGACTTATTTCGCAGACATAGCCTCAAGTTTTATGTCATCTTCAGAAGCTCTAAGAGCTGAACACGCTCACCGTCTTACCTGCATGTAACACCTACCAAAAGGGATATGAGCAGCACATCAGTCTACGAGGTGCAAACCTATGCAGCCTCAATCATGCGTGGTCACTCATCGACGTTATAATTGGCGTCTCTGCCTGCCTAGTATTTCCGGTATGACCTGTCCTTCAGATGCGGGACGCGAGCAGGCTGCCGTGGCCACGGGGTAAGCAAGCTTCGGTCTTACAGCAGTCGTGTGCTATGCACCTTAAAGAGGTGAGATTGGGGAAATTCCTAAGTCATATTCACCACCCCGATGGCTCTTTATTTGGCAAACGGCCCCATCCCGGTCCTTTCCGCCCACCGAAAAAGAAGAAGAAAAGTCTCGGCGTGTTGCAAGCCTGTCATCGTAGCATTGCGGCGTACGAACTTAGTCCGCTTCTTGTATGCTTGCGAAAATTGGAAGACGTGCGGGTTTCTACTAGTTGTGGAGGGCGTGGGGCGGGCCGATCTTGTCATGTACGTTGCTTTTTGGTAAGCGAGAGCCTCATTTTTATGAGGTTGTCCGTCTGCTTGTATAGGTTGATATGAGTGCTTTAACTCTGCAGCCTTGTTTTGTTTATTACCAGACGGTAAGATGGCGCTGGTTTTCTTGCTGGGGTCGATGTCGTATTACTAGCATGTGGCTTTCCAATAGCTACCGTTTGACGTTGTGTATCCATACCTAGTCGTTCTTCCCCGCCTGGCTTAGGGGGGGGTAGATCCGAAAGGAGAGAGGATACTTATTGGTAATTATTAGTGTTCCTTGCCTTTTAAGTGGCACTAAGATAGTTTATATCGTATCATTCCAACATATACCATTTCTGCCTTAAAAGTTTAGGGCATTATCAGTACCCTAGCCCTTCTATACTCAGGGGTTCACTCAGGGGGCGGATATCCATAAAGAAATCATGTCTACCTACCTAAGTAAGGGACCGGTATGTAAATAATTAGTAGGGGTTGTTTGGCATATATATTAAGTTGACCTGGTATATCATAAACATAGTGGCATTCAAGGTGTTTTATTTGCATGCCGCACAAGTTCATACGCGTATACCGGGCGTACTAGTGTTACGGTATACATACACACAAATTTAGCACGGGGGGCCAGTTTGCTTACACCAGAAGGGACCGTGGGCCAGTTAGGTCGTATGTTATTTCTATGATTAGGTAGTGAATGAATGGTTCCGTTAAGTTTAGGTAGTAGTTATGGTTATGAAGTGACTTGTAAGTCGATCAATTCATCGTTTACATGACAACTACATATATTAGTAACAATCACCAGACATTAGTTGGACAGGCGTCGAGTATGACGGTGAGGCTACCCTACGAGCCATACACTAGGTGATAACGTCCACTCAGACCTTAGGATACAGTAGTTGGGGATGTAGGGTCCTAGTGCGAGGATACTACCTGACGTGTGAGAAATCAAGTCTAGGATCGCTCATCCCGTACCGCCCAGGGGCAAGAGGGGCAAGGAGGGACTATCTGTCCTAAAAATTAACTGACCTCGGCCTAAAGATTTCCTTTGGGGATGGCTTCAATGTATCACGCTGTATATACATGCCCAGATTGATGTACTTCTCGATCATGCAGTATCCAGACGAACAGACAACTTCTTACCCGTTACGATGTTGGGGACGAGGATCTCCTTTGAGTATGCTTGCATACATATTAAAGATACCTGGGATAATTTATACAATTTTCTAATTTGTATAAATACCAGTACATCCCGAGTATATCTAGGTGGGATTAGTAGCGTTTCCTTCTCGCCTCATCAGGCTCCTTCCGTAATGGTTAAGTGGCGTCAACATATCGAACGGGAAAGCGTGGCAGGAACAGATCTATCTACTCAAGCCTATCCGGTTATATATTCGACGAGGCCATGATACTACAGTGGTAGGTATAGTGAGGGGCCTACGACATAAGTAGCTCAGCCAAGTTACTGTAACGTAGCCCTATTCTAAGTGCAATATGTCGGAGTAATATATTCAATGGCGATGCTTATTTGTAACTAGTAGTCATCTACTCGAGGAGATACCTCTTGCGGTACTCCTCATCGTTGATTACAGCTTTGGCTTCTCGCCCTATTGGTTAAAGCATGCCTACAATCTAGGTATTTGTATGCTACGAGGTTCTATAATTCTGAACAATTATCTTCAAAGGTTTCCGTTATAGTCAAGGAATGCAGCTGCATTCAACACTAGCCTTTTCCACGAATAATAATCATTTCTCTTCGCCGGCATCTATACATATCTAGTGAGACAGTTATTAGTATACGACTCTTGCGAATATGAGATATCGAGGAAGAGAACTTTCCCATTCGACAACCTATTGCGTGCCATCCTCTGCTACCTTCACGTGGACATCAAGGATCAAGGCATGCTTGATATGTAGCTGCATAACTTATATTATCGTGATACTCAACGAACATATCTAGCAATTTGGAGTGTCCTATCGATCAGCTCTCGATGGTGGATAGACCACGCCGGTTGAACCGAATTATACTAAGCATGGATAAAATTAGACACCATTAACTTAGCTTACGGGATAGCTAATATCAGCAATGTAACAATATGCAGGATACATGGTATACAATTACCTGTTTTGTCCGGTTACTCTTACGGGTACTCTTGAGGTGACAGAGAAGACATGAGTTGTTTGTAGCCGAGATGTCTACTATATAGTCTAGCTTCAGAGATTATAACAAGATTTTTATAAGCCAACGTATAGAATGAAGTGGTTTGATTATTCGAGCACTGTAGGTAATATCTACGAGTATAGCGTACCTAATATATTACCTACTACGATATATTTTATCCCGGCGGTCTTAACTCGTTTAGGAATTGTACCAAAACATTCTAAGTGCATGTGTAGTATGTATTTAGCGGACTCATAATCTTTGGCTGTCATATAGTCATATAGGTAAATTTCTAAACATACACGTTAGCACCAGCCTATCTACGCAAAAGTTCCGCTGATATTACCTGCAGCTGTATAATATAACGGGGCTTCAGAAATATCATAGTTGGAGAAGCCACGTGGGATACTAAATTCGGTGTGATTTAATATAGGAGTCGTGGAAGTACGTTGGAATCAGAAAATGTGCGAGTTGATGTCATAGTAGGGCTTCAAGCGGATACGTTGAATCGAATGAATACATCATCAATCCTGTCTCCGGATGTCAACCCGATCTTTAGATCGATGAGCTTAGCGTATCATCTTCACTCTGCAAATGACTATACTCCACGTGGGAGCCATGTGCTCGAGGACCTGGCTGAAAGGAATCCTTGTACATAACCCTCTGTGGTTCGGAATTAATCATTCCGCTAGACTCCTAATCGGCGCGCCGGTAGCAAAAGGCCATACAAGTGCGTATATTCATGTTTTGTACGTACGCATGTAGTCGCTTCATTTAACCGTTCTTGGCAGAACCTCAGGGCTACCATGATATAGAACCTCAAACTCCGTTAGTCTACATTCTAGAATATAGCGCTTAGTATAAAATCCGGACCAAGGACCATCATCAAGTCAAAGATTCCACACCATCAATATCAACACTTCCAAGCCTTAGTCTTTTCAAACTAAAACCTCCACGATGCTCTGCAATAGGCTTCTCCCTCTCGCTACGCTCTTGGGCGCATCTGTCGCCCAAAGCGCCACGCTCCGGTATATGCCGTTCGGTGACTCCATCACCGAGATCATCTGCTGGCGTGCAAAGCTTTGGGAGAAGCTGAAGCCTACCGAGTGGGGATCTGTGGACTGGGTTGGCTCCGGAAAAGGAGAAAACAACTGCGGAGATAGTACGTACGACCGCGACAACGAAGGCCACTCGGGTTTCTTGGCCATCGACATTGCTGACAAGAAACAACTCGTCGGATGGCTCCAGGCTAACCCAGCCGACGTTATCACGATGCATCTCGGTACCAACGACATCGTGCAACAGAACAAGCCGGTCAACGAGATCATTGCTGCCTTCACGACCCTAATCGGCGTGATGAGGGCTAGTAACCCCAAGACGAAGATCGTCGTAAGTTTCCCATCGACTCCTGCTTCACCGTCTTCCCAAGTACTAGTAATTATTAATTTCACCTAACCAGGTCGCTCAAATTATCCCAATGGGTTTTGGCAACTACAACACCCAGATTCAGAACTTAAACAAGGCCATCATCCCCTGGGCGCAGGGCCTCAACACCACCGAGTCGCCTATCTGGGTTGTGGACCAATATACAGGCTTCAGCGGCACTAGCGACCTGCGCGACGGCGTACACCCCAACGTAAGTAGTATCAATATTTGGACTCTATCATCTCTGTTATAGAGCCTCCTTTGGAAGACTCTGGAGTTCCTAGTTGAAGTAGTTACTGATACTCTTTACTGTAGGCTTCGGGCGATGATAAGATGGTGAACATCTGGTACCCGGCTCTTGTTAACGCCTTCCAGGTAGCTCAGACAGACAAGAAAGCCGCTGCTGCGAAGGTTGAGGTCCCATTCACGGCATAGAGAATATTTACGACTCATCTCAAACGACAAGGAGATGCTAGTCTCTTGGTGATGCTCCTCGTGGGTTTACGCCACAGCTGTTTTGCTTCTAACTACTGTATATATTGATCAACAGTATATAACAAAATGGAGCTCAAACTGGATAGTGTTACTGAGGTATGAATTGAACTTGAAGTTCCTAACTTAAAGCTGCTAGGTGACAGAGTGGATCTCCTATTTATAGGTACCTACCTAGGTACACAGTGGGCATCCCGTTGCTTGGGCGGGGTGCCGATGACCCGGTTGTCAGTTAGCGCCAAGACTAAGCTAACTTTAAATACTTTAAATGCCCCTGTTAGGCTAGACTCTAGGGGATTCCATAGGGTCTGAACCAAACCAGTTCGAACTCTCGACAAATAAGGTTACCGATAAGGATTTCGAAATTAACTGAAAAGGCAGATAGACAGGGATAAGGGATAAGGGATAAGGATCACTTTCCTGCTTTCTTATTTCGTACCTCCTAGGCTGTGCAAGTGTACATACCTAGGTAGGCACTTCGTGTCTGAGTTTGTCAACCCTCGAAGAAGCCCCTGCCAAGTTCTTACCTGAAATATTCTTGGTGTATCCTCCGTGGCAGTGTCCTTTTCCTTCTTTTTCTTCTTATCACGATTTCTTCTACGCCGTCATGCGATTTTGTTAAAGACTGCGCGAGCAATACATACACTCTTCACTCTTTACCTCCCTCTGTTATACCCACCGTCGAGCGAATGGACCACTCGCCAAAATGCTTATAAATTCTCCCTTCTCCGCGCTTTACCTGCGCTGGAAGCAGCTGCCTAACCTCCATAAGGTGATATCTGTGTCCGGCCTGTTTATCTTTTTGTTAGGTAAGCCGATTCTTCTTGAAGCAACGCGCATCATGCGCCAGTACGTTGACGCAGAAGGCCAATATAGTTATATTTCTTCAGCCTAATCCCGATGTTGCACGCGATGGGTGGAGCCGTCTTACACACTCCGACACTGGCCCTCTGGCGGGCGGAATTCCTCTTCGTGTTATGTTCATAGGCGCTTCTATGACTCTCGGTGAGCACTCGACTGGCGAAGTCGGTTACCGAAAACAACTTCGCGACTGGATGGTTGCCAGAGGTAATCCCGTCAATTATGTCGGCCAGGTATTTCCCCCTTCGCTAATTGTAGCTGGTGGTCCATCCAATGTTTCTATTGCGCTAACCCCTCATGTACTTTCAGAACCGATATGGTGATTTCAAAGACAATGACGTCCAAGCATTCGGTGCCCAACCTATAAAACCGACCCTCGACCGTCTTAAAGAAGTTGTACCTCAGACCCAACCGAACTTAGTCATAATCAATGCTGGATCGAGCGATTGTTTTCAGTTGGACCATTGGGGACCGGCATACGTCTTCCAGAAAATGCGCGACCTGGTTGACTTTATCTTCGAAGCCTCGCCGCGAAGTACCGTTATCATGTCCACCATCATAATGAGCCCGTGGGAAGGCACGGAACGTTGCGTCAGGAGCTCCAATGCCCAAATACGCCAGGTAGCTATCGATCTTATTCGAGAGGGCAAGCCGGTGGTTATGGCTGAAATGCATCATGACCAGGGCCTACCGAATCGCGTTGTGAAGCAGGATATTGGACCTGACGATATGCACCCTACAGACAAGGGTTACTTCAAGATGGGAGACATCTTCATAGAAAAGATCATAGAAGTTGAGAAAAATGGCTGGCTACAGGCCCCGGTCGAAAATGGCGTCCCAGCAGATGGCGAGGCTGCTAGAGATGCTGAAGATGCAATCAATGCGAATCAAGAGAAGGTAAAAGAGAAAGAAAATAAGGAGAAAGAACAAAAGGAAGGCAAGGAAAGTCAGGACAAGAAGGAAAAGAAGTCCCCTAGCAGAAGAAGCCACGAATGGGGAAGAGCGCTCAACAGGCGGCACATGGCCGTTTAATGATGTTATAATGCAATGTCAACGCGTCTTAGTAGCTTTCGCTTGGCTGAAGAGAGCTTGCATAACACACAGGACTCGAAGGTAGGGCCGGCTATTATTTCTTGCAAATAATCACCGGCATTCGAAGCTGTCGAGTATGTTATCTGGGTTCATGACGATATTGAACCCTTACTATTAGAAGATGTGCTTGCCCCACGGGCCTCTACTACTACTTGGCATGTATAGTATGTAAGTTAGATTCGATGTATGTATTTCCGAGCTGGCAAAGACCTGGTGGTAATCATTGTGAACTAGTTAGATTCAAGTCTACCTCGAAGCTGTCTAATTGAGTTAATTGAGTCGACTATAAGTATCTCATGTTATATATTTCAACTTCCCAAGACCGATTTCAACAATACTTAATAGTAGAGCTCCGTATCCATCCCCAATCTTACGCAATCTGAATATAGTATATGTTCATGTTAGCCATGGGCCTCATCAGAGACGATTTTCAAAATCGCGTATTCCCACGGGAGGAGGCGGTCTCAATTACATTCCCTATCCACGACACTTAATAGTCTTACGTATATGAGGGCTAAAAATAGTATCAAAATTAAACTTCTCTAACCCCACAACCCGAAGAGAAAGTTATCCGAGTTGGGAAAGTTGTCCTAAAGTGAAAACTGCCTAGTTCAGATTAGATCCAATGTTAAATCCTCTATTCTATTACAACTAGATACTCAGGCCAAGATTCAACTATCGACGGTAACCTTTCATGCATGAAGAACTATAAATCCAACTATGGTCGGGCCATCGATTCGAATACGAGGAAGACGCCGGGATTGACGACGGTGTAACTGGTCGCGCATGGGGGAGTGTATGTAAGGAGGAATAGGGCGAGACCAAGAGTGGCGGTCGCTATTAGGAGCCAATTTTCTCTCTCATCACGTAATAAGGGTTGTTCGATTATGTTGGCTGAAGGAGATTGATATTGAAGTCTCGAAAGGTTCGGGTTTATCGCCAGCATAAGATCTCTTGTATGATGATGTGCTGCCAATTTGCCGCTTGTCGAGGACCATATTGTCGATACCGCTTTCAATGATTCGTATACACTGTGAAGTGTCCCTAATCGCCTACAGTTTACTATTATCAGTGTGATAAGAAGAAATAGAGTAAGGTCGTTACTCGCCTCATAATCACTACACAGTGTCAATGTTGATACCTCGTAGCTCGCCAGTCCAATACAGTTACTTCTATTCGTTGCTTGCCAGGCACCAATACCAACAATAGCCGATACTATAAGTGATGCAATAGCAATATATTCGGAAACACTGAGGTATGATATTAAAACCCAGTGCTGCTGTTTCGGTGCTTCGTAGGTTGTCATATGTCCCAACGTCATCAACAAATTCATACTTCCTATCATGATATTTATTACGCCATTGCCTAGTCTAATCCATCGCCTTATATAAGCCATTAGAAACTTATATTTCTCCCAACTCAGTTAGATCTTTAAGGACTTGTTATATGGCCTGTCTCTAGTAGAGTTGTGTTGGCGTAAATATGCTTGACTACCCTGATAAGGTGAAAGAGGTTGGCTAATTGTAGCTACATCAGCAAGCTCAATAGAAAACATTATATATTGCATTGGCCTAGGTGCATAGGAGGTAGTTAGCTCGGTGTATTACCACAGTGATTCGGTATTCTCCCACAAGGCTTAATGGTAGTTTATCTCACAAGGCTACAAGTAGCACGGGGCGAAGCAAGGCCGCATACGCATGAGGTTTATGCACATATGGCCAATGATTACTGGTACCAATGTGATATGTTAAGTACCATTTATACATGTAAAGTATAAGCTTAGGCGTAATAGAAGGTTGACAAGTCTGCCTTGTGTGTAGTACTCGAGTCACCTAGAGACTTATAAACTTTGATACGTACTATATACTGTTTAATCACTGAATTGTAGTGTTGTTCCTTAGCAGCCTCGGGTTGCTTCATAACCTACCCGTTGCCGGTTGTTCCGTTGCTGTGTTGGAAGTCCCATCAAATCGCACATTTCCATAGTTTATTGCCCACCACGTTATCATAGATAAACCCTTAACTATATCATACTTGAGCGACATTTGAAACAACCGCTAGGGTGTATATGTACCTACCTAGGTATATGATTGTGAAGTTGCTATGGCTTAAATATTTGCATAATCATTGGCTGATGACACTGGTTAGACCGTATCGATTCTCAAGCAGTGAACTTAACGAGCTAGACTAGTTCGAATAACCATACATACTTGACCGCTAACGAGCCGAGTCGGGTTACTTGGATTTTGAGGCTTACTTGATAATACCTATCGTCGACTTGCCCCGTAACCTCCTATAAGGCCACACCTAACAACTGACTTGTTGAACTCGCTGGATATAAGATAAGAGACTCTAGACGTACTATTCATCTCCTAATCTACCCCCCTCCTTTCTCGGGGACTATGAGTAAGCTTTTAGTGCTTTTAAATTAACCATAGAGTGATTGAATACTGGCATGTTTTTCTATTTCGAGTTACTAGACTCCCGTAACGTTCGTATACCCAAGACAGAGAAGAAGAAAAGTAGGATAGTGATAAAATGGGACGGCTTGGAAGATACTGCAACTCATATAAACGCTGTCTAAAGGGTTGCTACTATTCGTCTCATGTTAGATGAGATGACTGATCACTACCAAAGTATATATCTAACAAGAGCCATCATCGATGCTACTCTATTCAAATGCTCTAGGATATAATCCAATACATATGATATGAAAGTTAATAGCACTTTGAAATGATGCTTCTAAACATAGTCCTGATTATTATGCTAAGTATTTCTGGTTGAAAGCGGCGTAGCGATGTATTTTTAGAGTGGTCACAATGTACTTTGACCAACATGCTCCTGAGAAAGCCTAAATTGTTACTTATCGCACTCATCACTATGTAGACCATCTAACCTAACCTAGGCGTATGCCTATACCTATATGAGGCTAACGAATACGACGTTGCCGCATATAATCTCACCAATCACATCATGGATACTATATGGCGTTATTCCTATTTGACCTTTAATGTCTCATTTCAAACCACCTCTTAGGACGACATTGAAATGTCATAACCTACTAACCTACTAACCTAGATACTGCTCATTCATGCCAACGCACGCCCGCCATCTCCGCAGCATTGGATGTGCAAATCGCATACCTAGGCATCTAATTTCCTTCATTAGCTTCAAAATAGTTCCGCTTATGTCACGACGCGTCTTAATTAATTGAGCTGGCCCCATGTCTGCAGATACAGTGTTGGTGGTCTGACTTAGACTGTATGGATACCTACCATACGTGTCTCCCCGCCAGCCCCGGATGCACAATCTATCTCATCATCGTTCGAATCTTTGTTATGGTGTGAGGCGGGGTTCAAATGCAGATGATACAGGTACCCAACTAATGCACATGAGCGGGCGCCAGGTGTATCATATATAATATTGTTCTCATTCCCATATTTTATAAGATGGCACCTGTTTGTCAGAGTTGAAAGTTAAAATGCCTTCATTTTCATTTTTAATTTGATTATGCTAAAACACGGAAAGTGGTCAATGCGTCTGGCGGTAAGTGGACATCGATTTTACCCCCTACCGGAAGCCACTTTGATGCATGACCATTCAAGAAAAAAACATTTGCGATCAAACTACCCTCTTTGCGATTTATCTGGGTCATATTCCGAAGCTTGGTTAGCGAATAATCTGGTTCAATTTAGCTCAAGTTTGGTACGAGTCGATCTACTATATCTACTATCAGCTAGACGCGAGCGCAAAACTTGGGGTTACGCGTAAGAATTTTTCCGTGGGCTTTTGCTTCTGGTCAAGCAATGACATGACAATGGCTTCCCAACCTCGCATTTTTGGAGCGAGCCAGCCTCCTGTGAGCCAAGCGCCCGTGAGCCAGCCTACTTCGTTTGGAACGTCAGGAAACCTTTGGGGAAGTTCAACTACGGTGTCGGGCCAATCGACATCGGCGTTTGGCGTAACTCGGAAGACAAAGACTCCTAAGCAGACAGTTGGAAATAGCACTATATTTCCAACTACAACTCCTCAACACAAAAGGTCTCATAAGGTTCTATTTGGAGGCTCTAAACAGCCCATCCAAACTCCAGTGTCTTTATTTGGCACCACTACTCCTCAAACTACCAATAACATCCCTAGCTTTACACCTCAAACCGTTCCGCCTCAAGCAACTCAGACGAACCACTCGGGGAATCCGGCCAACCCACAACTAAGCTTCTTCAGCATCGGAAGGTCTACTACCCCGGCCAGCCCTTCACCAATCTCACGATCAAGGAGTTCTATATCGAGGAGTTCCATAGCAAGCGGCACTGTAACTCCTGCTACTTCGTTTACTTCCCAGTCACAGTCAACTTCCGAACGAGAGTCGACTCCTAGGTCTTTTAAGACCCATACCGATCCAAATGGCGACTTATGTCTCACCGTGGGTCCCCAGGCGGCGGAATTTGTAGTATGTTCCAAGACTATGGCGAGGTCGTCGCCTTTCTTCAAGAAGATGCTCTACGGAGGATTTGCCGAAGGCAAAAAGGCGCAACCGGAGAGCGGAAAACCGGACTGGGTGGTGAAGCTACCCGAGGACAATGTCGCCGCCATGACAATCATCCTCAACATCATCCACGGCCGTTTCGACAAGGTCCCCGGTTATGAAGATTTTGTCTACACGACGCATTTCTACAACCTTTGCGTCTTGACAGATAAATACGACATGACCCACGTCTTACGGCCGTGGGCTAAAGGTTGGTCGCGCTCTACGCATAACCAATGCGAAAAGCTTGGCCAATCTTTGCGAACGAAGTTCTGCCACGAAAGGCTGTGGATTGCGTGGGAGCTTGGGGACCAGGTTGCTTTTGAGGGTATGGCGAAAGGGATGCTCATGAACAGCTCCGCCTCGGCAGGTAACAATCTGCGTTATGTTGGGGCAATGGAGCCACCTGGAATATATGGTATGTCTAATCATTTAACCCCTATTGCGTTTCCTATAGCTTATGAAAACCCACTCCAGAGAGGATAGAGAAAGTCCGGTTGGACACAATCACGTCGCTTCTTAAGCCCTTGAATGATATTATCGGACGTCTTGTCCGGAATGACGTATCATTCTGCAGGCAATGCGACTCCTTCAACAAACACCGATGTCTGGCTCTCACACTTGGAAAAACCATCCAGGCTCTTCACCGCCATGGGCTTTGGCCGCTCCCAGAGTCCCTAACCGATCTTCCATACAGCGTATCGACTCTTGCTCAGAAACTGCATCTCATAGAAACCGAGATAAATAAGGATAGTCATCACAACTCCTTGTTTGGTTCGGTCGATAGTGTAAGAACCGAGGTCGAGAACACCTTAAACGCCATTCCTTCGCTACTAACCGAAACACACCTCAAACACCTCGCAGCCCAGGCTAAGAAGACCGGATTCGCTACGCCCGAAGCCTTAATAGCCAAACCATGAGCAGAGTTAATACCCACCATCAGCACTTCGCCTACTAGTGGAAGTGGGCCGTTCAGACACTCATGCTGCTAAGAGCTTATGAGATTAGAGCTATCAAAGCTCGAGAAATCCTCGGAGTCGCTCACCAGCATGGAGTCGTCAAACACCACAACTATAGGCGATCATTAATATATTACCGGCGGTCTTGAGGGCCAATATTTACTTTTGGCCCTCTGCTGCTGAGCACAAACCCCCTACCCCGACAGATCCGGGGTAACCTTATCAGCCGTAGTCAGTACACGGCGGGGGAGAAGCGCACCGTGCGCGCATACTATGTATATACAACTTACGATAGAAGTATAATTTGAGACATACCGTTAAACCATTTATGAGAATACTTCCTTCAGGCCGAATTTGGTGAGAGTTTACATTGGAGCGGGCCGTCGTAATGCGGCCACCATATGGCTACCTAAATGCGGGATTCTTGAAAATAAACGATACGTGCTGCATTGTAACATGTAAAAATTGGATTCACACCAAAACCTCCAATACCTACATATGTACTAAACAATACCTGGTATCTAAAGTGCCTAACCTAAGTGTCTATTTTACACATCCATGCTTCCTGGATCCTGACTGGTAAAGATCTTGTAAATCCTCTTGCTGATAGCGGGACCTACGGCGCGATCCGAGAAAGCACCGTCTTTATTAGCGCACCTGCGGCAGTTTTCGAGCGCAAGAGGGCCGTCCTCCTCGAGCCCACGCACAAGCTCGCTCACGGTGCCGTACTTGGCGGCGATGCCATATGCGATGGGCGCCGTCACGCGCGTCACCTCCTGTAGCATGCGGAGGTAGGTTTCCTTAGCACCCTCGCCCGTCCGCACTTGCCCGACCTCCATGCAGAATCCGGCGTCCGTGGCCGCGTCCCGCGCCTTCCTGTACGGGATTGTACTGATGTGCTGCGTGAATACGGCGACCCACTCCGCCGTTTCGACCGGCACGTTCGTGTGGTGGATCAGAGCCCCGTGGACGACTTGGAGAGAGAGGAGCGCGTCCTCAATGATATCTTCGTCGATGTACTCTTGCTGGGTGGTATCCCGGCGTCGGGACGGCTGGCTGGACGAAGAAGTAGATTCCGCAACATTATTAGTGTCGAGAGCACGAACCGCCGATGTGAACCTCCGATTGAGGATATTCTTGTTTTTGCGCATCCAAGGTGTGAGACCTTCTATCAAGTAGATCAATGTACCATCGGGGAAGCTTGTCTTCATCTTGAGAACGTGAGCTTCGAGATCTTGGCCTTCGGGGCCGAGAACGAGCTTAACGAAACCGGCGGCTTCGATGATGACCATGACATGCTCTTCCGCCTTGATGCGCATTGGAATCGGCTCCCAGTGTCCGAGCTCCTCGTTATACTTGGAGCCCACTTTTCGCCGCCATTTCACGACGTTGCTGGCGTGGCTATGCCAATACTCGAATTGGACATCCATACTACCAAGTAGCTTCTCTATCTGAGTTTTAATGCCAACGCTCAAGGCGCTGGGAAGGTCCACAATCATCTCAGGTACGGCTGCCTTCCTGTCAGTCTTGAGCTTATTAACTTCAGCTAAGGCTTTCTCCTTTTCCTTCTCGATTGCCCGCTGCTGTTTTGCATTCTCCTTTTCAACCCGTATCCGTTCTTTTTCCGCTTCCCGAGCCTCTGCCTTTTCTCTCTTTTCTTGCTCCTTTTCTTCGTTCGTTTTCTTTGGGCCCGCCGTCTTTTTGGCCGTTAGAGTCTTGGCTGTAGGTTCAGACTTTTTACGAGGCGGAGAAGGTGATAGACTATATTTGCGTCTACTTAATCTCGAGAAGTTGATTTCGCTTAATTCCGGCAAGTCGGAATCCGAGTCCATCAGACTATCTCGCTTTGGCGCTCTAGATTCCGGCATCGAGCTCGATATTGGATCCCAAGCTCCGTTTTGCTTCGACTTTTTAGGCAAGCGAATTCCCTCGGGGCTTTCAGGTTCGCCATCGGAAAGGTCTATGAATATAGGCACTTTCGATGCCTTTTTACTCGTAAGGGAATCGGATGTGTCATCAGCCGGTAATTTTTGGGCCCTCGATGGTTGGAATTCGTTAACGTCTTGTCTAGGAGAACTCCTAAATGGGTCGCTTGATAGATCTAATAAAAATGATTTGGCATTGGTAGCTGTCTGCTTCTTTGGTGGGCTTTCGAACGGGTCTGACAAAACATCTGGTTTATTCTGGACTTTGCGAGCTGTAAAGCTGCCAGGAGAGCTGCTATGTTCAATTGGGTCGATTACTGAGTTCCATCGCTTCAATACAACTGGTGAAAGCGGTTTGCGAACCTTGGAAGAACCTGTGGCGGATTTGGTCTTCTTTAAACCAGTATCCTCCCTTTTCTTGAGACGTGTCGTAGAAGTCGAGGCCCGGGCCTTCTTTGCTACATTGCCATCAAGGTCCCCAGTTGTATCGGATTCATCCGAAAGGAACAAAAAGTCGTTATCTTGTCGTATATGCCCGCTATTAGTTCGCTTCGCACCAGTGACCAGGCCGTAAGATCTTTTGTCTGATTGTCCATTGGGTCTTTTTGGAGGCGGCACCGCGGTCAAATTATAAGAACCATAATCGAGGGCCCTGGAGGGACCGGCTTGGCCTACCCGCGGAGAGACTTCTGGGGAGGTAGCGAGAATTGGTCGGGATGGGGCAACCGGGCTTGAGGACAATAGACTAATAACTTCAGTTGGCATTTTTACATGACCAGGGCGATGAGCCAAGTAAGTGAAAAGCTCTGAAACATGCGGATTTAAGCCAACAGGGAGTAGCAAAGGCTAAGACTAAGATGTCAAATTAGTCCTTGAAGGTGTCGACTGTAGACGAAACGTTAATCTATTAGTTCAAAAATATCACTTTGGGCAAACAACGCGTAATTGTTTAGTCGCGACAGCGACGCGCGACACGTGACACGATAGTTGATATATTTAGCACATTAGCACATAACCCCCTTTTTGAAATTGATTCTTGCCCATATACATATACGACTATTAGGTACATACAGATATTTGATTATGCAATATATCAAGTTCGACTCGGATAATATATGCCGTTTGGCTTAGGACCTAACGTTGTTTCTTACCAATATCTAAATCGTAAATTGGGGGTTCTGTTCAATTCTTACCTAGGTACGCTTAAAAGCAATGCATCGTCTGAACTTCGTATTGTTAGCAACAAGACTTCGACTGCATGATTTTGCAAAAGATTCTAGTCCGAGGTTATCGATCTCATCATCTCATGCTCATGTACTCTAGATGCGAGGGGCGCTTTCCGGATTACAACCGCTTTTTGTAAGGCTAGGATACGGTAGAGTTGAGAGGCATTCTGGTTAGGACAGCAGGATCGTCGTTTAACAATAAGATTGCGATATGACTGAGAATTTATGTAGCAGATGTACGTATTGAACTTCCACTGCCAGCAATACCATGTTAAGAGAATTTCCGTTCGCATCCTTGCGGTAAGCATGCACGCTCAGGCAGTGGGATCAGTGGGAACTCACCGGCAGAATGCAGAATCCAGATGCGTACTATGTATGTGAAACTTTGAGCCTGGGAAGAAAAACTGGGCAGCTTAGGTACCTTAGTCGCGGTATCGTCGGCATTTCCTGCGCCGCATTGGCTGCGCACGATGACTGATCAACAACGCTTCGAATGCACGTTCGGAGATTTCAGTAAGGGTACATTGCAGCTGTAGAATGAGATAGCTAAATCGGATAGCTGATGAACTTGGAAGAAGACAAGCCATAGGGATTCCTGGAGTATAATACAGTACCTAAGCAGAGTAGATATATAGGTATATATATTACCTATGTCAGAAGTCGAACCGCATGTATTCAAATGTATTCAAATGAGACAGCTGGAAATTCTATTTTCTATTCGGATTTTTCACCCGGTTGAACTTATAGCATGGATACCTCACTTTTGATGTTTATGTTCAAATCATCGAAACATCATCCATCACAATGACCAAGGAAACTGTCACTATGTACACCACGTTTAACGATAAAATAATAGTTGGCCTACTTAATGTATAATATATTGATTGTGGGTATTATGGTATTATCGAGTTGGTTAATTTACACGTTGTAAAGTCTTGAGCTTTAAAACGACAGCTTGAACGAGATATTACTTATGTGGTTTGTGTAAATGTCTTGATAACTACATGTATAAGTTATTTATTTCTTGCTGTATGCTAAAAATCCTGTTTATAAAGGTTTGTTTCATGGTGTATCAAGGATACCTAATATGTACATAGGTAGCCAACCGGCAATTGGAGTTGACTACATGAGCCAGTGTAACCTCAAGAAGCCCCGCCTATTTAACCTTGAGGCTATAACCCTGGCATGCAGTTATAATATTATACAGATGCTACTTTTACGATTAAAGAATGCTAGAATATAATATTTGCTTTGACATTAATTGAAAACCATTGGTGAAATAAACACTGTCAAAGTTCATCGAGACATGTGTATGAAGGCATACTTGTTTATGCAGCTACAAGCTTGAAAGCCATCGATTTTAATGTCGATCATTTTCAGGGGAAGTACATAGATAGAGTAGTGTGGTTCTTTAGTGTGAGACTAAGCGTAGTTGGTTATCCAGTTTTCATCCCCAGCTGTCGGGTTAGGCTCTGACAAGCGCTCGCTAACCTAGAGCATTGACCGTTGGGATCTAGATATGCTGAAAGAATACGTACATGATACGAAATCCCTTTTTGGTATCATTTCATCCTGTAGGTTGGTAGGGCGTCTGCATTGACCGTCCGAGGCAAGTTAAGCACCTCAACGGTCAGGGCCAGTCAATTAAGATCAAAGGATCATAGGCGACTATGTTCCGGTAAGACAACTGAAACATGCGTCTTGATGCTTGAATCATGACTGGAACAATTGCTCGAGATTATGACTGCGACATACACGTGACATCCACAGGATCGAGGGGTCCGTGAGCGATGAGCATGTAATACTTACTTTTCATAAAAGCGCCTCACGATTTATAAGCATCAGTATTATGAGTTAATAGAATATGCCCTTTACTGACGAGAAAGGGGAATATGAAATTGCTATCAAGTTTCTTTTTCTTTTTAATATTTTACAGTAGTATATATCCGATGCTAACGAACTATCGCTTCTTACTATAGCGACCTACGATATGCAGTGGACCCATCATTTGTGACCACGAAGATATCGTTTTCGTGGGGGAAGTAAAAAAGGATAGGTATGATTGGACAGGTTAACCAATTGTGCGACCTAACACTCGACGCCATAGTTTAAGTACCTTTAAATAGTTTGTTCTAATTATTAATCTAGCAAAATTCAATACAGCTCTTAAATTACCGTCGATGTAGCAATATTAACATATACACAGAGAATAAGTTCTCCTAAATGGTCAATCACTTCTCTTAAAAAGTGGCTGGCAACTCTTGATATTATTGCATTTCTAAGCACGGTAAATCATATTGGACAGAGTTGAGATTGACAACACGAGAATGGCATTTATGCCTGTAACTGATTTCCCATTTGGCACATTTCCCCCCTTTGATACCACCTTTACGTAGTAGACTTTACAAAAAGGAACCGCTCTGGCGCCATTGCTTTCTTAAAAATCAGCCCTCGGAATTTGCTTGCACTAATTTGGCCATCCTGACCCGCTCTCATGTGCTGCATTTGGTGCTAGAACATCTGCATATGTGGGTATGTGCTCAGTTGGAGCCAAGATACCTAGCCTGTCTGCCTGTATGTACGTGTACGAAGCAGATCATGGATGCATGTGGGCTTTGTTTTCCATCTCACATATCTCACGCTAGGTGACCTTGGCTGCCTATGTACATAAGACATATGTACATCAGATAATTACGTGTGTATCTGTATATATGTATATGCATGTAGATGTCCCCCACTGAAAAAGGGCCCCGATCAAAGAATATTTTGGTATTGAGAATCTTTTTTCGAATGTCTCCTTGCAGTGGGACAAAGACACAACAATCGGTATAGATATCGAAGCCAAATATTAATTAAGGTTTCCTTTGGGTAGGTAGTTATTTCTTTATACATTTTGATATGCGTGGCAAAAACGTGGATGTCCCACTACTCAGTACTCAGTTTGTCCTGCACGGAGCACAACCTATTATGCAGTAACGCCATTGCAACGTAGAACTTCTGGGATACCAACTTCTAGGATAACATGGGATGACTGCGTCGGGTATCTACCTAGGTAGGTAGCCATCGAGGACTGTGTGAAGTATGCCTCGGGGCTTTATAAGTTGCATACAGTAAACAAACTCAAACCAACCTGCAGGATCTAAGTTAACATCCGATCTAATGTACCTGTATGTACAAAGCCGTACACGTACAAGGCCTACATACCTAGGTAGTTAGCACATTCTTTCAGGATAATTAATACGTAGAGAATAATCCCTCTCCTAAATCCGTTGCCGCTCTTATAAAATCGCAGAGTAGGCTAATACTTGCGCGATTAGTAAAAAAGTGCCGGACAGTTATTACCTCTTATGTGGCTATTACTTATATATTACATATGCCATGCATTAACTAGGGTATACGTAGAGGTAATATTGGTATGCGTTTTCGCATTAAGCGACTAGACGACGTGTTTAATTTAACCTTGACTCTTTTTGGTAACCGTCTAGTTCTGATAGGGGAGTGGACCCCTGTAACTGATTTTGCGCGCGGCACCCCTGCATCCCCTGTTCACCCCCTGCTTATCCCACGATTAATCCCATCGATGAATCCACTACACCCACTGCACCCACTGCACCCACTGCACCCACTGCTGCAGCAAAAGAAAGCAAGCAACGACATAGTGTATCTAGCGTAGGTACATAGAGGTAGAGACCTAATCAATCGTCGAATTTTTAGTGCACGTTCCTGGCCTAAATAATAAACAAGTGCTACCCCAAATTGTCATTCCACCCCCTAATTCTGATCGCCGTCCCCCGTCTACGTTCGAGAATAGAGTCTGTGAACTCGACGACCACGCGCGACAAGAAAAATGTCCTGGGCGCATTAGCGGCGGCATCGTGAAATACATGCGAATACATACGAATATACGCGACTACATGCGACGCATGACGTTCCTATACCATCGACAAGTCTTGATAACCTTTCTAGGTTGAAGGGTTTCAACCCATAGTCAGAAGACACTTTTGGGTGCTTGGGCTTTTATATTCGATATTCGACTACCTTGATTGACTTTCTTACAATCGCCTCATTCGTTCTCAACCTTCCACCAACCCGAATCGATCATCTCTTCGATATTTCGCGCAGTAATATCGCACATTTTCACTGGCTTGGCCCTCGTATAGGTATTTACCAGGCTGGTTCCCCACGCCGTTATGGCAACATCTCCTCCCGGATCACCAGGCTTACCACGACCGTCAAGCGCTATGGTAAAGCCGGCACAAAGAAGCAATAGCCGCTTAAGTATGAACAGCAGAGTAGGGGGGAGTAGGGCTTCGGATGAAGATGGGGGTCGCACTGCTGTAAAAGTTGGTGAGTATCACATATCTCTAGGAGGCCCTCTTAGGTTTGATAACAACAGATCACAACGCTAACAGTTGACGGGTAGCCGTTCGTGTGCGGCCACCGCTAAAACCTACGGATCCCGGCTACGAACTGATTCCCCAGCGATTTCAACGGTCTATGGTGCAGACCACCTCGAATACGGGCATTGCCATCGATTCGCCGCAAGGAAAAAAGCTCTTCGTCTTCGACCGAGTCTTTAGCTCTGATATTGACCAAGAAGGGGTCTGGGAATACCTACAAGACAGTATTAACGCCTTTATCCAGGGTTACAATGTCTCTCTACTCGCATATGGCCAATCCGGTGCGGGAAAGTCCTACACGATGGGAACATCTGGACCTAATGAACAAGGCGACTTGGAGTCCATGGGTAAGTGAACTGTGAATTTGCAATATATTCAATACTGACATGTCTTCCGGGCAGGCGTAATCCCGCGAGCTGCGATGGCTCTATTCGAGAAGTTGGAGGGCCCCTCGCGAAGTTCTAATCGTAGTTCCATGTCCCAATTGCGAACGCCGGCGCGATATTCGTTGCAAACGCCAACGCCAAAGAGCGAAAAGAATTGGCAATTGAAAGCAACGTACGTAGAGATTTACAATGAGCAGCTTCGCGACTTGCTTGTGCCAGACCATTTTCATCAATATGAGCGAAGTAACGTCACAATTCGTGAAGATCAGAAGGGTAACATCATCCTTACTGGCCTGCAACAGATTGACATTAACTCGGTGGACGATCTTATGAATGCTTTAAACTTTGGTTCAACCATTCGACAGACTGATGCGACAGCTATCAACGCTAAATCTTCGCGTTCGCACGCCGTCTTCAGTTTGAATCTAGTGCAGCGCAAGAGCAAATCACAGAGCGCCCAAGGGACTAACAAGAGGTTTTCAGTTCCGCTAGAAGCCATGACCGGAACTGAGACTTGGGTTACAACTGATAGCAAACTTCACTTCGTTGATTTGGCTGGTAGTGAACGTCTAAAGAATACTGGCGCTCAGGGCGAGCGGGCCAAGGAAGGTATCTCTATTAATGCTGGCCTTGCAGCTTTGGGCAAGGTTATATCACAGCTGTCATCTCGACAGGCCGGGTCTCACGTCTCGTATCGTGATTCGAGATTAACTAGACTCCTCCAGGATTCCCTCGGCGGGAATGCCATCACTTACATGATCGCCTGTGTGACTCCGGCAGAGTTTCACCTAAGCGAAACTCTTAACACCGTACAGTACGCGCAAAGAGCCCGAGCTATTCAGAGCAAACCTAGGATCCAACAGGTAGAGGAGGGGGACAAACAAGCAATTATTGAACGCCTAAAAGCCGAAGTTGCTTTCTTACGCGATCAGATCCGAAACGCGGAACGCATTGGGGGCGAGCGTCGCAATGTTGCGACAAATGAGAAGTCCGAGCGGCAAAATGAACGGGAGTCAGAGTTACAAGATCAGCTCTTAGACGTTCAGGAAAGTTACAACAGCCTCAGCCAGCGTCATGCTAAGCTCATTGCCGAAATGGCTAAAGCCCGAGATAACGAAGCTGCCGAGAACCAAGATTTCGACGAGCAACTCGGTGATACAGCAACAGAAAGGTTAAATCGGTCTAATTCGTTTGCCCAAGCTGTCGAACAGGTTGTGTTGGAATACGAGAAAACAATACAATCGCTCGAGCAGTTACTCACCAGCACGCGGGCCACACTCTCAAGCACGGAAACGAGCCTTCTCGAGAAAGAAACGAAGTGTGCTTACGTTGAAACAATCAACACTCAGCTGCAAAAACGTTTACAAAAACTGATGGATCGTGAGGCTAGTACAGAGAGCTACCTTCACGACTTAGAAGCTAAGCTTGACGGTCACACATCTGGCGAAGAAAAGAATGCTACCATCGTCCTGGAATTACGCAAAGAGATCGCACGAATCCGAGACAATGAAGCCTCTTGCGAGGAGTATATTTCAACCTTGGAGGAGAGACTTGCCGAGTCTGATCAAGATCAGGAGTTGATGCAGCGCGAGATTGACCGCCTTGAACAGGTTATTGAACGCCAACGAAGCCTTGGCAAACTCGACAGCCTCCTGCACGAACTAGATCATACCCAACCAGATGGCAAAGAGTCCGACGCCCAATCTGAGCGTGGAAAAAGCAACGGACACCGCCGTACCATGTCAGAGCGGTCGACCAAGAGCCATGTTAGTCGACAAAGTTTAGGTATGAGAGGAACTCTTCCCGAAGTCGCTGAAGGTACCGAGGAAGATGCCAACGACCAAGATCGCCCCGATACCGCCAGCGATCATGAAGCGGCCGACATGACCATCGACACGCCAGAGAGGGTGCCGTCGCCTACAGATTACCCACCTCAGAGTCCAGCACAAAATAAATATGTTGCCGACAAACTTGAGAATGTAACTGAAGAGCTTGTCGCCCTACGAGTCGAGCACGAGTCAACCATCAACGAATACGACATGCTCCATGCGAAATACGAAGAGGCTTTGCGCACCCTAGCAGAGTTACAGGACCAGGTCGATGAGGCAAGGCACCCAACCCGTCAACGCGATTCGATCCTATCAATAACTTCTCCGATCGATACCAGGCCTCAGAGTTTTTTATCCGAGATGAGATCGAGCGGCGCCAAAGATGGGACGCATTTATCGCGATCGCTATCCTCGGAATTATCATCAGCTATGGATTCCCCTACTACTATCGATATTCCGGAGAGCGAAGCGTTTAAGCCTTCTGAGTCTAGGGCCACTCTAGTAACGGAAACAGCGAGCGCCGATAACAGCGAAGCTCTCACTGCAGAGCTAGAGAGACTCAAGGCATTAGCCGAGGAGAAAGAGGCAGCAGAGAGAGAGCTCGCCGATAAGTATGCTCAACTGGAGGAAATGCACCAGGAAACGCTGGATATGGTCGAGGAGCTCAAAACTGAAGTGGTCAAGGCCAAATACGCAGAGCCACCTTCCCCACGGACCGGTACACCAGTAATTCGCCGAAAGTCCAGTCAGAACATGATGATAATTGATCGTGCACATCGATCATTCGCAACGCTCAGAAATATGGCAGCTGAGCACTTCGAAGAACAGCCCGATGTTATGCAGAACTTCGATCTTAACCTAAATTCTGCCATGCATGAGCTACATGTTAGATCAGAGCGCATCCAGGAACTAGAGGCCGACGTTGCTACCGCGAAGAAAGAAATGGAGAGCAAGATGACGATCATTTCAGGTTTAACACGTGAGCGATCCAGCTTGAAGTCTAGTCCTATAGATATTTCAATGGTTGCTGCATTAAGGGAGCAGCTAGAGAGGAACGAACGACAGCTCCAAGACATGCAAGAGAGTCATGCTGCACGTGAAAAACAACTTGTTGATGAGTTAGAAGCTCTGCGCATTTCGGTTAGGGAAGCTGCCGAGGTTCGATCAATGTCAACGACGCAGACACAGGGTGGGAGCGAGCAAGAACGTGAGTTGCGTGTAGCCCACGAGGCTAAGATTGCTCACCTTGAAGCCGAGCTTCTCAACTGGGAAAGTAAACACAACGCCACGTTGGATGCTTTGCAAACGACCGAACAGCAAATGAAGAAAACCATCACCGATCTTGAAGCAGAGGTCGCAGCTGCGTATGCAAAGATGGACGAATCTCGAGGACAAGTAAAGAGCGACGAAGAATCCGAAGAAGCGGAAGCTAAGCACCAGGGCCTTGTTGCTACGCTGCGTAGCGAGATCGAGAAGTTTAAGGCGATCGTTGATGGCAATGCTGCCAAGGTAGCTCAACTAGAGCAGGCACATGCTCTTGCGAAAGAGCAGCTCGAAGAGGTTTCTAAGGCGCGGGATATTTCATCTGCAGAATCGCGCGGTTATCAGGAACTTGTTAGTCGGCTCGAATTACAAATAGCAGAGCATGGAAAGGCCCTCCGGAACCACGAGGAAAATCTAGCTCAGCTCCGCGACGACCATGCCAGGGAAGTCGACGAGGTTCGGGCCAGCTCTAAGGAGGAATACGACGCACAAATCGATATGCTCATGTCAGAGCATGCTGAAAACATTAGATTTCTGGAAAGCGATGTTGCGGAAGCACGCGACGAGCTTATGAAGATTGCCACCCAAGTCGCTTTCGCGTTAGGTCTTGAAGTAAGCGTTGATAAGATCAGCGAGCGTATCGAGGACTTGATTGCGGATCAAAAGGCTTTGTCTGTTGAGCAGCAGAGGTCCGCCGAGCTCGAAGGTCATATCGATGAGTTGTCAGCCATCAACAATACGATTATGCGTGACCTCGAGACAGTGAAATCTTCGCTGAATGGCATACTTCATCCTGACAGCGAAGATTTGAAGAGCCCCTACTCCTCCGTGACAGAGCAGCTTGCGGCCCTGAAGAAGCGAATGCATGATCTCGAGAACAAGAATAAGAAGCACTCTCGTTTGGTAGAGGAATTAGAGGACCAGTTGCAGACTAACTACGATCAAGCCCAACTTACCAATAACAGATTGTCTACGCTCCAAACTGAGCGCAACATGCAATTAGAAGAGGCCCATGCAGCCAGAATCAAAGCGCAGGCTGAGTTGGAAACTGTTCGGGAAGAAATGGTCGCCTTGCAGGTGAGGCTTATCCTACACCTACCCAACCCGTTATTACACTTGACTAACATGTATCCAGGCTCGTGTCGAAGAGCTCAGCGCTGTCGATGGACCAAAGCGAGCTGATTCTACGAGTTCGCAGGTCCGCAAGACAGCATCCGTCATCTCTTTGCCATCTCCACCGCCCGCCATCCCTCTTCCCCCGCTGCCACCCGGTGGTGCGGCCTCGCCAACTCAAGGTATCCCACCAGCGTCAATTGGTGGTCGGCCATCTAGCCGTGATGTTGCTCTAGCTCAGATCCGAGAGGACCAGGAGGCACGCATACAAAGCATCGAGAGACATCTCAAGGCTGAAAGGCAGCTTACTTCTACATTGGAAGAAGCTCTGACTGATCTTGAAAGCCAATCTAAGAGGATGAAGGCTGACTGCGAAGCCTGGAGGAAACGTGCCCAAGACCTTGAGGCAGAAGTTAAGGAGCTTAGGGAGCGACCTCAACGGGAAAACCGTGACAGCCTTTACCAGATTGAGGAGGAGCGCAAGAAGCGTCAAGACGCTGAGAGGGCTAGAACCCATCTAGAGGAGCGCATGAACGCAATCAACAACAAGAAAAAGAAGAAAGGTAGCCTCAACTGCTTTTAGTCGCGGGGTTGGCGTGATATGCCTCTGACCGTCCTTCTTGCCCCCAATCACGACGCTATTTGGCTGGCTTGAGATTTTGCTCGGTATTGTTTTCCAGGCACATAGTGCATATCTGGCGAGGCGTTTGAGGAGTTCCGTATTTCCCTTCTTCACTTCGCGTCATGTTATGCATCTTGTACTTTTTTATTTGGAGACGTTTGTGATGTTTTACGGGCGAAAGAAAAGCCACCATATACCCTTGCGGTCTTCCCTTGACGTTTTAATTAGTCAACCCCCGATTTTTCCACGGCAGACAGACAACGAATGATCAGGATGGGATACGAAATGAACCGTTGCTAGGATGTGTTTATGGGATAGTTTTGATGAAGGACTGGACTGTCAGTCATTGAATTTTCTGCATCCTACTGGCTGCTTTTTTGCTCTACGCCGTGGTGTATAAAGTGGTTGGGCGAGAGCTTTATAGCTAAGCGTAGCAGGCTTTTTGACATCTGAAATACTACTTGAGAACTTCAATTTTCTTCAACCTGATGTGCTTTTCAAATGTGTAGTCCAGACTCCATGTATTGGCCTCCTCGTGCCAGTTGTTTATTATGTCGTGTTAGTATAGTTAGGTAGGTAGGTAGGTAGGTAGCTTATAGTTAGGCACGGTTGATGCAACATCGTATCTAGGCCAAGTAGGTTTAAAATTTTAGTCAAGATCCATGAATAGATATGACCACCTATTTCACTGCTCCATGATGCCTTGCTAATATATCTTGGGTGCCTACCTAAGGTAAGAACTTCAGCTATTTTCAGCAGAGACTACCATGTTGTCAAAGAGCCACCGGCATAACAAGGTTAATACCACTAGTATACTTTATTCAGGCGTCTCAGTGGTCCGCGATAACGCCTAATGACACATCCCTTAATATTATTGCATTATTAAGTCGCATCCTCATGACCGGGTTTTTTCCACTAATAAATATTTACGTTATTTGTATCCAAAAACCCATTCGGTTTAATTTTACCCATTGATACCAGCTGGTACTATCCTTTATCTCGATATCTCATCTAGAATCCTAACATAACCTCTCCATCAGCCATTATATGGTAAATTAAAAATTCCGAAAGTTTAAACAACACAACACAACACTGCATAATCTCTAGGACTGGAACACTTGATACGAAAAACGACAACATAATCACACAATTACTAAAAGTCAAGTTTTCGTGAAGAATGGAAAAGTTTCCACTTTCAAATAATTATAAATCCTTAACAGATCAATAATCCATCATAACCGCTTCGTCACACTGGCCACAACCGAGGCACACTCTAAGAAACTATTGACGAGGCGAAGTATCTTGAAGAGAAATAACTTCTATCCGAGTATTGACCTTTCCCCAGAAGTTTTACATGATACCTTTCAACCCGTCTCTTAAACTCCAACCGGTGTCTGGCAAAGGACGCCCTGACCAGCCTAGGAAAACTCGTTAGTGTGCATATTAGGTAGTTATGGCGAAGTCCAATAGTACTTACGACAGGTAGGATACAGCAACGGGCTCGCAGTCCATTGAGAGCGCAGGTCGTCTTGAAGTCAAGCGCGGTGATGGGAACTGTGCTGGCTGTTATAGAAGGATGGTTAGTAAAGTTTAAAATCTCTTAGAGGATAAAAATTCAAGAGATAGCCTTACGAGAACTGCAGTCGAGATCTGCTACACCGAGAGCATCGGTAGCACAGCATTGAGCAGAGCTATAGATACCGGTGCAAGCGTCGTAGAGAGCATTGGTACCTAAATATCCACGCTTGGCAGGGCTGGCGAGGACGGCGGTAGCCAGGAATGTGACGAAGAAGGTAGAGAGCTGCATGTTGATTGTGTTGTGCTTTTAGGAACTTGAAGGTTCGGTGAATGTGTAAGAAGTAGAGATGATGGATGACCTGTTTGCAAAGATGGATCTGGTTGCGGATGATAAAAAAACCTAAGATGAGCTGGGAGAATCGTTGCTTCTTATACTCGACGACAGTCTTCCTTATTGCCCATGATCAGGTTGTCTGATGGCCGAGACTCTTCACCAAGGCCTCTTCAACTTCACGACGCTAGGCAACGTAGCGGTGACATAGAGTAGACTTAGCACGGTGGATCAAAATAATGTATTTGACTCCAATAGATAACAGTCATCAGCCCATTAGTTTTATTCTTGGAAGTAGTCGGCGACAGAACCAACTTCTGTCAAGAAAATTAAGAGTTGAATGCACGCACATCACAGGGATACTTCAAAGTCTGTATTACTGGATAGGGTAAATGATCGACCATGAGAACTTGGTGAACTTGATTTGAAGAGTCTTTCCAAGCAAGTATAACCGATTAATCGAGAGTAACCAATGGGAGACAACTACGACAAGGACCCGAATGTTGCAATCGGATGTTGCAATTTTCTGTACAAATGTTGGGCGTTCTAGAACCTCTTTAGGGATATGCAACGTGCGGAGCTATTTAAGGACTAGTATACATTTTTATTCTTTATTTTGATATCTTGCATATTTTAACCTCAAAAGCACATACACGATGTTCTGGCCGTTTTCGTTAGCTCCTCCGGGCAAGCTTGCATTTGTAATGGTAGTATTCGGAAGTCGCCTATTAGGACGTTATAAGTTTGCTTCAAAGCTTTTCTGTGTTGTGCTCTCAAGAGTGACGGTTTGGTTGTTAGGCATGGTTTCGAACAAAAGCTGTAACTAATAGTATTCGTAAACCCAAAGCTACCTCATAGTTCCTATATACATTCGATAACTTGAAGTCATAAGAGAAAGTCCTCGGCGACCAGACTCTCACTACTCAAACTCCCACCTTCCATACTGGCCTATCCAAATATCAGGAGAAGTATAGGTGCATTGTCCATACCAAACCCCGTATACTGAACTTACTTGAGTACCTATAGTTAGAAATTATACGAAGTACTATGTATGTGTGCCTGGCTAGACAGGGTTAGTACAGCCACTCCCGCATCCGTGATGCGACCTCCGCAAATTCCTAGCCCTGTTTGAGTCAGGTACCTAGATACCGTTAGCTAATAAATACCCTATAATAACTATATAATTACGATCTTCTATAGGTATATTTATGTTACATTGCTTCAGCCGCAACGCCTGATTCGATTGCTGATGTGGTTTGTGGGTTTAGTCACTGACACACTGCTTGTAAGTGTATAAAATTTTGGCAACCGTTCATAGGCTGGTTGATATAATTCTCCACCTACGGATCTGAGCTAACTCAGCGATCCTTAAGGTGAACCAGATCTGACAGAAGCTTGGACAAAATTTAAGGCTTGGAAGTGCAGTGACAATCACGCCAGCCAAACGGATGCTTGCTATGTACATAAGACAGGCCGACAGGGCTAGTCGAGTCTAGAGCAGTCTGCGTACCGTTCTTCGTCACTCTCAAGATGACTAGTTAAATTCCGGTACCTACTCACAAATTGGTAAAATCTCTTCCCATCACGCCTACAGTTAGCGAGTACGAAATAGACGTACAGAATATAGATCGACCTTCATGATATAATATTTATTTTCATACAGAAGTCTTTTATGTTTGTCACTAGCGCGTTGAACTTCTAAGGCTTCTTGGATGTGGACCTCTATCCCCACGGAATCTTCTCATCTTGCATTCCGTTCTCAATACGTATAAGCGCGCGTCGCGTTTGCGCACTGCCGACCCAATCGAGGTCAAGGTCAGCGAACCAGGTAAGAAGCTTCATGCATTGGCGCTACGGGACGGGACGTCGAGAGTGATCCGGGGAGAAGTTCGGATGATACGCGGCAATGTAGGCCGGTGTCATTTTTGTCTTAGAATCTCGACCGCGGAACGCGGGTATCGGGAAGCGTTAAAGAAAAGATTGGTCTACCGAATCACATCTAAGTACCTAACCTACCTAACCTAAACGACAAATTAATTTACAGAAATCAGTCTAAATACCTCATTACCACGTCTCTAAGTCACACCAAAACAGGATTTCCATCTTGTTTCTCCATCTCCTGAGTGGTACCGAATCAAATCCCATACCGTGTACCGTGCTAGGCTCACCGGTCCAGCGGCAAAGTTCGAAATTTCTTACGTCGTTACCATTGATGTTTTGCGGAGCTTATTAGATTCCGGTGAATTCGCCACCTGCAGAAGCTGCATTAGTGGCGCAGCTGGTAAGTTCGGCAGCTAGCTTCGTCGAAAGAAAATAGGAGAAGAATAGGAGAAGAATAGGAGAAAAATAGGAGGTTGTAGTACCATGTGTTGTTCACTCGAACTGTTAATCAGCTTTGAAAAAAGATGTGTCTAGCTAAATAATTAACAAGAATGATAATATCGAATCTACCACCTAGCTTCTATATAAAATACTATTTACCTAGGTAGAAAGTCATTGTTGAAAGTATGTCCACCCCAGGCCAGAAAGAAATCTCCATGGTGTTGAGTTTACTATTTTGAGGTCATCCGCGTGATGCGTAATTTCCCTACTAATGTGTGGTAACCTCCCGAATACTCCGAAAATGAAACCTTGCCAGCCAAGTCTGTGACAAGAATATTCTAATTCTCTTTCCCCATACCATGAAGATTATGAGTACGAGGTTGTTAGCTAATAGCACGCCGCCAAAGATCCCGGACATGACAACACCATACCCAGATTCCAATACCCAGGTCAGTACTTCGAGGCCAAACCCAAAGGAGATAACTTGCTTCCCGATATTCATCGCGATGAGCATCTCGGACGTGTTGGCGTAATATGAGTCAACTGCATATGCAAGCGTGAAGGAGAAATAAAAGTATGCGGCCCAGTAATTCATGGCTCCTCCAATAAAGAAGCATATCCAATGTAATCCTAACTCTGCCGTTAACCCATACAGGACAATTCCTGCAGGCCCTATGACCATCGGAATTACCATGACTCCCAAGCGCATTTCGGCCTCCCTGATTCCGTTGTTACGCTTTGTGAAGAAAGCCGCAAGCCTGTCTGATGATGAGGTAAAAGGAACAGCAAGTCCGTAACCCACCAGAGCGGCAAGGGCAAAGAGTCCCGAGTTGGTCTGTATTGTATGTTAATCCAGATGTGAGTAACTCCTATACGAACGCGACTTACCACTGTCCAGTTGTAAGGCGGCGATGTAATTAAGATCGGGAAAGTGTAAGAAAAGGACAGTGCTGATAATCCAATCTACTACATGTTAATACCTTAATGCTACTGCGTATTTCCAAGACTATTCCCTTAGGCGGATATATATAGAGGTAACTATATGACGTACTACAAGTATATTAGTGACTAAGACAGGCGAAAGGATACCACACTCAATTAAATTAGAATTTATGCTTACCATTGATCCCGAACGTGGTAATAACCCAGAGTGATTGGGGAACAACTTGAAATCTGTCAGTACATGTTTCTTTCAATAATGAGGTCAGGGGGCATCGAGATAGAAGGCGGCTATTCCAGAAACGACCAGTAAAAGGAAAGGGGGGTCTCATACGGAAGTAAGTAAACGAACGAATCATTGTCGTAAAGAATGGGACGTTAGAATCAACTCTTCCCCGCAGACTTAATGTTTCTAGGAAGCTTTTACGTGATGGAACAACAAGGTCAGCCTGTTGAGATCCCTTTTCGACTTCACGGACACCCTCCTTTTCTAGCTCGTTCGGTGGTGTGGAAGGCGATACGTGGGCCTGGCGGTTATAGGAGGTCTCCTCGACGAAGAAAAATGCTAGTATGAGCAGTGCTATGGCGAACGCAAACTCTACATAGAAGAAAAGCCTCCACTGAATCGCTAAAAATTAGCAATTAATTCTTTGGGCGAGGAGCCTAGAAGTAGGTAAGTATTCCAGGGGCTTCGGCTCCTTTGGCGAACCGATATGGAAATGCTAACACCCAAGCTAGGCGAGAAAAGGGGGAGGAAACTCTTGATGTTACATACACCGTGACCACCGGAGAGCATATATCCAGCGGGTAATGAGGCAAAAGTACCGAGACATAGACAGACTGGTAGACGTTAGAGATATACTGGATAAAGTTCGACATCATGTTCGCTACCTGTATAGTACCCAATGCGTTTGCCCCTTTCGTGTAGGAAGAATATATCATTTACTAACTGTACCGGTAATGCTTCGCATACTGTATTGATATTAAGACAACATATTAGTTTCTAATTCATGACTTTCTAGATTTTTAAGCATAACTCTCAGATGAACCCTGGTGAGTATCGCCTAAAGAATAAGATATGGCCATGTCGCTTACTATTGAATATTAGCTACCTCTATATATGAGGAGTCTTTGTCGAAAACCTACCCGCAAGAACCAAAGCAGTGGACTACACGCGCTGCCATTAGGCCATTGAATGAAGTACATTGTGACGCCCCTATTAGACCGGCTGCGAATGTAACAAGAGAGAACAGCATAACTGGTCGTCGGCCATACTTCAAGTACATGGGCACGAAAATCAAAGAGCCTTCATTGTGTTAGCAATGCTTCTTCTCTCGCCGTATGGCACTACATACCAAATCCAAAGGCGAGGTTAGGGTAAGATATCAGCTCAGATGCCACGGCGGGCGAGATATCAAACTCTTCAGCCCAGAGGTCGAGGTATGGCGATGGCCCAATGACGGACGCATTGGCGAGAAAGGAGTAAAACGAGCAGATTATGAGGATCATAGTCTTCTTGAAGTTGGACCACTATTGCCACGTTAGAACTTGCCCCTATTCACGTCTTCACGAAACATACCTGCAAAGGGTCATTTGGGTCCTCGGCAGGAACTTTGATAGTGTTAGTCAAAAAGAACCCAATAGATGGATATTCCAAGGGACTCGGAGGGCATAATCACCTGGGAAGAGGGCCATGCCATAGACCGTATCGTCGCCCTCTACGAAATGTCGCAAGCCATCAAGTTAGCCTTGGACCATCGACGAATGCTCTAGAGTGGCATACCAGCAGCTTGAAGATTTACCGTCCCTGGGACGTCCTCCTCATGCGCATGGCTATGAACGAGGTGGCCCCTACCATGGGCGGCGACCTTTGAAGTCATCGTATATCAGACGTTACCCGGAACCTGGAAAGCCAAGGGAAGAGATGACGTTAAAACGCTGGGGGAGCGATGCGGCTGATGCAGGCGAGTAGTATAAGTAGGTACATCACACACGTTTTCTTGGAGGTTGAGGCCTTCGCGATCAGATCTCGCATCTGCCAGCGTCGCGATTCCCAGCCAAGGCCGCGGAGGGTTCTTGACCGTCAATCTAAAACGCGGGGAAGGAAGCCATCAACATCTAGGGTCGTATCGCTACCCGTAATAGGAATGATGATGGCATCCTAGCGCTACGAAGAGGTCATATGTACTAATAGAGCCGAAATCCTCTAGCCGAGGGTCTCTCATTGATCGGCAACGATGCCAGGGTCGGTTGATATACTACTACTGCCACTACTACCACGCAGTCCCTGAAGCTCGTCGAAAACACGCGCTTTCGTACTTCAGCTTCGCGTAAATTTTCCGTTTGCGTTGTTTGCTAGAGGCACTTTGCTTGATAGAAACAACTACCGCGATTCATCTGTGTTGGTCCAAGCACTCGGGACAGAACCTGAATATTGGCCTTGTTGACATACCCGGTACGCTATCTGCATGGGTTCAACCATGCTATATGTACTTGTCGGCTTGTTCACATATTTTAGATATTCATGATTATTCCTTGCTAGTACCTATTAGTATTTAATTACAACATGGCTACCTCTTATACCTTATATAGTATATTAGCTTAGGTAACGCTACAGTATAGTTAATATAGCCGATAGTTAGTAGATATTGGAAGATTGTAGAGCGTAGGAAAAATTGTCGTTAAAGATGACTTCTAAAGCGACCTGCATCATTTCGGTGGTCATCTACTAAGATACCGAATATTCGGTATATTCATTCACAAACCTTTTGACAGCATCCTTGATTCGAATGCTTTGGACATGTGTGCATAAAGTAGATCTGATTAATTAAGTGTTTGCACCACCGCTAACTATAAGCCGAAGAACCGGGGTTCGCGTTAAAGCATCCTGAAGGAATCTGGGATTTGCAGCTAGGCTTAGAAAATACTTAGCTTGTATAGCGTTTACCTACAACAGGCCGGCAATTAAGATGAGGATCAAAATAGGGCATAGTCGTCTTGCCGTTTCCTGCTTCCTACAATACAATCTAAACTTTTACGTATAAGTGCTGTGTACCTGTCAAGGTAAACTCCTTGATAAGGGCCTAGAAAGTATCCAATATTGTCTTTGTTTTTATGAGGTAGGTAGTTAAGATAGGAATCTTCCGGAAGAGCCGGAAGACCTTTTCGGGATTTTCCAATTATTAATACTAGTACGTTTATTACCCTCAAGGGTAAATACATAGAACGGGAATGCTTATTTCCATCTGAGTTATTTCCCTGATGATTTTACGATTGCCTTGTCTCAAGGGATATGCCGTCCTAGTCTTGCTTAAGCCATCTGGTATGTTATCGTAAGATATTGGTATGTTAGTCTAATTGCGTCCAGGTGTGTCTTCAAGAGACCTGATCTAGGCCTTAAAGACGAAATATGTTTGTTCCTGGTCTACTATTATAATAGTTATCATTTTCTGATTCTAGCGGATCATATCCGGTCGTCGGCCTTCACGGATGAAGTACCGGCCGAATAGAACCTATCAATGAATGTGTTGGCAATGAAGTTTGCCAAGACATTAAATCTCGCTGCCAGGTCCCACAGAGCCAAAGATCTAATGGTCGTGGTGTCCGCTCGTTGGTAGAACTTCGACTTTATTGCAACTTTACCATACCTAAAATGGACGTCATTGTATCGTTGTGTCCCGAATTCGAGTTCACAGCACCCGGCGGTGAGAGATCCAAGGGGTTGGGGATTTGACCCAACCCCTCAAAATTGGATCCGAATTGGACGTCCCATCCAATGAAAGTGTTAGAATCTGCTTCCCAACCTCGATTAAGCCCTGACCGTAAGTCTAAAGACAGTGAGGGGTGGCAAGATGCACCCGCCTGGGCAAACTAGGTCCGATCTAAGGTAAGAGTAGGAAGAGAAGTGTATGTGTATAAAAACCTAAGGACCCTCTCCTGGAAACGAGAGGTTCTCTTTGGATGATCTAGGGGCATTTTTGCCTTGTCAAACATCACCAAAACCAACCAACTTCCGTCCTTTCTGCCCGCCGTCAAGATGTTCTCCATCATTGTCGCTGTCATGGCCGCCGTGGCTATTGTCTCCGCTACTGCGGAGGCGACGGTGAGTCTCGAACGTTCTTCTGCCTTATAAAGATCTACATACTGACTGGAGCTGCTAGACGCCGCGGAACCTAGTCGCATCTGCGTGACTGCCGGTAGGGGTTAGGGATATCTTCCTAACCCCTACCCAGGACAACACCCTAATCGAATCTGTATCCATAATCCAGGAAGAAAGTTTGGGTATTGGATGAGAAAGGACCCAGCTGGGACTGAGGAGCAGGCGCGTGGAGTGGTTATATTATGAGCACAATACGCGTTATGAGAAACGAATATTCATCCCAGGAGATGGACCAATGTTAAGGATACCATATTATGAAGACTTATACCCCGAGTGGTTACCGGTACAAGCCACTTATTCTTCGACCATCATGCACCAACTAGCAAGTTGTTGCAGGTGTGTTAGCAGCCTCATCAGGCTAATACAATCCCCTTTGTCCCTTTACGTACCGACGCCGATTGCATATGCATGAGTGAAACCATCGTCGAATATCGTTATGCCCCAATACCCATAGTAGACCAATGCGCAAAGGCATCTGATTCCGATCTTCGTAATGTATATGCACAGTTCTAGGATGTTCTCGTTAGACCCTCGCATTATCCGGCGTAGCGCTGTCGCCCCATATATTACGCGTTTCTTCCTCGACAGCTCTCATGGCGATAGCCACTTCTTCTAATTTCTCAACAACATCCCTAACTCCCTGGTCTATCTTTGAGAAATAGCGATCGTTCGCCTCTCTCCTATTCCTTGCTAGAAGGATATCCTTCTCTGTTTCTTCTTCGAGCTTAGCGCCTAGCCGTTCGCGACCAGTCCCACTGCTCCCAGGTCGTGCGCTGCCTGTACCGACTGTGCTTTTCCCTCCTTCTGTACCTTCTACCGCCGCCTTTCCGACGCTTGAGGATATCGTAGGACCAAGGGCCACTCCAGTAGCAGATGCACCAATCTCACCTAGAGCTCCTTTGAGGTTTAGCACTTCGTTCGCAGCCGTCGGTTCGATTGAGTCATCGGCCTCGCTTCTTGCCCATGCTTGCGCCAGCTTGATTTGGGCCGCACGTAAATCGGCGAGCTTGCGGTCATGCTCCGGTCCGAAAACGTGGGTACCTCCACTCGCCGACAGCTCGACTTCTTCTAAAGTCGCTTGCATCTCAGCCCACAAAGCGTCGGTTCTATCAACAGTGCGGGTGGAGTCAGCAGTATGGAGTCGGCCGATAGGCGCGCGGTTTCGTGTATTTAATAACGAACCTGTTCGCGCGAGCGAGGGAGTAGCTTGTGACTGCTGGATAGATGCGCCGCTGACTTTCCCCCCCGTGTTCGAGATTGAGGCAGCGGCAGGTGGAACTGCCGGGCTAGCAGCCACCACTCCTGAGAGCGAGACATGCGAAGTTGCTGGAGAGGGATGAAGAAATAACCTAGGAGGGTCGCGAGCTTTAGAATTGCTCGGTGTTAGTTTGAGGTTATCCATTGCTACATTTTGCTAGTATGAGAACACGATCAATATCAACATAACCCCTTTCAAATAGCCCTACTAAGAAGGGCAATCCAGAAGCCAGGCTGGCTTGGAGAACGAGATATCGTAATTGGCGAATATGACTGGTCAGTTTGAAGTTGCCTATGAAGATGCAAAGGATGGACACACACGCGTCATGGTCCATGCACGGGGCCGTCTCCATTATTAATGTGGCTTGGATGAGTTATCTACTCAGCCACCTTTGTACATACGGGTACGTACTGGGTAGGTACCTAGCGCACCTATCTTTAAAATGGGGACATATTATGTGGCCCACCTGGGGGACTAGGGCGAAGAAACCCTTAGCAATTATTTTCCACTTCTGGTCTTGTGGAAAAAATTAACCGAAGAAACATCATATCCACGAACCACGAACCACTAGCCAATCTATCCATCCATCTAAGCAAGACTTCAACACCCATTTTTTAGCGATACCACATACAAATCGGTAAGTCAATTCCTCATTCACGATCGACCTGCAATAGTCTATGGCCTTGGTCAATACGTTACTGCCCATCCTCCTTCATATCGTTCCCTTCGACTACGATAAATAATTTTCTGCGCCCTCAAGTCTACATTTGCTGACCGTGCGACCCCTCTACTACAGCAATCATGGGTAAAGGAAAGCCTCGTGGACTTAACGCAGCCCGCAAGCTGCGACTGCACCGAAAGGAGCAGAAGTGGGCCGATCTCGGATACAAGAAGCGTGCTCTCGGTACCGCTTTCAAGTCGTCGCCGTTCGGTGGTTCTTCTCACGCCAAGGGTATCGTCCTCGAGAAGGTCGGTGTCGAAGCCAAGCAGCCCAACTCTGCTATTCGAAAGTGTGTCCGTGTCCAACTCATCAAGAACGGAAAGAAGGTTACTGCTTTCGGTACGAATACCCCTACTTTTACTCTCTACGTGTTTCTTTCGCGACTATAAAATTCCTGTTAAGTTTGAGGCGGCTGGCTTTACGGGAAGGAATATCTAGGAGCGATGATTCCGTAATTTTTAAGTGAAAATTAGCTAACGCGATCCAATTCTAGTCCCCAACGACGGTTGCTTGAACTTCGTAGACGAGAACGACGAAGTCCTGCTTGCTGGTTTCGGTCGCAAGGGCAAGGCCAAGGGTGATATTCCCGGTGTGCGATTCAAGGTTGTCAAGGTTTCCGGTGTCGGTCTGCTAGCTCTATGGAAGGAGAAGAAGGAGAAGCCGAGATCATAGACGTTTGGTCGGGGACGAAGGAAATTAAGGAAAACGTGCAACGAGAGAAGGTTCATTGGGCATGCGGAGTCGATATGGCTTGCTTTGTTTCATCACGGCATCATAGGTTCGGGCCTTGATACTCATTCACAGGCAGACGAGATCCACAAATAGAGATTCTGCGTCGCCAAAGCAATACTTGTAATTTTTGTAGAGTCTCGTGATTCTCGTGATTGTCCAATGCGGAGATAATTGGTCTGGGAGTAGAGTGCCTAATATTCTTTTTAATTACCGTAGGTACCTACCTTAAGTGACCTCTATCCCAAGCCCGACACCTAGTTCTGTTATATACACAATTGTACATCATGGTTGAAATCTAATTCTCTAAAGACTGTATCTTGTCGCCTTCGGCGTATTTTAACAGGTAGTCAACTCCAAGACCGAGACTGATCGCGCCTCCGGTGATCCAGCATCCATTGACAAACCACCACCAGCAGTCCTTCACGTTTTTGAGATTTACTCTCTTTATCATCCAACCTAATGTCAGAGCAGCGCCACCGCAGCTCCCAATGAAGAAAGCTGGTCCGGCTCCTACTGTCATGCCGGCGGCTCCAAGAAGACCTATCTGCACGACCGCTAACCCGGACAGGATTTTCTTGGTATTAGCATCATGCTTGAGGGCAATGCTCTTGATACCTGCTTTGGCATCATCCTTGATGTCCATGTGCGCGTAGATCATATCATAGAGTATAGTCCAGGAGATATTGCTTGCGTAAAGCAGAGCAGCGGCACTCATGGCGGCACTATTTGACAATAAATCTACCCCCAGAGCAGGAAAACCCATGATGGCGCCCCAGGAAAATGTCAGGCCCAGGACGAACTGCGGATAATACGTCACGCGCTTGGCGAGAGGGTACGAAGCCACGAATATTAAGCTAGGAATACCATAGAAGAGACATGAGGTCGGGAATTGCAACAAGATCCCGAGGCCGGTTAGGAGCTGCGCGCCTGTATATGCTAGGGCTTTGAAAGGCGTGATGGCGCCCCGTGCCAGGGGCCGATGCCGCGTCCGTGTTACGTGCTTGTCTAAGTTCTGGTCCCAGAGGTCGTTGATGGAGCAGCCGGCACCACGCATGACAAGGGCACCGGTGAAGAAGAGCGCAGCGGTACCGACGACGGACAACGGGGTAGCGATAGGGGTGGCGAGTGGAGCAGCCATCAGTGTTGAGAAAAGGCACGGGAAGAATAGATAATATGTTCCTGTGGGTTTATCGATTCGGATGAGCTCTCCGTAGGGAACCCATGATTTAGGCAGACGGGATAGGATGCCTGATGTGGGTGGTGAGTACGGCTCTGGAATGACTGCTGAGGATGGTGAATCGATAGTGTGGGCTCCTCGCTGGCTTATAGGTTGTGAGTGTACTGGAACTATCTGCCTTGGCCCTGGAAAACTGAGAGCTGTTGAGGCTGATGTTGCGTTTTGTAGGTAACATGAGACACTTCTGGAGACATTATGGAGTTGTCTCGATAATTTTAAGTCTAGGGATATTACCCTACGAGATAGCAGAAATTTTGTTCCTTTGGGGATGAAGAATCGATGCATCTTGCTCAGGGGGTGTATCGACTTCTGGGGACTTGTTAGCTGTGTTTCTAGCGAGACTGAAGGTTTTGATTAAGCAGTGACTGATGGGATGAAACGGTGTTAGATTTGAGAAGCCTCTACATAGAAAGTGCTGATTTACTACATAACGCTAACATGATAGTAGTGTAAAATACCAATGATCGTTATGGACTATGTTGTTGTTATACAAAGTGTAATAATAACCAGTGAAGCTCATCGGATTTTTTATATTTATATTTGTTTCCCAAGAGGTGAACTGCTGACTCACTATCAAGTAAACCAAGGGAATGAAGACCTACCTCTGAAATTAAAAAGAAAATAGCTGTGACCTCAAGTTTATAGCCATTTCAGATCCCGATCGAAGTCATGTTGAAAAGTTACTGGATTTTAAAAAAGAGGTAACTACCTGTTATTTAATTTCTATAAGTCCGAGAGGTTGTACGAGTCTATGCACAAACTGTACATATGTAAGTACCGACATAATTACCTATTTATCCTAACTATCTAGTGGGTACCTAGGTACTTATCTGTTATCCAGTTTGCGCTTTCCATTATCGTCTCTAAATTTATTGTCATAGCTTCCTCGCTTCCAGCCTCGCGCTGCAAGTGCGTCGCATTTTACCAAAGAACATTGAATTGCTCTAACGCCTTTGTTTCGCGCTTGGAAGTTGGCAACCTTTTTCCTATAGTGAACTTAACTGCTCCATGATATTCCTATTAAATTGAAAAGCACATGGGGTGCTATGTAGATTGCGTTGGTTGTCCTTTGCGAACACCGTCGCGATTGTAAAGCCCCGTAAGGCGCGTCTGAAGGTGATCACCATCTTCGCGAACCCCGCCGTCGCCTCACATCCCCTTTCCGCCTCTCCGAAACCCGACTCCTTCGAATTACATTACTAGTCCTTAGTAGATACATCGAGTGATCGCTAATATGCCGACCACATTACACCCCCAAGCTAAATTCGACCCAATCCCTCCAGATCTCGACCTCCATGCTCTTGTCGATCGCACGCCGAACTTCGACTGGGTTGTGCGGATTTCCACCACACAGATTAGGCGCCTTGGTCCCTCTGGTTTCGAGAAGCTGGTACAACTCCATGTCATCGAGGGAGGCCGTCCGTTAGTTATAGAAGGCTGGAACAAAGTCTTCCCAGAAGATTTATTCAGTGCTGCCTGGTTGGAGAGGACTTACGATAAAAAACGTGAGTTTTTTTCGCTCTCGTCTTATATAGCGCTTAGAAATACTGATAGGGGCTGGCAGAGGAAAATATCCGTGACATAACAGCGCAGACCGATATCCCAATGACCACTGGCCATTACTTGCGATCGATGCGACAGTTGACCAATCAATGGACCCCTACAAATTTCCGCGACGACCGGCGCCAGCGTCTTTATCTGAAGGATATAGATTGTCCTCCCGAGTGGTATAACCACCTGAAGAAGGTTATCCCTCCAAATGTCTTCTATATGAATGAAAATATCAGCGAGAATCCAGGGGCAGACACTCGAAATGACAATATTTTTGGCGCACCGGAGAAGACTCCTGCCACGGCAGGAGATCTCATGAGCAGCTTACCTGAGGAGATGCGTGCGCAAAACTTAATGTGCTACATCGGCCATGAAGGAACGTATACGCCTGCGCATCGAGAGATGTGCGCGAGCTTGGGCCAGAATATTATGGTTGAGGCTTCGGAGGACAAGAATGGAGAGAAGCCGGGTAGCTCGATTTGGTTCATGACTGAGACCAAGGATCGCGAGGTCGTTCGAGAGTACTTCCTTTCTATGCTCGGCCACGATATTGAAATTGAGAAGCATTTCGCGCAAATCAACGCTTGGAAGAAGGCCAACTTCCCCGTCTACATCGTTGAGCAAAAGGTTGGCGACTTCATCCTTATACCTCCCTTGGCTCCCCACCAAGTCTGGAACCGCGGGACGCGGACCATGAAAGTTGCATGGAATAGGACAACGGTTGAAACCCTGAACTTAGCTCTCCACGAGGCTTTACCAAAGGCGCGGCTAGTTTGCCGAGATGAGCAATATAAAAACAAGGCCATCATTTATTATACCATGGAGAGGTACTACAAAGACCTTCAAGCCCACGAAGAGAACTCCGAAGTTGGGTTATTGGGTTTTGGTCAAGAGTTGATGCAAAATTCTTCACGCATGAAGCAAATGGCTAATGACTTCAAACGCTTGTTCGGCCTGTTCACCGAGATCCTCGTCGACGAGATGTTTGGTTACAAGCAGAACGACGTTGAATATATCCCCTTCGATTCAAATATCACATGTTCATATTGCCGGTCCAACGTTTTCAACCGCTTTTTAACTTGCAAGTGTTGCGTGCGAACGCTGATCAACGGCGACGAAGATACATACGATATTTGCATGGAATGCTATGCTATGGGGCGCTCATGTGTTTGTATATCGGGTCTTCAGTGGTGCGAACAATGGAAGTGGCCCGATCTCATCGAAAAATATGAGACTTGGCGATCAATGGTTATTCAACAAGATGGATTTGTCGACGTCGAGTTATCTCCCCAGCCCATCGAAATTGTGCGGAAAAAGACGGGAAAGAAGTCGGTAGCCCAGATCTGCCAAGAACAACTTCGAAGACGACCTTGGAATGACATCACAAAGCCATCTCAACCTCAAGCAGAGGAATCTGATGAACCCGAGGTCGACGAGGAGGGTCGCGTCAAGAAGAAGCCGAAGCCGAAACGCAAGGCCAAGCAGGGCGACGTCTACCGCTGTCACGTCTGCTGCCACAAGGACTACACATATAAGCTAAACTTCTGCACGACATGTCAAAATGCATATTGTTACGGTGTGTTGTGGCGGGCATTTGATACAATGCCCCAGATGGCAATGGAGAGGGAACACTGGCAGTGTCCCAGATGTCTTAATATCTGCAACTGCGGGTCTTGTAGACAGAGTGGCAATACACATCCATATGTCCCCAAGAATACCCTTCTTGGGCATGATACGCGTCCAATTGCGGACGATCGCAGTGTTGAATCAATCGTCGACTTTAGGCAACACAATCTTGGCTGGCTAAAGGCTACTGGCGACGAAAATCGTGGGAGGGATACGAAGCGGATGCAACGTCTAAAGCAACAGGCGGATGCTGAAAAGGCTAGAGATCCATTGGCTTCTTTGAGTTCCGCAGAAGACGCGCCACACGAAATGGATTCAGCCCTTCAGGATTCAATTATGAACGGTTATGGAGATCAAAGCCATCTCCTTGACCATGCTGAGACAACCATTGCTAGCTATGGGAATGGACAAGCACCCGCTGCTGACATGTCGCATGGCGAACCTGTGGGCGAGGTTGACCACGCCGACATGTCTTCTATACAACATGGAGAAGGAGACTCGGTTCTTCCGGATCAATCGCAATACCCCGATCCATCTATGATCCGTCACGCACGAATGATGGGAATGGGATTTTATGACCAAGATGAAAGTGCAGATAAAATCTTGTTTGATCCTTTCCAGATACCGTCTGCTGATGCTCTAAACAATGAGCCGGAAATGTCCGAATACGTCAAAAAGACGCTGCGGCTTGCGAAGAGAAAGGCAAGACTTGAGATGGATGATGATCCCGACTTTAGAGGACCCAGGAGCCACCAGCGCAAAAAACCTAAGACTGGAAATATTGATCAACTTGTCAACTTGGATCCAGCTCTACTCGGTGCCCTTGGCGGTAGTGCATCTACACCCATAAGATTAACTGCCGCGATTGGCCCTAGTGAACAGCCAGGGGAGAACATTGCAGGAATACAACCGACAGAAGCTACTGAGCCGGCCTCTCAACCTCAGCAAGCACCTAAGCAAGCGAGGCCTCCTCTTCCTATTGATCCTTTACGACCTACTTTGCGACACGCTAAACCGAGAGCATCGTATGTGGAAGCCGAGGAGCCCGCAGAAGACCCAGACGATAGTGTTCTAATTAAGCCCCTGAGAATTTTTGGATCTGAGGGCGAAGATGGCATGCCGGGGGAAATAGACCCTTTAGATCTAGCGGCGGATGTAATCCGTGCATTGACCCAAATTCCTGGCGGCGAAGGAGAGAATCTAACTATCGCCGAAAACACTCCACAGTCGGGGGCTAAGAGACGAGGGCGACCACCCCGAAGCTCTATCGGAACGGCTGCTACTCCGTCTACTGGGAAGAAGCGTGGCCGCCCACCAGGACGACCGAGAAAGTCTTTACCTAATAATGATGAGAATGACGAGAGTAGCATCACAGTGGATGCTGAAGACCCGGACAGTACTCAGAATGAGAATGACGTTACCGTAGATGAACTTGAAGCTCAGTTGGCGCGAGAACTGGGTGACGCAAATGATGGAGAACAGTCACGACCGACCGCGGCTCGTGGGGGTTCTGTAAGGAAACGAGGTCGACCACCAGGACGGCGAGCTACACAACCTCCCGCGATGGTTAAGCTAGATGATGCGCCTCCGGATACCCGTTTCATGTCTATGAGGGAACGAGCGGCTCTAAGGGGCAGGAGAATTAGGATTGGTTCACGCCGGACAAGGGATGGTGCAACGGGAAGCCCTGCAGCAACTTCGACCCAAGGTACTCCTGTAGTTGCAACTACTCGAAGTAAACGAACGCCAGATACCGAGAATGCGGAAGAAACTAGCAGGCCCAGTCCGAAACGGGGCCGTAAAGAACTAGTTGATGATGAATTTGAGCCTGCTGGTGAGGGAGCTGAGCCTTCGTCATCACCTAGCCCCACGCCGGAGCATCAAGCCCCAGAGCGGCAACAGGCTGTCAAGAAATTGGGAACTCCTACCATTGTCAGGCTATCATTTTCAGATGATAGTAGTGACAGCGACTCGTCTTTGGAAGCCGATGATGATGGCCCAACGAGGAAACCTTTCGTTGCTACACGCGGCCGGGGGAGAGGAAGGGGGAGAGGTAGTGCCAGAGCGCGAGGCCGCCTGTAATTAATGAAAATTGATACGGAATTAATTTCTGTTTTATAGCGACAGTCGAAAAACCCTTTCTCGTGGCGTCAACTTTGATGGTTGATACCTCGTGCATGGTACTAGGGGTTGATGTCTTGACTGATCCGTTACTGCTACTCGGACTATTTGTTCATAGCCTACTTGACACCTTACCTACCTATACACTTATGTACATTTAAGACTAGGTACCTAGATAATTGCTCAAGTTGGTAATACATTTAGCTGCTATTCCATTCCAAGTGACAGTCTTGACGTATAGTTATGTGATCTGCTCGATAACTTGAAGCAACTAACGTGTCTTTAAAACAACGAGGATTGTTCCCTTAGTTGGTCGAATATACCTCTACTCAAGCTATATTGGGTTAATGAACCTAATGTTAATGGACTTTGAGGCCCTACCTATACTATAAGGACACCTATTTAAAGTAGAAATACCTTCAACCATAGAGAATATCTCTTATCTTTAGATTAAAAAATGAATTTGATTACATACCTCAGGGCTTAAGCAAGTAGGTTCACATCATATCATCTGTGGATTGATTCTACCTGCCTTGCGAAAATCTGTCCATGTAACTCAAAAGCTTACAGCTGTTTTGAAAGCTGACTGGTTAGGTGTCCTATATGATTCGTACCATGTGTAGAAATGTTCAGAACAAAGAATATATTATTGTTTATTAGTGTATTGTTAATGTAAAAGATATCTTAAGTGAATATACATTCTATTTTAATTCCCCCCCTTTACGCATCCGTATCCCCCCTGAGTGACATAATACAGCACCCCCCTTAGTACTCGTAGAGTACCTACCTATGTAAGGTTCAACGCGCCCCATTGACATAAAATGAGAAGATCTTGTGATATGACTCTATAATAACTATGATTGACCAATCTAATAACGTTAAACATGTTTATCTTAGCCATTTTTGATGTATTAAGATTGAAAATGGCAGAGTTGTCTTATGCTAGTTAAGGGGGTAGCTTCGCTTAGGTTAAGTTAGTCTTTCACGATGTGGTTAGGGGTTGCTGTAGCAAATGTATCAAGACATATGAATACATTGATCTCTAAACGAGCCAACGCACTAGCAGATCGAGCATGTTTGGCTAAAATATGCCGAGGCTAACTAGTAGATGGAAGGAAATAAGATATGTCTAGAAACTAGTAGACCTGTAAGGATGACGCTAGAAACTTTTGGCATTTGTTTATCTAGTAGACACTGACATGTGAAAACACACTATAGTTTGCTAGTAAGAAACATCTATAAAAAGTCAATGTCCTAAACAGCGCTAATAACGATATACTCATACTTTTCACTACTAGCGTTCTCGTGAAAAGACCGGAATATACCACTAACCGTCGACTTGTTGCACAGGACCGATTATTCCAGGGAAATGTCCAAGTAAAGCGTTTTTAGTTTGTTTCTGGTTCCCGAGCCGTCGTAGAATGAACTGTGGACACCCATTCGATGTAAAGGTAGAAGGTATTTTTGATGATACCGTGGTCTCTTGACTAGGATCCTCCGGCTCAAGTAGGTCTAATTAACTGACCGAACTACCTTGAAAATAGCCACGCAAGCAGACTAATATCCGGAGCCAATAAGCTTATGCATTAAGACGGCAGGATTGCGAATTTAGTATGAGTGAATTATAGTATTGAACTAAAAAGCCATTGGTAAAGGGACCTAGAAGTGAAATATGAGTTGTGCATTCTAGACTATCGTTTGATATACGTATCAAATTTATTACCCGGCACATGACTATATGCAGCTAATCCCGACCCCTTATATGTAGTATCGTCGTTTAAGGACTCGGCTCTCCCTACATTTTAGAGCCCCACGATGTAATTATGAGGGGAGCTTTGGATGATCCATGCGGCAGTCATAACTTCGTCATCCGAACTATTGTGACTACTATTATCTAATAGGCTAGATTACTTACCTAGGTTACCTAGTTAATATGATACACTATGCTGAGAAATTGAAATGCTTATTGTGAATCAAGCATGAATGAAGGATTTATGTGCTCAAGGCCACATGCACTTATCCGGACCACATTGGAATATTTCGAGGTACTCAACGTTAGGAATGCATCCAGGTTTGTGTTAATATTTTTTTTCTTTGTCGTCAAAGTAAATATACACTATGAACTAGTAGAATTTGACGGTGGTTTAAAGGAAATGTGTTGGCCCCCTTGCTCCTATGACACCATTCCTTCGCTTCAGCTGCCATCATACATAATAACTCACAAGGAAAAATTGCTGGAGACGTTCGAACGCGTCGTTTGGTCTTCATAGTCAGCTCTTGGCCCTTTTCGTGGATATTCGTCCTCAGTTGAGACAGTAAACTGTGTAGTGCGCATAATTCCCGTTCCTGTAAGAATTTCCTCGTCCGAATCTCGCGCGGACCGGACTTCGGTGCGAGTTCGCTGGCTGTCCATGTCCTTCAAGCCAATGTTGTTGTTGTTGTCTGATCTATCGGTAGTTCTGATATAGCCCTGCTGCGCATGCGAAGAACCGCCATACTTGTGATGACCGTAATAGGAGCGATCGCCGGTTGACTTAAGGTGCGGTACCCAACGACGAATAAGTGGCCAAAGTGCGGGCGCTGATGCAGTCAGGATAGCCAAGTTGCACTCGATAGAAGAGACACAGAAGCCGAGAGAGAAGTTCTTATCTGGGCTCTGATCATGGAAGTTTTGAGCGAGGAAGTAGAGACGAATGACGCTGACAACGGTAACGCTGTTGTAAGACTTATGTTAGAGCTTTACCTTCGATATTTTTTGAATTGCTCTTTGAAGTCGATCGGAAGTTGTAGTTAGGGGCTACTTACAGTACGCCTAGCATGAAAACTCCAATTAAGGCGATCTTCCTATTTTTATTTATCTTCAGGCCTAGGAAGATGTAAAATGGAAGAGCAACCGAGACTACATCAGTAGCAATAGTCATGCATGCAGCGACCACACCGAAAGTGAACTGTTGAATGCATTTTCCAGGTACCAATGGATGCCAGTTGAGCTCGATAGGAGTGCATTGGAATATGACGGTTAGGAGAATGGCGAGCATCAAGGCCGTGTTGAAGATGATGGTGGCCCAGACGACATATCGGACACCTGCCTTAATACCTGAGAAACGAAGCAGAAATACGAGGACAGACTGTTTAACCAGTGTTAAGATGGGTTGGTAAACGGCGCCGACGACGTATATCCAAATCAGTCCTTCGGTGGGATCAAAGGGTAGCGGTACATCGTAGAAATGAATCCCTATGTACAACTCCTTCATAACTGCGCATTGTTAGGTTTAGACATCGGTAGGTATCGTTGCGTGTCTGCTTACCTTTGATAGATCCTACCGCCAAAGCAATGCTAAAGACCATTGAAGCAACGATGAGGCCATCGTCTAGATGAATTATGTTAGTACGTGGCTACAATCTCGTTACTGGAGTTTGCGACTCGTAAACTTACCCCATCCAAAGCTCTTCGTGTCGATTCTGATATAAGTCCTCAAGCCAACAACTATCAACGCAAGCACCGGACATATCACTTCTATGGCGATACCCAGGTTTTGGAGCCAGCTCGTGGGATTAGGGTTTGTCGCCATTGGAGGGGTCTGGATTGGTTCTGACATGGTAACTGACCATTAAACCATCTGTGCAGCACCGTCCAGATAAAGTCAGGATAGAGCCACGAGATGAGTCGACCCAAGCAGTAGAGATCGTCGCCGACGTTGCAGGCGATCATTCATATATATCCTATTCCCCAGAATCCGAGTATGTTGAAGATCTTGGTAGCAGGGGGCCCAAGAGTCGGGTTATAACACTGTCAAGGGTGATGAGGTCTGGAAGGCTTCACTCCGCTCGTGCTCAATGAATGATCGATGTGACATATCAGGCTCTCAAGCGACTTAACTGCAAAGCACACGAACCCTCCTCTTCCTAACTAGAAACAGGGCATTGCATGGATTCCCTGGCATCCGTCTAGAATAAATCCAGGACCCATTGCCCGAAACTGGATGGTCCCTTGGCCTTGGCGAGGAGAGAGCGTCGGCTATAATTCGCACGTGTTTGCAAAAGCTTAGGGCGATTATTATTTAGTTAAACCTATTAGGTATGGTAGGATGAGGACGCACTTCAAGTGAGGTGACATAGACTCGTCCTTAATCGGGGCTGCATCTTCATGGGGAAATCGTTTTCTCGTACTGGTAGTGTTATCGGAACGCAAAACTTCCATATAACAATACTCCCTATCTCTCATGTATGTATGAGCCCGGGCGCTCTAACTCTGCAGGGATATGGCTTCTTCTTACATTAGTGCTTGTGAAGGCGAGTTGCACCTAGGTAGCTTCATGAGACACAACTCGAATACTTCAAAACTTAGCGTGTTAAGCGTTTCAAGCGAGAGCCAACGATTTTGTTATCCTTGTTATCCAAGGTTCTTATATACTATCGGCTCATCACATGTTGACACCTGCAGTATGTGGTGCATGATGCATTGCTTCTCTCTCCGAACACTTTTTGCGGTAGCATCGTGCAGTATTTTCCTGCTACTGTGTCCTCTGCAAGGTCGGAGATATCTTGTATGTTGGATTGCGTCCTTCCTTGGACGCGGATATTAGCTACGCCCTTACTTCGTCTTATGCTACCTTTGCAACTGATGCTACCTTGCGTTCCCGATTCCGTATTCACTTCGCAATGGTGATACTCCGTAAGGGGGTTCAAGCAAGTCAGGGTTTAGGCCCTAGTAAAGACTCGGCCGAATTTCGCTGGTCATTTTTTTGATCAACTTTTACTTCTGTCTTCTCCTATGCGGCGATGCGCGTTTACGGCGGGACGGAGATAAGTCTATAAATTATAAAAATAACGGGTAGATAGTCAAATAGAGAACTTGAATAGGAAGTTAAATTGCCGTTTACTAGAGGTGAATATGAATATCGGGGGTTGCTGTCAATAACCCGCCGAATTTTATACGATAAAAGCGACGGAAGAAATGCCCGAGGGGAGAAATACCCGAGAAAGGGCTGATACCTACCCTTTTGCCCTCTTGAATCCTCATGTCTGTAGGTTGGGGTTACGGGGTAGTGCAGCTTTTTAGGACGCGTACCTTGCATATTAATGCTACCTATATTATGCACAAATATGCATTGTCGAAAATCATCTCTCCACAATCCGACGTTCCGGAACGGAGAGTGAACTCTTATAAGAAGCTGGCGAACGCTCAGTTAAGGCTATTATAGTGGTTCTAGACTCTTCAGGTGCCTAAGATAAACGCTAGACTGGAGACAGACTCTTGACCTCGTTTGGAGTTTCTAGACTCGGCCTGGAGTAGTTAGATGGAACTCTTCACTTTAGCGCGCTTGTATTCAGTCTCCCCCTCGGCGCAGATGAGATTACAGAGGACTTTCGTTTTATGTGAGGTAGGCTTTAAGCCTTTAACTAAAGTTCACCTGCACCTGTAACAGCGTAGTGTATATTAGAATTAGACCACTTTCTATGTTATACACATAGCATATACTATGCATAATTACACCTGGTTAGTTTTGATTTGTTTCTTATTAAACTATTGATATTTTGTGCATTAGCCCATTGAACCCACGTGGATGTCAAGGAATATCGGCGTGTCATCGGTTCGTATAAAGTAACCACTCAGGGACGATCCTTTGGAATTATTCTATTGTGATCCCTCAGCAGCGAAGACTGTTCGATAACTGTTTTACCCGGTGGCTAGGCGTTCCTATATTTTTAGGCTTGCATATACTTGCATCTCGCGTAGAAGCCTGATACTCTTGGCTACTCAATTCCGGGTATAATAATGACGCGCTTCGTTTACGTTGTGGCTCTGTCGCTAACCAGCTTAGCGTTTGCTCAGACAATCCAGGATGGCGTCGGTAAGCTTTAGTTTTGTCCTTGATACACCCTCTATACAGAGGTAGACACGCCATTATGATGTGGTGGCTTGCTAACCCTTGTCGATACAAATAGAGGCAACCCCAGAGACTGTTGCGCCAGCCGTCGAGACGGTGGAAGCTGATGCCTCGTCATCTGGCATCGACTATTTCCCCTTCGAATCAAGCCAGCTTACGCCCAATGTTATCACTAATTTGACAAATTATAATCTTACTAATGTTGACCTTTTCAATTTCAGCGACACTGAAGCTGCGGTTCAAAAACGTACCGGCCGCGTGTGTAAAACTTATCCCGGGGACAGAAGTTGGCCAGCTCGCCCTGTATGGGATCTCCTTAATATTCTATTAGGAGGCGCTTTAGTTGAGGGGGTGCCGACCGCAGCGCCATGCTATTCTGACTGGCCTCAGTATGACGAAGCCAAGTGTGCTTCGATCACCTCTCAGTGGCAGACGCCTCAATATCAGTTAGCATCCCTTCCTTATACTCTCTTGAGCTTGCGTCTAACCTAGTACAGACTATCACAGCCTCTAGGAATCCAGTACTATGTCTTTGAGGGAGTGAGCTGCTTGCCGCCTAGCCTTACACGGACAGGTGCTAAATGCACACTAGGTGGCATGCCATCATATGTTGTTAATGCGACCAATGTTGCACAGATCCAGCTTGCTGTCAATTTTGCGCGGAATCTCAACTTGCGGCTGATCGTCAAGAACAAGGGCCATGACTTTAAAGCCAAGTCCACTGGCGCTGGATCACTTTCCATCTGGACCAATGCTCTACAGAGCATTCAGTACTTAGGTTCCACTTACTCCCATGGCCCATCGGGTTACCGTGGGCCAGCTTTTAAGATTGGTGCTGGCGTTCAGGCCCTTCCCCTTTATCAAGCCGCAGACAAATTAGGTCTTCATATTGTCGGTGGCAATACTCGTGTAAGTATCATGTCCCGTTCTGAGATCATACCATAAAATAATGGAATCTAATCAAAATCCTGTGCTAGACCGTCGGCATCGGTGGCGGATACATTGCTGGTGGTGGCCATTCCCCCTTGCTGTCTATGTATGGCATGGCAGCTGATCAAGTATTGTCCATGGAGGTTGTGCTACCTAATGGCCGTTTTGTTTCTGTTGATGAGCAAAAGTATCCCGATCTTTTCTTCGCCCTTCGTGGCGGAGGTGGTAGTACCTGGGGTATCGTGACCTCGCTTGTTATTCGGGCTTACCCGAAGAAGCCCGTATCTACTCTCAGCTATAGCTTCGGCGTTAATACTAACGTATCGACGGAGACTTTCTGGAAGGGAGTCAATGCCGTTTTCGCCAAATTTCCCGAATTTGCCGATAAGGGGATGTATAACTATTGGTCTATCAGCTGCTTCTCTGACTGCTCCTTCTCCATGGCCCCTCAATGGGGAAATGATATGAACTCTACCAAGCTCGAAACATTGTCTACTCCATTATTTAACGAGCTCGCGGGATTGGGAATTACCGTTAGCGATACTGTATATAAAGAATACGATGGCGTGCTGGGTGGCATCGAAGGTACCTGGTCGGCTGAAAGTGAACAGACTGGCGTCTGGAATTTTAATACTGGGTCAAGGTTGTTCCCCCGTTCTAACTGGGACGATCCGGCAAAGCTTGCTACACAAAATGCAGCGCTCCGGCAGAGTGTCGAAAAGGCTGGCTTAATGCTCGGGTACAACATGAAGGCAGCAGTCAACCCATCAGTCAACCAGACTAACGCCGTGAACCCAGCATGGCGCCAAACTCTCCTTCACGCACTACTAGGTGCCACTTGGAGCCAGGAAGCCACTGCTCAGGATATCGCGGCCACGAACAAGAACCTCGTCGAGATGATGCAACCGTGGCGAGACGCATCCCCCGATTCTGGCGCATATCTCAATGAGGCGGACATTAACGAACCGAACTGGCAGCAAGCCTTCTACGGTTCAAACTATGCATATCTTTATCGGCTCAAACAGCAGTACGACCCTTGGGGCCTATTGTGGGCACCTACAGCTGTTGGCTCCGAGGACTGGTATGTAACTGACCAGATTGAGTATTACCCAACACAGAACGGAAAGCTATGTCCCAAATAGGGGTTCGGGTTTCTTTAACATATTATAAGATTCCATTCGATATAAGTTATAAATCGAAATCAATGTATAAAAGGGCTTTACTATACTAGAACTTATACCCATAGAGCACATAAGCACCCACCTTCCCACCCATTATTAGATAGCATTATTCAAGTTTGTACCTAGGCATGCCGCAAGACATGTCTACTATTTATCTATAGTTATACCAAATATAATTTGCTCTCATGAAAATCAGGCTAACATTTAATCTCCTATCATATGGTATAATATATGGTGAATAGCTAGTTCGATAAGTCAGGTCAGGTATATTGGCTGCTAAAGCTTACCTGACCATAGGTATCCTCGACCTGGCCTCCTTATAAAGCCACAGCTCCCGTCTCATCAGCTACACATAATACTGCACTCAAAATCAGCCGGCTATCAATCATATTACATCAAAAGTATTTACGTATACCCTCAATATATGTAATTGTTACACAAAAAAGAATATTTATGATCTACCCAAGCCAGGTCAGGACAAGCTGTTAACTGACTCATAGAACTCGTTGATGGTGAATTGGATGTATATTTGTTTATGAGGATCTATAGTAAAACCTCAAAGTGCTTAATGCTTTAATTTCACCAAAGTCACGTTGGTTTCTCTACTGTTAACACTTAGCTTTCTTGCCACCTTTCGCATTAAAATCCCTTCATGATAGATACTTTAAACGCATAATCCGAGCTAGCCTATTACTGGAGAAACTTGAGGTTAATTCCGGTTCTACCATTTCACGTTATAATGTCTCCATCTTATAATCTCAACAGCATACACAATGTCTCCTTAAGAATAGTTAATGGCTTCTACGTTGTAGATAGACCCATTTACCGACCCGAATATAGTTCGGATGAACGAATTGGAATATATAGCTAACACATTAAGATATTTGAAAGGATTGATCTGATGAAATATTATGAAATGTTATTATTTTCATATATATAGAAGACAAACAAAGAACCTATAACAGCATGGGACTTGAAAAACATTGTATTGTTTAATAGCTGTTATGTCACTATAGCATCGTATAGCTACTGTTACCCAAGGAATTTGTGTATATATTTATCGAATTTGCCTGCTACCGTATCTTTTCTTTTCCTCACCAGAACATCACCTACCTCGTCTTGATATCTACCTTCTTTGAAGCTTTTCGTCGAAACTCGATATTATTTCAAAATTCACACAAGTTTACGCTCATCCAAGATGTCTCAAGGACATAATAGACGACCTGATGGGCGTCCAGTTTGTGTAGCATGCAACTCGAAGGTATCACGCATAAAAGCACCATGCACTCGTCCTGTGGAAGGCCACGGAGTAAGTAAAAATCAACATCCATCTCCTCCCGCCCCCCCAGGCATTTTGAGATTATTCGCTGACCATTGATATCACAGTGTACCGGATGTAAGCAGTATGGCCTTCCTTGCGTATTTGACGGGGTTCCGCTACCTCCTTACCCTGGCCCTACTCGAGCACCAATATTAAGCACATGCGATCAATGTGGAGAGCTAGGTCTACGCTGCGATTTTAAAAGACCGGTACGTAAACTAAAAAGTGTCTTAGCCCTCAATACCAAAAGAAGTTGGTACTAACTGTTGTTATAGTGCGATAGATGCCACAATTCAGGAGCCATGTGCACGGGAAACACCCGATATTGTTTTACTCGCGGAGTGCCCGGCGATGACATGTATGGTTACTATCTTAACCTCGGATTTGGTCCTAACGGTGTTAATCAAGTTCTTCACTCCCAAATGTTTTCATGGACTATGCCTTCTGACTACCATGTACAATACATGAGGTGGAAAAACGAAGGAACTGTGAATAGTGAGGTGAATAATCAAGTTAATAATCAGGTGGTACAGGTACACCAAGATGAATCACTTGCGATCCAATATTCGCGGATCTTAGAGCTAGCGCACGAAGCTGCCACACACGGAGTCCCGGTTAACCTACGGGGAATCATGGAAGTGCTCAATAGAGATGTTGTAGCTGGAGTTCCGTCGAATGAGTCTCAAGGTGCCCGAGATCTCATGTACTATCTCGGCAAACAAGCTGTGCATAATCCCGGAGCCCATGAACGCAAAATCGAGATAAGCGAATACAATATTCTCTACAACATGGATGATCTTCAGAGACTTAACCCAGGCACACAGGCGGAGTATTCTTATGTAGCCCCTATCAGAGACACAGTATTGATTCCCCTTACCCGACCAGCATCTCCTGGCCCTGCTCGCCCCAGCTACTGGATACCGTGGAATACGAAAAGTGCTGATATACAAGTCCACGACAACACAGGTGACTATCCGGAGGGGAGCCCCGAAAGAGTCGACATGAGTGCTATTCGAAGAGATCCTTTCAGGGATCACCCGAACGAAAATGCACAGAGCGTATTATCGGCAATTCCATTCTTACGTATATGGGATGAAGGGGCAATGTATGCCATCCCAAGAGCATGCCAGCAAGAGTACTTGATTGACGGAACGTGCGGTAATTTAACAACACGTGGATGTGAAGATACCACCCACACAGGGGATAGCATCCCAATTTGCGATACCTGTGAAGATGACAACCGCGAGAAGTTTTATGAGGAATTCGCAAGTTCTGCTCTTCAAATGAGACAATACTTTTGTCATCAATGTTCTGGTTCCATTGATTCCTTACTCCAGATGACCGCAAATAGGGGTTGCGATGTCTATTACGATAACTTTATGAGAATACCATTGCCGGATTTTACAAGCCCTTCACTTATCAATACGGGACTAACTAGAAATGTTGGGGGTTGGCGAGGCTCTCCTCTAGAGGTAACTGGTTGCTCCTGCGGTGTTAAGCTACTAGGTCGTCGTCTATGTAGCCCTCACAGATTACAGCATTTGCTGAACCTCCAAGAAGCTGTATCAGATATGAAGATATATATCGAAAGCCTGTACGGAAAGATGGTTTGTCCTGGGTGTAAAAGCGTGCCTGGCATCAACAATTACGACTTCAAAGGCCTACCAGGCGGAGAAGGTGTGTATAAGGCATGGGCATGCTTGGCTTGCCACGGCATAGTGATAACTGAAAATACCACTGCCTTATTACCGAGACTATACCTAACGTCTGGGGCACCCAGACCCGCCCCGGCACCGTATGGTATAAGGGCGGAGGAACTAGAAATCGCAAAGGATAAATTACGGGAGCAACTAGCGAGCAGACTGAGGTTTTAACTCAAAGTTAAGACCAGTTCCTAAGATACCACCTACGACTAATGAGTCATATTGTATGACTTAATGAAACAGCATTGATACTGCTTAGCTTTAACATCTAAGTATACAACAGTGTTTCTAATGAGATTAAAAGGAGGGCTATGTAGAGTTTATTATTAATAGACCTCCTTAATTAGACATTTAGTTAATACCTATTTCTTGTAGATTACCATTCAAGTTATTTAACCCAGACCTATGATATTATCAGTGTTGATCAAGTCGTATGTTAGCACCAAGCAACTGGCAATTACTGACTAATATCTACTTCAATAATTACTAAATAGACTATATGGTCTACAGAGATACCAGTTGGGGTAACATAAGGTAGTTTGAAGTAATTACCTAGGTAGCTACTAGTAGTGGAGATATATGGTAACCGGATCCTTGATAGGATTGAAATCACGGAAGTTATTACTTATCAGTCACATCTTCTCCTTTGGCAGCGACATCCAGAGACCATCACATCTTGCAAACTCCACCTGGTGTTTGTTCTTGACCGTTACGTCTAAACTCATTTTCCGCCCCTCTATTCTGTTAAGAGATGCTGTCACGACGACAGTCTGTGGGGTAGGTAAATGCTTCAGAAACCGCACAGTCATGCTCGCAGTAAAGAATCGGGCGTTATTCAAATTCAAAACGCCTCGTGGCAAACGCCGCCCTTGTGCCTCTTCACGCCCCTGAACTTGATAATTGGTAAAAATGAGGTTTCCCATTGCCTCATCTATCAGGGAGCTGATGAATCCGCCTTGGGCTGTCCCATTATATCCATTCACACCTGGACATAGGTCGAAAATAAGGGGTGCGGAGTTGATGAAAAGTTTTGGGCTAAGTTGTGAGGACGAGCCCAACGAGGCAGAAGGGCTTTCCTCTATATCCAAATCAGAGGAAACCGGGTCTTGGTAGAAGCCGATACAGTGAGGCACGGTGTCGGCATTGTTGAGCGTCTTCCGAAATAATTGGTCTTGAGTTGGAGAGTGACCGGTAGGATCCTCTGGCAATCGAGAGGTGGGGGTAAATGTAATCACACCAGGACGCTCAAGAAGAGCGACGCACCATGGTATTGACTTGAAATGATGCGTCGCCTCGACTAGGGAATAATTCTGCTCCATTTCGTGGTCGCATAGGCGACTTTCTGATAAATACCTAGGTAGCCAGTTCTCTTGGGGGCGGTGAGGAGTAGTGATTATAGGGGCTCAAGGTATTAGTTATGCCAACCTATGTATAAGTGTGGATGATCGAGTGAGTTAGCTCAGTCTTATAACACTAAGAGTAAATGCTGGACTATGTTTTTTTGGGGAACAGTCATTAACAATCTCACATATAGTCACCCATCATAGCACAGTTATTCGCTATTGGGGATTTTCCTGGCTGGCTACTTGTTGATTGTGAGATAGCTTCCCTACCGCCGGAAATCGAACATCGAAGCCCCTTTTGTGAAAGGAAACCGATGTCTCTCAAAATAACTACTGAGGAATCCTATGAAATCATGATGTAGCTGCAATAGCTCGTGAGATTGCGCTGCTTGAAGTAGTCCTCTCGACATGTTGAGTCATTCGTTGACAGTAATGATGCCTCAGAAAGCTAACGATATAATTTAGGTACTTTTGGGCCGGAGGCATTCCGACTGTATCTAAACTCTTCGCCATCACTAAGGTTATTCTTCCAGAATAAGTCTAACCGTCGGAACTAGGGGTGTTACACTATGGTTGTAGTAAGGATCAATTACCTGTACTCATAATAGCGCGAGTTGATTGATGTCGAGGCGTGCGCCGTTGGTGTTTTCCATAAGAACCTAGGAAAAGACATGGAGATCCTATTAATCTTACTACCGTCAATCGTAGAAGGGTAGAAAGATAGCTTGCATTTCGCAGGGGAGCTACTTACAGCCGGTATCTAGTAGGACATAATGTCGCTTATTGACAGTAATAGGGCCCTCTCATGCCCTATATGGGGATGAAGTTAAGAATAATTCTATAGTTAGTGTGTTGAATCTAACCTTCTATTAATAGGCAGCTTTATAATTCGCTAAAAATCGTATGAGTGAAAGATATTGTTGCTGGTGAGGGCAGCGAAAACAAATCGAGAACTGGTGTTACCCATATGGACAAATTTAGGAGTCTGTATGCATGTTGGGGCTATTTGAGGCAGGCTGCACAAGTGCACGATGCAACGGTTGGCTCTACTAGTCAGCTTGCATCTCGATCTAGGATCATGAACCATTTATATTCCTTGACTGTATTATTATCACACCCTCTTTCGAAGAACCGCACTATTACAGTGGGATCAAATCGCCGAGTTGTAACCTTGCTGAGGGGTATTCTTACATCTCCTCTAAGCCACACCGCTATGGACCAACTTGCGGATTACTGCTAAGGGCTCAAGACATTATTTAAGACCTCGCCATGTCGTGGGATATCCAAGATGTCACTTATCAATCTTATTTCCGACATATGGCAAGGTATTTGAACCGCTTTTACGCAGCGCAAGGATGTCTGGCGTCCGCCGCGGTGGGTTCACCCCGATTCCGCAAGAGGACCATGTTAGCGAACAGCAACCACAGCGGAGATGGGCCCCAAAAAGTGATTTTCGCAGTCAGGTGCAACAGGTACTTCGACAAAGCACCATACAGCAAGAAAAGGCTCAAGAAAGCACACGTACCTCGCCCGCTTTTTCAGATACAACACTCACCAATGGTGATTATTTAGACGTACCGCTAAGGCGTCATGAAGCAAAGACCGGAGAATACGTGGAGTATTGTGGTGGATATTATGGCCCTGAAGCTGTAGGCCTATCGCCAATATCAAGTGCTAGGGCTGGTCTCGGGCTGGAAGTTCATTCTAAACCCGTTGCCCCTTACCTTTCTTCTGGGGGACTTTCTGTTGATGATAATTGGCATGGCATAAGCTACTGTGGATCTGAAGGGAGGACCGAGGAAGAAGATAAAAATGAGAAAAGGAACTATAAACCCCTTGTATTAAGAGGGAAATTTTTAGTTGTCCTTTTCTTAACTCTAGCAGCCCTTATTGCGTTAGCTGAACTTGCGATTCAATATCTTCCAAATCATTCAGGGGTTAATCCATTCTCTCAAGAATACGAACACACTAAAAAAATCTACCATCGACTCAATTCTGAAATTAAGACTCATGTTCCTAGAAATCTAGCTCATTTCAAACGCCAGAACGAAACTAGGCCGGTGACAACCATACCTACATTTACTGAAGTTACATCTTATACCATTCCTGAGGCTACATTATCCCCAAGCTCAATATCGCAAATAACAACAGTACCTCCAGTAGGAGGAGGGACGACAACTGAGATATCAACATCACACACGGTACCAATTATAACTCTGCCGTCAGAGCCCCAGCCATCGCTTCCAACATCGACTTCGGAAGTTCCTCTTCCGCCTTTACCATCAACTACCTCTTCATCTAAATCTTTTCCATCGCCTCCCTTTACACTACCTATACCACCAGTTCCACCAGCTCCACCAGCTTCATCATCTACACTAAAGTCCTCGTCATCGGTTACATTACCAGAAACACAGGATCCTACGGGGCCACATGGAAGTTCATCGCCGGGGAATCAGTGGCCGTGGCCTACGTCGAATCATCCAGGCCGTCCAGACCATTCAGGTCAACCTCCAATACTAGATCCGCCTACTTCACAGCCTACAAGTTCCGATGAAACTTCTATGCCTTCTACACCATCATCGTCCTCGCGGCCAACAGCCTCGGGCCCTCCTACTAGCGCCGATTCAACAGAGACAGAACCTACATTGACATTATCCACAGGTCCTGATCCTCCTTGGACAGGCCCTACGACAACGGGAACCACGCAGCCGCCGCCACCGCCGCCACCGCCGACTTCCTCTAGCGTAACTAAACCGAGCCCACCTCTAGCTTCAACCACAGACCTTCCATTTTCGACCTCAACGGGGTCTCCTGGAACCGCAACAGAACCCCTAGGGACTACTACACGTCTGCCAATTAGCTCGTCTAACATACAGTTTTCGAGCACAACTACTTCTAGTACAATTACTACAACTAAAACTACGGGGGAGTCCCCAAGTGATCCGTCAACAGAAACAAAATCCGCGTCTTCTAGCAGCTTGACTAGCGAAAAGACATCCGTCAAAACTAGCACGATGGATAGTAACACCAAGTACACCTCGGGTTCTTTATCTTCAACATATTCCAAATCTCAAGCTGTAACACTATCTCCATCTAGCACGACTACAGGTAACATCCCAACTCGGACATTACAACCACCACCGCCGGTATCTAAAACGACAGAGACTGGATTACCGGAGCCTTTCATAACGATTACTAATATTCCTGATGGGCCGCCACCACCTACGTCTATAACTACAACAATAACGACTTCGACTACTCGAGATGGTGTAACGTTCGTAACTACTTTTGCCAAGGGGATAAAAGCCGCGCTAGATGATTCAGTAACGAAGTATGTTACTACACTTACGGACTCACATGGCAAACCAACTCGAACGGAGACTATCTTGGCACAAGCATCTATGGAAACAGTCGTTTATAAAGATGCTCACGGAAACCCCACCCTCACAGGGACGCAGATCGTGCTTCGCTACCCAAGACAGACGACTCTGACGGACTATCAAGGACGGGCGACATTAACCAAGGATTATTATCTGGGTCTATCTACAGAAGTTTTATACAACGATGCTGGTCATCCAACGGCCACTAAGACATCTATGGTCACAGAGGTCGCTATGCTAACTACCCTTTTTAACGAGAACGGTGTAGCAACCCTGACAAAAACCGAGCTTGTCCCCCTATCTGTGACAACGACGGTTTTTGCAACGCCAACTTCGGAAGTCTCGCCGAATTCCAAAAACCAGAAGGCATTAAGTATTGTCCCTATTTCCAACGGGAAATATTTCTTGGGACTTATGCTTCCTACGTTTATCGCGATTGCTGTGTCGATTCCGATCAGGATGATCGACCAAAATGCAAGGCTTTATCACCCATTCCACGCACTAACGGCAACTCGAGGGGCACTGGCTCGTGACACTCTATGTTTTCAGACCTCAGGTATATGGAACATCAAGGCGCGCTTTCGCTCACTATCAAATGGGGAAAGCCTCCTTACCCTGACCGGGCTTTTGGTATTGGGAAGTGTGGTTATGGTTCCGTTGACTTCCGAATCCGTCCGGATTATCCTAGGTGGTCCGAACTGTGCAGGGTCAAGAGGAGACTCCTCTGTCTGTACCATGGCCCTTGGTGTCAACCCAGTGCCAGCCCAAGTCGCTGTAGCACTCCTCGCCTTTATGACTGTTCTCATCGGGCTAACTGCGGTTGTGCTTCGAAAATGGAAGACGGGATTAAGCTGGAACCCTTGGAGTTTATTCCACATGGGACAGCTCGCGGCGAACAACGAAATTCGCACCTTGATATTGCGGCGTCTGCGTGAAAAAAACGGCCGGGTAACATACGAATATGTAAATAAGGCATTGGCAGGGGTGTCCTTTACTTTGGATTCCTATAGAGACAATGGGGAGCTTAAATATGGGTTACTCATCCCGAATGAGGCACAGTCTTTGAGGGGGAGTGGGAAGTCAGTGGCTTTTGCACGGGGGAAAACTTCTCGGCGGTGGAGGAAAGGTGATCATATGCCCTTTTTTATCCTCACATGGACCGGGAAGCTGCTTTTTCTAGCGTTGTTATGCGGCGTGATAATCGGCTTGATGATTTATACCATTGTGGGGGACGGCCAGAACTACACACAATTTATGACGGGTAGGTGGCGCGTTGTGCGGTTTATGTTCACTACGATCGGCGTCTTGATCTCAATAATATGGGGATCATTCTTCTATGGTGAGTTTAACAAATCATTCCCATCTTTGGATTGTAATGCTAACAAGCTTCATCAGCCGTCGCGTTTCTTAGTCCTCATAAACTACTTCATCAAATCCGACTCTATAACGGAGAAGCCGTATACATGACACCACCAACTAACCCCTTTACCGGCATTTGGTCATCACTGGCACCCGGACGCCGAGACATCTATCTCGGGTTCGTATGTGCTACCTCGATCTTATCCGAGATCCTTCCATTGCTTATAAGTACTGCCTTGGACAAATGTACCGAAAGCTTCTGGGCGCATACGGTTTGTCTCTGGATGGCAGTAGGTATATTAACCACAATGATTTCTGTGGTTGGGTTTTCCTTCTTTGTGACTTGGCCGCATATGCCAATCGATCCCAGCATGATAGCCGGCGAGATGTATTATGCTTTAATGCAATTTGTATCTATGAGTTCGTCGGCGGGATTGATCTTTGGTAAAGCGAGCCCAGGCCTCGTCTAGGATAGTCGTCAGGAGTGATGACTGGTCTAAATACGGAGAAAATCTCCCCCCTATCCTTGGAATAGGACAAGCGATAAAATAATCACAAATATTGACTAATAAGGATTCACATTAGGATTCAGAAATGTGTTCTAAGTAAATATTTCTATGTCTACAGACCTAAAACTCGTGCGATCTCATACGTTTAAAGTATCGCGTATAGTTGTGTACATTCGTACCAGCACTAGGATTTCCTCATCAGTTGTGTCTATCTTGGTGCCTTGCTTGGTGGTACTTGAGGCCCTTTTCAGCACGGTCAATAGCACGCTTAGTGGCCTCATCAAGATCCTCTTCGGGAAGACCCAGGACATCGTTAGCAACGGTTCCATATTTACCCTTGAAGTCGTTACAGGCGTCCCGAAAGGCTCTACTGTAGAGAAGTTGAGGGTAGGCTAGCGTCTCGCCACCAAATAGTCGTTTCCTCGCGTCTTGGAAACGTTTGTCGCTTTCCTCGTATTCAATTTTCCAATCCGACTCTTTAGTCCCTGTAGCATGTAGAACAGCAGCGAACATGTCTTTTTGGCTAAGATAGAATGAAGACACATATACGAACTTGTTCTTGTAACTCGACAAGTTCGGGACCCCATCTTTCTCGGGTTCGATTGGCAAAGAGAGTAGTTTGGCTACGGCTCTGCCTACCTGCGGCCAGGTCTGGATGTGACCTTGTTAGCATGCCATAAACAAGGGGAAAGTTAGTAGGTTATACGCACAGTAGTATTCATCTTGGTTTCGCCATTATCGAAAAACGTCCAAGTCCGCGTCTTCCACTCCATACCGTACGTTTCTTTTCCAAATCCAAGGCTGTACTCGTACCAAAAGCCCGTTACTACACCTATCCATGAACTCTTGCCTAACTCTTCGACTAACTTTCGCGAGGAAAGTTCAATATCCCCTATAAGGACATCTTTTCCCATAACTTCGTCTGCCATGTCGCATCCCCATTCGTTGGGTAATACGAAAGGTACGTTAGCGGCGGCGGCAGCGCGAATGAGTTTTGACTGCGTATCTGGGGCAGCCCTCGTATCCATGGTAATAATAAGTGCATCCTGACCCTTTAACCCATTCACCAATGTTGATTCTCCGTCGTAGTCCACCTTGACAACATTTACCCCTTCAGGGACGGAATTAGCGGCCGAGCTGCTCTTACGTGTGATAGCAGTAATCTCATGCTTCCCTAGCTTCAGAAGCTCTTCCACGATAAATGACCCAACCGTTCCGGTTGCCTATTACGTAGATATGACTGGTTAGTAAAAGTCTAGTACAGTAGATATAGGCCTATAAGAGGTAGACGGCCACTTACTCCAACAATCGCAACCTTCTTAACGTAATTGCTCTGAGACATGATGATTTAGGTTGAATTTTCCCGGGATTATTATATGTTAAGGTAGAAGAAGGAAGTGCTGATTTGGCTTGATGTGATGAGCTTTCGTTGTGTAGATGGAGGTAAAACAAGGAGGCTTTGGTCTAACTTTATATACGTGAGATCAAACACGATTTATTCTAGGTATTCTTCGGTACCGAGCAGAATAGCCTTTTCAATCCACCCTAGGGGCGGTCTCGCTTTCAAGCTCTACGAGTCATTCCTTACTATGTTAGAGTTTCGGATTCAGCGGACTTACCAACTACATCCCTTACCGGGATTAATGGACATAATTTACTGATACTCATATACTACGCATCGGAGTTAATTAATTACTTAATTCGGAATCCTGGCCCGCTTCCTCCCCATCCACTGACGAACTAAAGTAGCCAATGAGACAGTTCTCTTATATGGACATACTAAGGGTGGATCAGGCATTCGGCTTTTACGAGAGCGCGAGAATTACATAAATGATTGCGAGCTTTTACTTTGCTCTTCAATCTTCAATACTTTGGGAGTCAAGCTTATAAATCGGGCCTGCGGGGAGTTGGTTCCTGCTGAAAGGAACGGTATATGAGCAGTGTGGGTGGCTTGGTTGACTAACATAACTGCTTGATAGATTGGGGAATAACAACATAGATATAGGTGCCTAACCTAGGTAGGTATATATATACTTATTTATGTATGTGTGTGTCCTCGCTAAAATGCCTAGGACTGGACCTTGCAGCAGTCACCATAAGGTAGCGATCAAGTACACCACAAATTATACCAACAAACCTATATATACCTTATATGAACCCGTTTAAGTGCTCTTATGACGTATGTAGAGAGTGAGTTGATACCTAAGCTCACTAATAAGTTGTTTTTTCCTTCAGTATCAAGGTATAAGTGGGTTAGGGGTCTATCTACTACATCAATGAGGAGGTATCAGGGGACAATACATATGACATCAATCAAGGGGTATCTGACAAGAGAGAGATTCTTATATATACATTCTAATCTAAGATACAATCTACTGTACCTGGAAGTAGTCCCTTGACTACTCATTTCAACACAGCTCGAGACGCCCTTGGCAATACGTCTTCGGACTCGATTGTTAGACAGGTGCCTATGTTTGGAGCAACAATCAGCTGTTTCCCCGAGCGTTAAATAATAGCAATAGTCGTGCCCCTTACATAGAATCGAGGCACTTGCTACTGATATCCAGGCATGCTTCACTGGTCCTTCCGACGTTCAAGGTGTATTTGCAATGCTGGCTTATCCCACAAAACCCACATCTTCTGGCCCTTAACCCAGTCTCTATCTGCCTCGTTGACTAATGAGAGATCGTAGTTCCAAACGAGCCTCGCCAAAATCAGTCTCATCTCTGCATATGCAAGGCTAGAAATTATTGTTAATATTTTCAGACATGGGTACGCTTTCTTGGCTTGAAAACTTACTTTCTGCCCAGGCAGTTCCGTCCTCCAACGGAAAAGGGTTGGAACGCATCCTTGTGGTCATTTTCAAATCGTGGGTCGCCTAGCCATCGCTCAGGGATGAACGACTCAGGCAAGGTAAAGTTATTTTCGCTGTGGTACATAGACCAATGCCAAATGTCCACGAGAGTCTGTATTGAGAAGTTAGTTCCCAATCGCTTCGATACCAATAGGTCTGATAACTCACGCCCTGGGGAAGATATGTGTCGCAGATTGTAGCACCTCCTTGGTGGATTAGGCGTGGCATGGAAGCGGGTGCCGCAGGATAAACTCTCAAACCCTCGTCAATGACCGCCGTCATGTATTTGAGTTTCTGGACGCTGAGAAGAGTGATTTCAGACTCGCTGCTAAATTCCGACAAGACCTCTTCGCGAAGTTTAGTCTGCACTTCAGGGTATGCACATAGCAAGGACGTTATGCCACATAACCTATAAATTCCGGTCAGCGTACGGCCTCGAAACAAGAGCGGTTACTTACGAGGTTGCGGTCGTCTCGGAACCAGCCACAATCAATACGCTCGCGTTATCCTGCAGTTCTCTGAGAGATAATTTCTAGCGCAAAGGTAAGAATTGGAAACCATCTAAACGGAGAGAATACCCCATACCTGTTTACCATCTGGGCCTGGCGCAATCATAGCGTCCATGAAGTCAGGTCGTTCGGACTGTAAAGCAAGTCGCTTAGCAACTTTGAGCTCAACCAACTCATTGTGCGTTCGGATCTTCTTCGCGGCAAACTTTTGAAGTATCGGGCTAATGGCGGCACTCAGGGTTGGGTAAGCTATTTGCAGTTGCGCCAATACCTGGACCTCCTTGAATTGTTGAAATATCATAGCAACCCAACTGTGATAATCCGAATTTTCCAGGCAGCCAAAGGGCTCCCCAAACGCCAAATCGCCAATAACATCGAATGTCACATAGTTGAACCACTTAACCACGTCAACAGGCTTGCCCTTAAGATGGTGTTCCCTCAATCGATCAAAGAAAAGATCAATGTAAACGCTGATCAGAGATTCTTGCTTGATCATGCTTTGTGCGGAAAACCCATTGGCAAGTACCCGACGAATTCGACTATGGTTCTCGGAATCGGCGGCGATAATGCTATTGGGGACTGCTTGGAAGACGGAAGCCTCCTTCAGATTTTCCGGCTGTCCTGCCTTGCGATGGCCAATCACTTGCCTCCATGCGTCATGATTAAGTAGAGAGACTGACTTGGGCCCCGTACGAACGACATCGCCATACTTTTGATGCAGCTCACGAATCTTTATGTGAGGTGACCCGAAACATTGCGAAAGGCCTTGGGGAATGGGTGAGATCGCCCACAGTATTGGGCCTGGAACCTTGCGAAGAGGACTGAAGAAGAGATTGTATATGACGCTCCACATCATATATCCAACCACCTGTTGCAGATTAGTTTTGACTTTGATTCTTCCACAGTAAGTTAGGGAGTTGGGGGGTTAGGGAGTGGTCTCACAAGACAGGCAAGCAACACTGCAAGGCGCGGCATTGCAGCCTTATCCGTAGATAGCATTAGGGTGTCTGTTATTGCGACCATGATGGTGACAGTTTTCAAAGTTAAACACTCTGTTTTGAAGAGAGTCGAGCAAAAGTATCGTGGCTTGTTGAGAGACTTTATAGGTTGCAACTACAGTTAAAGCGATAGTTGTCTGATTATATCCCTGCCTGCAGTGCGTTGAAACATACCGAGCCTAATTTTGAACCCTGATGCTTAAAAGAGGGTATTAAGCCGAATTTGTCAACTCTATAGAATTTGACCGGGGCTTGTAACGGTACGCATTACTATACAATCAGGTAGTAAATACTTGACGTCCTATATAAATTGTACCTGACACTAAGTATTCAGAATGTATTAACTACCCAAAAAATTCATTATATAGTCTAACGTTTTGATTGGTGCTAGGCATACGACAATACACCTGTCAGTTACCACGTATGTAGGTAGTGTATGGTAAACCATAGCAGCCTCCACTACCCCCATACATACTCCATAAGTAGTTGCCAGGGGATTTCGTATGTAGTGTACATTATGAAAAATACCATAGTTTCTATTCGCCGGTCCTTTATTAATCTCGAATTTGAAGATATTACATAAGTCTCGTATAAGTTGCTAAAATAAGTTACTACGTATTTTTTCACATGAATTTGGCTGCGAGTTACATGCGGGACTTGGATGGCGGGACTTGGATAGGGGGCAGTGGGGGCAGTGGGGGCAGCTATTGTTTACCATACATGGTACTGACGGAGGTGTACAATAGGCATTGATCGTCAATACTATGTAGATATAAGCTTGGCCCGGTAGAACTAATCTCTAGCCCGAAACCGGGCCCGTAGTCGCATAGTGCTAAGTGCCCGAAATTCCGAATGGGTTTTCTAGAGCGGATAATTACGAATCCGGGCGCCCGATAGGTACGGCTTATACCAGTTACCCGGTGTCAGTGTCAAAGCAACCGTGCGCAATAACACGGAATTGGCAGCTATGCACCAACAAATGTTTTGGTTACAAAAGTACCTATCCAACAGGATCTGGATACGTCATACTGTTAGAACCAGCGAGTTCAATGAGTCAATTAATAGCTTAACCTGACCTGACTTATCGAACTTGCCGGTTAGAACGTCATGTTCTGCTGTGCAAATGTAGGAAGTTACTGGTATTATATAGCGTTAAGATATCTTATGTATATGATATATGATTGTGCCCACCAAGGGCTACCTTATCTTAGAATGCTCAGATGCTGACCGATCATGACCTGCACGCCCGTGGAGCCAATGCCCTCTGAGAATTCAATACGATAATTGCAGGGTGCCATTCCGAACATCCCGTTCTAGAGTCCTACGGCGCCTATAGCGCCTATAGCGCCTTTGCCAGAGGGGGCAGAAACTTCTTATACCTGGGAGACAAGGGCTTTTACTGGATCAGTGCCCTTGACGCTGCTCGTATACATCGATTAGAGGTGCGCCGAGGTGACGTTGAAATCCACCCTTATAGTTTTCCAAGGGGGCACACCAACAGCTTCAACAGACAGCGAGCGGTTTGCGGAGGTCTCACGGTACGGGTTGCAATATGTTATTTCAGGTCGGCTTCTGCGCCTAGGGGACCGGTCTAGGTGTGCTTTATAGGGGGACCGAGGCTTCCAGGGATCATGAACTATCTTGTATGTCCACAGGCGTAGATTATGACCTGACCTATCCCGTGCTGAATACTCTTTGGACCCGAACGAACCTGATTCGTAGTGACGTGGTTCATTATACTAGCGCTAGCGGTAGTGCTGTCTTCAGCGTAGGCAGTATACATGGGTATTGCCCACCAGCCTAAGATGTCCATGATAACGACGTTGCAAAATTAACTGGCAATAAAGGTTAACTGGTAATATTATCAAAGACATCTTGACTAGAAAGCGATAAGAAAAGTTTCCAGGCGAACATGGGTACCTATGTATAATAACGACATGATAAGCACTATATAAGATAGCAAGCGATACATAGTAAAAATCTTCTAGGTAAAACCAAAAAAGAAAATAGCGAAATTAACGTATCTATATGTATGTCCCGGAAGAAAGTCTGACCAGACGCTAACGACCTTCAAGCAACAAAACTCTGCGTAGAGCCATGAGCGAGGTTTCCTGAGAAAGACTAGGGAGTAATATACTCCATTGTCTAATCAAATCGAATCATTCAAGTGCATCAATGACCATCTCCGGCTGTCGCTTTCTGATCATTAACTCTACTCCAGGGTCTCTGACAACGGCATATCCAACATCGAATGGCTGAGGAACACAATCGTCCACGAGCTTCCACTCATATTTGAATAGCAGATGACACAGTAGGATCTTGATCTCGTTGGCAGCGAAGAAACGTCCTGGACATGCGTGAAGTCCATACCCGAATCCCATGTGCTCAATGCTTGTGCTTACCAATTGCGCATGGTTCTCTTGGCCTGGTATTTGACGCATTCGTAAGAATCGATAAGCATCGAATCGGAGAGGATCCTCGTAGCAGGTACTGTCTTGCATTTGCAAATTATCCAGCACGAGCTTTTGGCCCTTGCGAATAACAAGTCCATTGGAGAGCGTTATATCCTTGAGTGCGATGCGACGCATAGAAGCTAAGCAAAACATGTTAATTGTTACTCAGCTAATATCAAGCTGGATAATACGTACAGATCAAGAGTGGTTTAAGTCTCTGAGTTTCTTTGATTACACTATCCATCAACTTCAGGTTGAAGAGAGCTGTCTTAGTTGGGCCGTTGGGGCGTATTGCTTCGAGCGCCTCTTTTCGAAGAGGCTCAAAGAGTTCCGGGTGTTGAGCAATTCGTATCATTGTTTCTTTGAGCAGGTCGCTTGTTGTATGAATGGCGGCCATGGATAAACTCATCTGGGGTACCGTCGGATCATAAGCATGCTTGATCACTTGTTCATACCATTCAATTGAATCCTCAAAAATGGGCGCAGGGTCCCCTTTTTTCTGGGCTGACGCCTTCAACTTGCAACGTTCCTCGACGTATGGCCGGAGAACATGTCGGGCTTTGGCAAGGCAGGCGCGAGCATCTTGACATTTTGGGAGAAACCAATGGATCAAAGGATGAAGAGACGCTGGCCAGCCTTCCAATTCTCCTGCACCAGCAAAGGCCGCGGGGGCGTATTGGGAGGAAGCTTGAGTCCACTCTTTGTTACGGCACATCTCCTCGCCGAGGAATACTCTTGAAGTTACGCGAGCAACCATTGAGAGAATATATTCGGATGGTTTGATGGTGATCCAATCTGTGCATGATATTGAGCTTTATAAATTCCTTTACAAGATTGAAGGTGTTGACATTATCCTTACCGTGACAGTCAGACAAAAGCTCAGCAACGACCAGCCCTGCCTCTTGCGATATTGGCCCAGTGAGCTTGCCTATATGAATGATCAGCACGACCTTCCGTATACGTAATGATAGTCAGTCATACCTATGATCTTGTTCAAATATTTGTTCACCAGAGTTGTTGTTTCTTCAGGAAAGGCAAATGGGCCGAATCCAGGGATGTGCGAGTGGCTATCCTATATGAGTTGTCAGTCCCGTCTCGATTGAATGAGGAAAATGGATCATTCAGCCGCTCACTTCCTTATCGACTCCAACAAATACGAGTGCAGGATCACTTCGTACTTCGTTGATGAGGCAGGGAGGCATAACTATCACCTCGCCCTCGGGGCAGATCATTCGATAGGGTTGCTCCGGATACATGGTTCTTCCTTTTTGAAATAGTTTTCGGCAATTGACTTTAAAGTCGGCGATACGTTCTAAGTTTGAAAACTCGAATCGTTTCCTCGGATTTATGATAGGGAGGGAACTTGTTTCTTTAGTGCCGATGGTTGCGCGCAACACAAGCGTGACTAGGATCGTAATGGCGATGCATAGAGCTGTCTGCTCAGCAGAATAATGAGATAGCTTCACCCAGGAAGTCATCTCCAACGCCTCCATGATCGACATTGTCATGGAATACGGGAAATAACTTTGAGGTGCGATGAAAAGTGGGAGGGGCTATTTCGTACACTTTACGATGCAGGGTTGAGATGATGATTTGAGATATCAGAATTGGAAATTCCGTAAATGAACGGGATGACCTTAAACAGGGTGAGTATCTAAATGTTCTACTACGTGAAGTTGAAAAGCCTTTTTATACATGTCTAGAAGTGGAGAGGGAACAAGTCTACTGATTGGTTGTATATACGGGTTACATCATTTATCGTTGGCACTGCAATAATTCGAACGACACATTTCGCAAGAGGAAAAAAGGTAAATCTAAGAATTCGGATGGTGGGAATCGCTGACACTACGTTGAGTATTATTATACTACAGCTTGGACCATCTGTCAAAAATAGCCACGAAGCTAAAGAGTTAGGTTACGCATGCAGCAAATGGCCCACAATGCCTACCACCTAATTACCACCTAATTTCAATGCAACAATCCGGTTCTTGTTAGATCAATCCTGTGTATTGATCTAATTTTTTCTTTTTATTCTTTTTACAAGCACTTATAATATTTTATATTAAGTACTTATTAAGTATTGCTATCCAATCTATGATCGAATTGATAGTTAGGTTATGAGTGACCCTTTCAAAAATTACATTTATAAGAAAACCCCTGCCAAGCCTAGTACGCACTAGCGATGCTTAGCGGCGGCAGTTCACCAAAGTAGTCAAGGCATATAGCTATCCTTAATCAGCTTTATGGACTAAACTTCCCCGCATTCAAGATTCAAGAGCCAATCAACTTAAACCATTTAAACCTCCAAATGTAAAGTATTTAAGAGGTAGGTTCGTATATCTTTACATTAGATACCTACATCCTTATCTTTCAATTTAAATAACTAAGGTTTTTAATTACCTTATGTTCTTTATACTCAAAACTTATATCATCGTATTGCCCATGATATTAGGAAAATAACGGTCCAAGTTGTAATAAGCTAAGTAATTTGTTTTATTCAACTATAAGATGCAGTAAAGTTATGTATAATAATGTAAGGCATTAATAATGCAATTGTATACCGATAATTGCAAGTTGTTCATCCGTGCATATAAAGTAATTCAAACTAGCTAGCATAATGCGACCGGTACCATTGATTTTTTAATGCTATGTGTTGCAAAATAATATGTTTCAAATATAAAAGACATGTATACCATTCAAATGAAGGATGACCTAGTACGTGTGCTACCTCATATGAAGACCCGGGCCAAAAGGTTTGCACATGTTTAACCTAGATCCTTAGCACCGTGTTTAGTACGTCTTTTTACTCAATAATACTGTATACGCTATACGTTAAGCTGAAGGTCGGATAGAGGCCCGTCTACTAAATCTAGGTAGCTCACTATTATATTTATAGCTTAAATAAGACGGTGCAATTTTCTTTTCACCCTTATGTAGTTTTGTTAAGCTTAAATATGTAAGACTTTTAGCCCGGGTCTTCGTATGTATTTGAATATAATATTACTAATTGTGTATTCCGATAGTTTTGATTGGTTAAATAGCAGCAAGGTTTATACACGTGACTTAAAACATAGGTACGTATCATAGCCCGAATAGCAACAATTTTAAAGCTACCTGATTAACGAAAGTCTCATGAAAGATCAGATATGACAACCAAATTCGAGTCAAATACTACTTGTGTATAAACATTTTACCCAACGCAAGTACGTTCTTTCTCTGCTAACAGAGAGTTCGATGAGTCAGTTAATAGCTTAACCTGACTTAGACCTGACCTGGCTTGGGTAGATCGTAAATATTTTTCATCTGTGTATCAATTACATAAACTAAAGATACCTAATACACGTATATATTTTTGATGCCATATGATTGGCGCAATTCCTGTGGCTGTGTCTTTATGAGGGCTCCCAGGTCAAGTCGAGAATAATTCTCCAAAGTCAATATACCTGACCTGACTTGCAGGCGGTGAAGTCTGTATGGTTATTTGGATTGGCTTGACTTATCGAACTCGCTATCTACCAAGGTTTTAGGCTGTCTAACCCAGGTGTTTAGTTACACGAAAGGCCGTAACCTTGTTGGACCTCTTAGGTTTCTGAACGTATCTTGGTTACCAAAGCTTAACATTGAAGATGAGTCTGTAAGTATTCCAGATGAGACATCTATAACAAAATATATGTTCAGTACGTATAGATGAAGACTCTCGTAGCTAGGTTAGAGTTCCTTGCGGAACAAAAATACTGTTTCTGTGCTGTTTGGTTCTACCTCGTGATAGAGTCGAGTAACTGCACGTTGTATATGAAAAGAGCACTGAGGTAAAGCTGAATATTTCAATAACTTGGCACAGTTCGTAGAATGTAAACTACCCACGCCAAGAGGACGAAAAAGAAAGAGCCAAGATATAGTCTATAATAATGGCCATCAAGGTTCTTCCTATATACCAACATTTCACATTATACAGGCGCTTTCGATTCCTTTCCTACAACTTCGAAGATGAACGAAACTTTTTATGAAGTCATAATTGACCACGTTGTTAGCTTGGCAGCAATCCAAACAGTCAATTATCGGCCTAATATCCTTGATTGAAATCTTTAGTTCGTCCTTCTAGCTGGGATAGTTAACATGAGATTGTAGTAATATGAGTCAAGTATCGGATCAGATATGATCTCAGCTCATCATTTCCAGCTTAGAACTATAGTTAACCTTGTTAGATTGAAATCCCGTGCCTGAGTGTCTATATAAGTCATCCATACCTATCGCCTTGTTGATTGAGTTTGTGCACTTATTAGCATCATTAGATTCCTCAGCCAGTGAAACTTCAAGTGCTTTGATAATATGTATAACCTTAACGCAATTCTTACTACTTTTCTCGTCGCTTCGACGGCTGTTACGCAAACATTGCCGCCGTCTCCGACCGCATCTGTAGGGTGTCATCCCCATGATGATCATTGGTGAGGCACTCCATTATTTAATATTCCCCAAAGAAAAATAAAAATAAACTTACTGGAATGCACAGGCATTGCGATGGTCCGGCTTCAAGCACGGCCCTTGTAACTATATCCAGCACTCACAATAACGAAACCCTCGGAACCCTTGCGCCAAGTCCCACGGAGTCTATCGGTTGTGAGCCGTACGGGGACTACTGGCACTGCGATGGGCCTTATGTGGCCGAAACTGCATCGTCTATACAGCCTATAGAGACAGCCGGCGTTGGAAAATTAGGGGCTAGTAGCATTGCAATACTAGGAGGCTTATTCGCAGTTGCAGGAATGGGTTTCCGATAGGCAATGTCGATCGTAAATTGGAATGTGTTAAGCTGGATGATAGTATACTCTTAGTAAAGCTGGAAGACAATCAAGGTTTAGGCTTAGGTACATGATACTTTTGTTACGGCTATATTTGACAACAATATACATCTCGGTACATGATCATGCGTCGTGCATATATCAATGCACCACCACGTTGGGAAAGCCAATTGGGATATACTAAATTTATATTAACTCTATAGTATACGTCATACGTAGTATGTACCAAAACTTCTGCGTTTATACCTGCACAGACACATAGCCTTTAAGATGGCGGATAAATACATGAACATTGGTGTGCCGTGCGCGCGTTTCCATGCACTCAGAACTCGCAAGGTTTCACGACGCCCATCAGGGTTCTTGTTCATTTTTATATGACTAGAAAGAAGAAATTATCTTGTCAAGACTTAAAATAATTAATTCTTCGAGTTTCTACCTAGACCTGCTAAGCAGTAGGAAGAAGGCCAAGGGAAGTTGTGTGGGGATAAAAACGGACTAGAATAGATTTCGTGAGAACGCCAAGTATAACTTCCTAAGTTGTCGAAAAGCCGAAGCACCTTGATGGCCAAAAAGAAACTTCTTCAGCGAAAAAGAACTATTTAAGTGATAATTACACAGATCTTCATTTATATTATGCGGCTCTGCTAATAGGCCTATTTATTCATTCAACACAGCTACGACTCGCCATAAAACCACCCCCTATTTTGGGATTAACCAGAGGCCACGATCGACTTAACTACCACTTGGAAGCAACAATACATACACTTTTGACATTATGAGTTGGTTCCAGAAGCTGTCGGCCGCGCTTCCACTTAACATTCTTACCGCGCTTGACTTTTTTTCCTACGCCGAAGCATCATATATCCCTCTAAGACCTATATCACAGGGTCCAATGACCACACCAGCTCCTATAGTCCCTCGAGCCACTGAAAGTTTTACTGCTGTATCAGAATGTCATATGCACGGCGTTTCAATGTGAGTCATTATGCTGACAGGTTAGTTAGATTAGCTGGCTAACGAGGTATAGATTATGTCTCTATGGTACAACAGAGCTTCAAGTAGTGGTGCCGGCGACAGCCACTAGTGAGATTCCTCCTACATATACAGGCTGTCATACACACGGGGGTGAATCGTATGTTAAACAATAACAATATACTCCTTAGAATATAAATCAATGCTAATAACCCAGATTTTGCCTTGCGCCTAACGGCTCCGATGTTGAAGTCCTCGGTCTTAACAGCGAGGACCCAGCCAATCACTCAGAAGAGGGCGACGCACACAGTGAGAGTGTGGGACAAACTTGTCATTTCCATGCAGGGGTTGAGTAAGTAGGTTCCAACGAAGGTGTTGCCAATTCACGTCTCTAAAGTATGACAGACATTGTGTCGGCAGGTCGAGCGAGAGTAGCGTAGCACTATGCTCCCGACGAGATCGAGACTACAACGTCCCTCTTAGGATTGCACTTCTCTTCGTCATTCTAGTCACGAGCTTCATCGGTAAGCATAACTGTTTAACCCAGTACCTGATGGTAATAAACTCATGGCATTCTATAGGCGTCGCAGGGCCAATATTCCTTAAGCCTATACTGCCACAGAAGTTCCAGCCAGTTTTCCTCATTCTAAAGCAGTTCGGTACCGGAGTTATAATATCAACAGCATTTGTCCATGTGAGTCTCCTGGGTCGATATACTACGTATACTACTAGTCACTAACCTATGTCTAGCTTTTCACGCATGCTGAGCTTATGTTCACCAATGAGTGTCTTGGAGAGCTTAAGTACGAAGCGACAACAGCTGCGATTGTCATGGCCGGAATGTTCTTTGCATTCGTAATAGAGAACGTGAGCCATCGTTTAGCCCAAAGGTTCTGGGCCAGAACTCAGTACAACGGCGAGGTGGTTGGCGTCGCAGTGCTTGAAGCTGGCATAATATTTCACTCGCTTCGTAAGTCATCATTCGTTAACCATCAGTCTTATCCAGCACTAATTTCATTTCTAAGTGATCGGCGTTACTTTGGTGGTTGCAGGGGACAGCTTCTTCGTAACTCTTTTTGTTGTCATCCTCTTCCATCAGATGTTTGAGGGTATAGCTCTCGGTACCCGCATTGCCTCGGTTGGTCATTTTAATAGAGCCGAAGGAGAAAATGCCAATCATGCACAATTAATCATAGATGATACCGCGTCCACACAAGTTCCAATAATAACGGATAACGGAGACTCTCTGCAGGGGAATAAGAATTTGAACTCGTTACCAATATCCCATAAGTTTCTGATGGCTGCCGCCTTTGCTTTGGTTACTCCGGTTGGTATGGCAATTGGTATTGGGGTTCTGAATCAGTTTAATGGTAACGACCCTAGAACACTGATTACTCTGGGGACTCTCAATGCTTTATCAGCCGGTATACTCATATGGGTTGGAGTTGTGGAGATGTGGGCGGGAGATTGGATGTTTGGTGGTGAATTGGCAGATGCAGGGGCTCTAATAACAACTCTTGGAGGATTAGGACTTGTTGCGGGAATGGCTCTAATGGGCTTTTTAGGAAAATGGGCATGAGGATATGAGGATGGTAGCGTCATTATAGATCATAGATTTCATATCGTATAAGATGAGCCAAGACTCTCTATATCTAATGAACGCAATTGAACCACGATCTAGTTCAAGTTTCATTCCTATAGTTACCTGGTATCATTCTGTAATTGAGTTATGGCGCTTCCCTAGTGACGATGTGCGAAAAGACAGTAAGGTAGCCCAAAAAAATAGAGTAAGCAATTGTAAAAATAAATTTCAATAAATTATGAAGAGGTCACGCGGCTCGTATCCATTACTCAGACGAATCTAGGAAGTATTTGCGAGGTAGTATCTTATGGCAGAATAATAATTGTTCTGTGCATAGGTACGGTAGGTAGGTAAGTTTCGGCGGATAATTAGCGAATCGGTTAGCAATCTGATAGATCATTTCGCAAGTATCTTCATTTCTGCATATATGTACCTACATACCTGGTATGTACTACTACGCACATTATCCACGTGGCATTTCATTCTTAGTAGACTTCTCTCTTATGCGGATAGAGTTGGGAAAGGAACATCCCGCCCCTGGCGCGCCGTAGACCCCAGATATCAGTACGTTCGGTATATTGCGCTATTGCACTATTACGCGGGCGAAAAGCGTGCTAGATGTATCCATTCTTATTAATTACCTACCTACCTAGGTACCTAGCTTAGTTTCTAGCTGAACTTGGAAGATTCTTCCTCTCCTCCCGCGTGCGTTGCGTTGTGAGAAGCAACAGTTACAGTAGTCGACTAACGTAAAATACTCGAAAGGTGACCCATCAATAAGCAGTAACTCAGCACATTTCTGTAATATCAAGCCCGATCTTTAATACATACCTCTTAACCCTTACTTACGCTACTATATCGGCTTCAATTTAAACATTCTAAACCAGCCAGACTGCTGTTCTTCAGAATCTCGCTAAAGCTCAATTATATCAGCTGTATTAGGGTATAAGTGGGTAGGGGTATTTACAAGGGTCTACCTACTATATAAAAGGCGCACAACGCCCTCATAAGAGGATAGAAAGCCAGGCGTTACTGGATCAATACAATACACTACTTGGTTTACCTACCCTAGACACTCACTCTGTGTATGATATTAATTAATGGGTATAAAACCTGATAAGTTGGCTCTCCGTCTGGACCATACGCTAGGCTCCGTACCGAATCCTAGGGTTGATCGTATATCCGAGATTGCAGCGAGAAGACTAGACTCTATAAGGGTGCTGGACTCGCGATTATCTTCAGCTCATCCTAGCTTTTCTGTTAATGCGTATGCGAAGCCATTATCCCCAGCTGTATTTATCTATATACTATGTACATGGTGTATATAATACGTAGCCTTTTGTCTGCTACTCTTATATAAATTGGTAAAATGAGTAAAGATGGTAGTATACTTTGAATGTCTTATCTGTACTGTCTTGAAGGATATCGTTATTGGGACCCAAAAATAGGTTTTGCTTCCTCGCGCATCGTAAGGCCACCGATTTATGTGCAACAATACGTCTAATGCAAAATCCGCCAGTTTCCTAGTCTCACTTTGGTCACGCAAAGCTGGCTCTGGTCATAAAAGCAGGAAATCCCGGCGTTCAGTTCTCGTAGACAGCAAGATCTGGAAGATGGGAGGCAAAAATGGTCAATACGCCGAATCCAAAGGATCTGGATCTAGATTCTCGACGAAAGATCTAACCATGTATTATATAATGAGACCCTGGCTTTGGTATTAGCTATAATCGGTTGCAAGATACGATTAACTAAAATGTATTCAGATGGCGATCACACAACCAATCCGCGCCCCTCTCTTATTTGGCTTTGCAGCTCCGCAATGGCGCAATGTAGGTCTTCAAGCTTGTTATCGTCTTGGCACTTTACATTCCTTCCTACTTCGTAAGGATAACCCCTGCTCTCGCCTCATGAACTTCCTATGTGGTTGGTAGGTCCGTCCAATCCAATCATCCAAGATCAGTTTCAAAGGCCAGTATCAAATCACTAGGTTAGAATGTATACCCATGCGTCGTATTATATATTAATAAGGGCAATGCCAACCTTCCCGTTGAACCTACGCATGCTGTAGACTTTTAGCCAGTCTCGCGACCTATTCCTTACACCTAAGGAAAGCATCCGCTCATCATGGGTACGTCCTGACATTCCGTCTATCATTAGTACCGTTAATTGTCTATCTAACACAATCCGTAGCTGAGAATGTTGTCGGTCTCAACGTCCAAAAAGTCGTCGAACCAGACGCAGACCCAGTCCCGGGTATCCGCGATATAGAAAGGCAATATGTACAGGAAAAAGCCGTAACCCAGTCCACCGAGTCTCCCCGCGTCGAGTCGCTGCCCGAATCGCTTGAAGAAGCTGGCCCCGTTATCGACTATGAGGCCTACCCGCCTCCGACCGAAGAGGAACGGAGGACGTTGCGTAAAGTCAACGATTCCATTCCTCTGGCAGCCTGGTCTCTTTGTTTTGTGGAACTGGCCGAACGAGCTTCTTACTATGGCGTCAAAGCTGTTTTTAACAATTATATGTGCGTACCTAACTCTCGCAAAACCTCACGTAACAAGATCCCAACCTAACATTATAACTCTTTACAGGCAGTTTCCTCTACCGGCTGGCGGCCCTGGGACTGGTGCTATTGATAAATCAAAGCCCAATTCCCATGCTGGTGCCCTGAACCTTGGCATTCAAACAGCTTCTGCTCTGGGGCTTCTGTTCACCTTTCTGGCATATATCATTCCTATCTTTGGTGCGTGGCTTGCAGACGTAAAAATCGGCCGTTATAAAGCTATAATGTAAGGAATAACCCCCCATTACCCCCTCTGTTTTCTTATACTAACCCATTTCTATAGCTGGGGTGTCCTTGTGGGAGGTGTTGCTCACATAATTATGGTTGGAGGTGCTGCTCCAGCTTTACTTCAGGTATTATTTCCGATTTCCCTAGCAGTAATTCTTCATCGAGACATATTAACAGGTCTTGTCATAAAAATAGGCTGGCAAGGGCGTGGCTCCTTTCCTTGTTTCTTTCATATTGCTTGCCATCGGGGCTGGCATTTTTAAACCAAATGTTGCCCCGACAGTTATTGACCAGTACTCGTATCAAAAAGAATATACCAAGGTACTTGTAACCGGAGAGAAAGTGCTTGTCGACCCCGAAACGACTGTCAGCCATATTATGCTTATCTTCTACGCCTTTGTCAACGTGGGTGCATTTTTCAGCATCGCCGTGGTCTATGTCGAAAAGTATCACAGCTTCTGGCTTGCTTTCCTCCTACCAGGCATCATATATTTCCTGTTACCGATCCTACTCGCCGTCATGTATAAGCGGACGATCAAGAAGCCACCTCAGGGTTCCGATCTGGCCCGTTTCGTGAAGATCACTGTTTTAGCTTTGAAGAAGAGCAAAGGAAACATCTTCTCGAAAAAGTTTTGGTATAACGTGAAACCTTCAGTGCTAGCAGAGCAGAACATCCATGTTACCTACTCTGAGAAGGACGTGGCTGATAGTGAACGGACATGGACAGCCGTACGGATATTCTGCTACATTCCCATTTGGACTCTTAATAAGGTATGCATGAAAAAAATCTCGTGTTGTTATTTTCGATCCTCCTTTCTAGAATGGTCTCGAAGTACAGTGGCTAACGCTCAGTAGTAAGTGCAGATGACCCTATCATTTCAATTCACTCAAATAAGCCTCAACCTATAGAACAAGGTGAAGATTTTATGATTGTATGATTATAAAGCTGACACACGTGATCGTTTAAGCGGAGGTGTCGGTTCAACGCAAAGTTCGCAAGGCGCCAGCCTAACTGGTAGGTAAACATCTCGTATTGTTATTTTCCTCGAAATATAGTAGCTAACTCTCAGTAGTAAGTGTGATGACCCTATCATTTCGACTCAATCGACAAATGACGCTGGATATTGTAGAATTGTAGTATTGCAAAGCTGACACAAAATGTTTTCGTATATCAGTCTAACGGTGCACCTAATGATCTACTCGGGCACTTCAATCCTTTGGTGATTATTGTCTTTTCGCCATTTATGGCGCAGATAGTATATCCAGCCTTGGAGCGTAGAAAGATCAAAGTTGGCCGTATTACCCGGATGACAATTGGCTTTGTACTTGCTACCATTTCCGGAGGCGAGTATTTCCCCCTATTTACGGATGTGAATAGATGCTAATCCTAAACCCAAAAACAGTATTTGGAGCCGTCGTGCAGTTATACGTCTATAGAACGTCACCTTGTGGCTACTACGCTACCGACTGCGATGGGGTGTCTCCAATCTCAATTTGGTGGCAGATCCCAAACGTTGCCCTAGGTGCTATGTCCGAAATCTTTATCAATGTTACAGCGTACGAGCTCGCGTACGCCCGTGCTCCGGAGAATATGAGGGCAACGGTCGTTGCCCTATTCTTATTCATGACTGCTCTGAGCAGTGCCTTGGGTGAAATTTTAATTCCTGCGATTACAGACCCTACCCTTGTGTGGGCCTGGGCTGCTCCGGCAATAGCACTTGCTGTTCAAACCGTTATCTTCTGGTGGCAACATCGCGGTCTTAACGACGACGCTTTCATGATACACGAGGAGGATTTCCAAGAGTTGACTAGCGAAACCAAAAATTCCGAAAAGGGAGAGAAGTAAGCTGAGTTGGAGGTATTGAAATCCAACCTGGGTTGAAGCTGGTAAATTAGGTGCTTACCTATACATGACATATCTTGCTATAAACCTCAAGATACGTTGAGCCGAATACTAATACAAAGCACTGTGTTTATTGAGGTTCAAAATTCGAACTATGTATGGATGGTAGAATAGGGGCTATATAAGGCTGTATAACCCCATCGAAGAGGTTTAAAGAGAGACTTGTCTTATATTAATACCAAGTAGTAGTACAATCCTAAGTCGGCTACTGCTGAAAGCACTTTAACTAAGAAGATTGTGCCAGGATTATCTAAAGAACGTCATCTCCCGGCGTCCCTAGGCGGAGGATGTCACGTGTAATTACCCGGCACTCTTATAATCATTCCGGCCGGTTGGTCCCACTTTTACGGGCCTCATATCGGTCCTTGATTCGTATCATAAGTCTTGTGAGTCTCGATTTTGAAACATCAATTCAATCAATACACCTTCTTTGATCCATATATTTTATTCAGATCTTCCCTTTCTACTCTTTATGGACTTCATGGCCTGGGAATAGGCTGTTGGGTCGCGGTACCCTATTGGATTGTAACATGACTAATCTTACCTGCTGTCGAGCGGGCAGTTTGTATAAATCATGTCTAGGTACACGGCGTAGAATCCACCGGGACTAGGAGATTAGGGGCTCGAAAATTACCTTCTATAGTCACATGGAATAGACTACTTCATATCACAATCATGGTAGTGCCTTTAAATCTTGACGTTCCAGTTGGCCGGCTTTTGTCTCCGGCTAAAAGAATCCTACCGGCAGTTATATGTATCAAGGATTCTTCACGGCACCTAGGTATTAATCTATAGGTCGAATTGCGGAGTCAGACTGTAATCTAGTTGTTTAGGTATTTAAGAAGCCAGCAGGGCCCGATGCAGCATGTGTCGCCACGTTCACTTTGGAACTTCACGCAAAGCACTTCACCATGTTTTGGAGCTCTCTCATTGTAGGCGCCCTTTTGGGGCAGCATGCCTCTGCACAGAACATGCTTCGTTTTGGCTGCTCACAACTCACCATCGAACGCGCTGATCCTTTGGTCTCTCCTGGTCAAAACCCCGCCCCCCACACACATCAGATCATCGGAGGAAACTCGTTTAATCTTACGGTAGTGTGCATGAACCTGATCGAAGACTGCCGCTAACATGACTCAGATGACACCAGCTCAATACGATCCCCCCAGCTTGTCCACTTGCACGACTTGCACCTACTCAGAGGACTTCAGCAACTATTGGACCGCATCATTGTACTTCAAGTCTCCTGACAATGGTACCTTCCAGCGCGTCCCCCAATTTGCCAACGTTGGCCTCCAGCAGGACGGGGGGATGACGGTGTACTACATGCCTTACAGCGCCAAAAATGGTAAGGTGACGGCATTCAAGCCTGGTTTCCGGATGATCGCAGGAGACCCCATGAACAAACAAAACATATACAAACCCTCCATCTGTCACCGCTGCCTCGGAAATGGCGAGGGCTTCGCTCCCTGCGATAGCAAAGACACAGGCGAGCTCCCAACCAAGTACTGCCCGGGAGGAATCCGTGCTACCGTCATCTTCCCGTCCTGCTGGGATGGAAAGAATCTCGATTCACCAGACCACAAGTCCCACGTTGCCTACTCCAACGGCGGTGGCCTTGGTAGCCCGAACTGCCCTTCTACTCACCCCGTTGCTATTCCTCAGGTTATGTACGAAGTCATGTGGGACACTGGAAGGTATAAGAACACCGCTTGGTACGGAAACGGCAAGCAGCCCTTCGTCTACAGCTTCGGCGACTCGTAAGTCCCCTCTATTAAGTCACCTATGTACGTGTTACTGATGTTGGTGGCAGCATTGGATATGGCCAGCACGGTGATTACCTCTTTGGATGGAAGGATGATTCTTTGCAAAAGGCTATGGATGCTTTACCTACTGGTAATTGCGCCAATGCTAACTGCGGCGTTCTTAAGATTCAATCCGCTGCGGACGCTATGAAGTGCAAGAAGGCTCAACAGGTTGTTGAAGACGTCGGAAAGCCAGGGCAGTGGATCACTGAGCTTCCAGGAGGTGTAGCAGTATATTAATAATCAGGGATGATAAACTACCTAGTGTTATGTTTTGAGGGGTGGCGCTTATATGCGCATTATATATGCTACAGGCGGTGAACCTCCCCTGAAGACTCGAATAAACAGAATCAATATTAACTACCAATAGTTTCTATTCTAGCTGCTATTTCCGTTGCTAACTCTCTCTTGATATCACTGTTGTGCATCATGTCGGTGATGTGCGATTGGGTAATTTAAGTGCTTATACAGGTAGACATGGCCCTGAGTTTCTGACCGTTCAAAATGGAACCCTATACCAACTAAATCAGGAAATTCGGACCCTATGTAATAGCGTGCTCTCTTTTTATTCTCTAACTTAGTTGAGTCCCTTAACCTAGCAACTGTTGGAAGGTGCGATGCTTAAACGCATTAGGTACCTGTTATATAAGATTTTCACCACTGAAGTGGGGTATTAGAATTCCTTTCTAACATAACCAACTGCAACTGTCTGTATTCAATGGCCAATCAAATTTAAGATGATATACTTATTTGGAAGGTGGTTAGGTATTTAGGAGGTACCTTATAGGTGCATATGTTCCTTTAGGTACCCATCTAAGCATTGGCCATGCTGCTACCTACGGCGAGTAACATCTGCTACCTGTACCTATGTATTTGGCCTTGGCAGGTTAGAACGAGCGATATCTTCAAAAGCAAGAATATAAAAGCATTTCTATTTTATTTTATTTTATTTACTTAATCCCCATGGATTGTGCTTCTCTTTTTCTGACATATTGTGAAATTGTTTAATAATTAACTGTCTTCTAGGTAAGGCCACTGAAGTATGAATCGGCTAAAGTCCGGGAAGCTTCTAATTTCATGAGCTCATCTCCATGTTCGCTATTTTCTTACCATTGTTGCTTATCTCCGTCCGTTGATTTTCTTGCCACAGTATTGCTAATATGGACATGTGCATTTTAATGCTGCCATAACAAAATGTCACTTCTTTGGTTATTACCCTACGTAGAAGGTGGAAATGGCTAGAGGCATACCATCTCCATACATTTGCGCTCGATGCGCTCATGTACTACTTGCTCGAAACGCCCAAATCCCCGCGATTAATCAATGGAAAAGATATGCATCCAAGTCTACTCATTCTCCAGCTGGCAGCAGCCCTAGCCACCAATCTAATAATACAGCCGATGAAGAAACTAATCCTGAGCTGGGTCCGATGGCCCGCCGTTTGCAAGAGGCTACGGAGGAGGCGTTGCTCACAGGAGGGAGAGCCGGTCGACGATCAGTGGAAGATGCCGGTTTCTCGGACGAATTAAAAGAACGTCTTTTCGCGAAAGTTAAAGATGCCGAGTTTCGATCCGACTATGCCGCAGCTTTCGCCGAAGCCGACATGCCATCCGCTGCTGGCGTGGGCACCCGTCTCGCAGCAACAAGTCAACCGTGGACGGGTACTGAAGCTACCGAAGATACTGTTTTACGGATGCTCGACGACGCACATAAACATCTAAAGAAAGATTTACGAGGCCATCCAAAATTACCTGACCTCCAACCGATTGACATGCGAATTAGACAGGAACCAAAGATGAAGGCCGGACACAGGGCTGCCAACGCTAGGGATAAGGCTTCTGTATACACAGGTATGGGTATGAAAGAGGCACGAGGAGGCCTCAGCGAGAAAGAGAGGGAGGCAATGAGGAAGGAATTCCGCGATCGCTTTAGACCCGCCGCCCGAGCACTACCGAATACCTTGACAGGACTAGCTTCGTTAGCAAACGAGAGAATCGAAGATGCTATCGCGAGAGGACAGTTCAAGAACATTCCGAGGGGCAAGGGAGTCGAACGAGATACGAGAAGTGATAATCCGTTCATAGATACAACCGAGTACATTATGAACAAGATGATCAAGCGTCAAGAGATAGTACCACCGTGGATTGAGAAGCAGCAGGAATTATCGAAAGCCGCGCACGTGTTCCGGGCTCGGCTGCGGAATGATTGGAGACGTCATGCTTCCCGGATGATTGCGAGTAAAGGCGGCTCACTCGAAGATCAGATGAATCGGGCAAGACAATATGCGAAAGCCGAAGAAGTGCACAATCCACGAAAGCGCAACGTCGAGCAGATAGCGGTACCTACAAATTCGACAGACGACCCAATCATGGCCAAAATGAGACAACAAACATTCTTGGACACGAATCCCGAACCGGCGCCGGAGGCTGCCGTTAGTGTGGCGACAACTCAGGAAATTCCATTGCCACCCTTCCGAGATCCCGACTGGCTAGCTACGGAACAATCTTACATGAACCTTTCCATTAGCCATCTGAACACTCTTACGCGATCTTATAACTTGATGGCGCCTGAACTCGCAAAGAAGCCGTATTTCTCACTCGAACGAGAGTTGAATAACTGCTATGCGGATGTTGCGCCGCAACTTGCAGATGCAATAAAGGACAGAGCCAGTGGCCCGGCGAGAGCTCTATCAGACGGGGTTGGAAATAGTCCTAGTAGTATCTTAGATCGCTTCGGGAAAGGTGGCCATACTGTAAAGGTATACGACTCGAAAGCGCCTCATTACGGATTCAAGGAGATGTGGCGGGATCTCTGGAATCGTCGAGCCAGTTAGAAGTTTTTGTCCATCCCTCTGTATGTAGCATTATGTAGATATAGCCACTTGACTCGTGGCTCGTAGCTTTCTTTGACACATGGTTCACGTGCACAACATCGCATTGTATAGTTCCCCAGCCTATACAAATTCTCGAAAGGCACTTACACGTTTTCGCTCAACCCCGGATTGTTTTCGGAACGTGCTGGATGTGGAGGCTAGATTCGGTATAAGAATCCCTATTACATCAGAACGGGCGAATAAAAGCAATCAATTGGTAGAACCTTTGTCTTCCGGGCGAATAATCCAGAGCCCGTTATTGTTTCATATTTACATATTTACATACTCCCTTTATCCGGACCAAAGGGATTTCGATGCTGCTCGGGCCGAGCCTAGCTTATCAGGAACGGGCCAACGGCGAAGTGTCGTCATAGTCAGCAACTCACTTGGTATAGATGTTTGGGTCCAAATGGTACCATTGAGTTATTCGGATGCCCAAGGAGCGAGGAAGAAGAAGAAGAAAAGAAGAAAAAATTCATTTTGTCTCGATGTTAATTTTGACTTTTCTTTTTTTTCCCCCGGAAATTCACCTCGCCTGCATCACCTGTTATTATCAGCTTGAAAAAGAGAGCTTCCGTAGTGGCACCATTTAAAATTTGTGGGCCTCGGTTTCGGCGGGCGTTCGGCGTTCTCCATTTTCCCCAAGCTTCAAAAATCGTTACTTAATTGTTACTTACACGAGAGTCGCGAACTTTGAACCCTGAGATCATTATAATGAAATTTCCCCAGATTCCCCACTCTCCTCTTCTCATTCCTTTCCTTAATTAACCCTCGTTCCTAATTTTCTATCCTTTTCTTCTAATTCTCTTTTCTGTTCGCTCCCAGTTTCGTAGCCAATCGCGCTTTCGTGCTTGTATCAATAGAATCACTGCTGTGCCCCTCCATCTTCGTTGCTTGCCCCTCCAGATCGCATGTGGCGGGAGCTTCTGAGCTCAGTTTGAGACAAATTTGAGACAACATGGCCTCGCCTGTAGCGTCCGCAGCTCTGAAGGCTCGTGTTAGTCGACCTTCGATGCTAAAGAAGCTATGCCGACCTGAAGATATGCTTCACCATTTCCCCAACGGTGCCTATATTGGTTGGTCGGGGTTCACTGGTGTGGGTTATCCAAAGTACGTAGATTATTATTATTTCTCCTTTCCTCGATGCAGTTCATCTGGCTAAACTCCAATTACAGGAAAATACCCACGTTTTTAGCGGATCATGTCGAGAAGAACAACCTCCAGGGCAAGCTCCGCTACACATTATTCGTCGGCGCGTCGTCAGGAGCCGAAACCGAGAACCGATGGGCTGGACTCGACATGATCGAGAGGCGTAGTCCTCACCAAGTCGGCAAGGCCATTGCAAAAGGCATTAATGAGGGAAGAATCAAATTCTTTGATAAGCATTTATCTATGTTTCCAGTAGATCTAGTATATGTAAGTGATCGTAGGGATTCAACTATATAACGTATCAAGTGCACCTATATCTAACACCACTAGGGATTTTACACCAAGGATAGACCGAACAACAAGTTAGATGTCGTAGTAGTTGAGGCTTCAGAAATCAAAGAAGATGGAAGCATCGTCCCGGGCGCATCAGTTGGCGCAACACCAGAACTCATCCAGCTCGCAGACAAGGTGAGCACTTATACCAACTAATTCCAAGGCAAAGCATTAACCACAATTCGTAATACCAGATTATTATCGAAGTCAACACGTCGATTCCCAGCTTTGATGGACTTCACGACATCACAATGACCGACTTACCCCCTAGAAGAAAGCCTTACCTTATTATGGGCGTTGAAGACCGTATTGGAACTACGTCTATCCCTATCGATCCAGAAAAGGTTGTTGGCGTGATCGAGTCCGATTACCAAGACCAAACGACGCATAACACACCTGCAGATGAAAACTCTCGTGCGATCGCACGCCACCTGATTGAGTTTTTTGAGCACGAAGTTCAACACGGTCGCATGCCCAAGTCTCTCCTCCCCCTGCAATCTGGCATCGGTAATATCGCCAACGCTGTCATCGGCGGCCTCAGCGAGTCCAATTTCTGGAACCTGAAAGTGTGGACTGAGGTTATCCAAGACACCTTCCTCGATCTCTTCGACTCTGGCCGCCTCGATTTCGCTACCGCAACCTCGGTCCGCTTCTCCCCCGAAGGCTTTAAGCGCTTCTACGACAACTGGGAAGCGTACCGCAACAAGTTGCTCCTACGTTCGCAACAGGTTTCCAACTCTCCTGAGATTATCCGTCGGCTGGGTGTAATCGGCATGAACACACCCGTCGAGGTTGACATCTACGCGCACGCCAACAGCACTAACGTGATGGGTAGCCGCATGCTGAACGGGCTAGGCGGTTCGGCTGACTTCTTGCGGTCGTCTAAGTACAGCATCATGCACACACCGTCAACGCGACCATCTAAAACAGATCCGATTGGTGTCAGCTGTATCGTACCGATGTGCACACACGTGGACCAGACCGAGCACGACTTGGATGTGATAGTGACGGAAACCGGTCTCGCAGACGTCCGAGGGTTGAGCCCCCGCGAGCGCGCCCGCGTCATCATCGACAAGTGCGCCCACGAAGATTACCGACCCATCCTCAAGGATTACTTCGAGAAGGCAGAGTTTGAATGCCTCAAGAAGGGCTGGGGCCACGAGCCGCACCTACTTTTCAATGCCTTCGATATGCATAAGGCGTTACTAGAGGAGGGCAGCATGCGAAAGATTAAGAAGTGGTAAGGGATAGATTTTGGACATATAGGGAAAGTCATATGAAGGGAGGCATGCATATTTGGGGTTGCATATTAGGATTTTATACACTAAGGCTACCTCGATTTTGAAACAAGTATATACGCGATTCCATTTGCCGTTGGTGAGTATATTACAATTTTTAGGGTCATGTCGTGGGCTCTGGAAGAAGAAGTTACATAAAACAACAATATAGATACAGAAGTTCCCAAGACCAGTTCAACTTTAGCTTTGGATATATTAACTAGCTAAAAAAAAAAATTCATAATAACATCAATAATTAACATTAAGGTACTCCTGAGTTGCCCCTTTCCCCTATTCCCTCCATCAAGATTAAAGACAAGCATTCAACTGAACAGCAATATTTCGTTCCAGAAGAAGAAAAGAGCCCGTATTTATAGAAGCCCCCTATATGTAAACTGTATTCACGTCCTCGCCAACTTGCGCGCCTTCACAACCGCCATGAACGGATTCTCCAAGAACTGCTCCCAAAACCCCAGGTCCTTCTTAACCACCTCCGCATTCTCATACGGCTCCGTCTCAATCTCTCCCAGACCAACCTTATCCATCATCTCCGTCGACCCAGAGTACGTCGCTTCCCACGACGTGGCCATGATATCGATGGGCGGCACGGTCGCCACCTCGTACCGGAAGAAGACGCCTCCGGGCACGTCCCGCAAGTCCTTATACCTGATGCCGTACTTGCCCTGCGCGGCGCAGGGCGCGTACGGATCGCCGCAGTGTACGCCGACGAAGCGGCCGCCCGGGGCGAGGTAGGCGGCGACGTTGCGCCACATAGCCTCGAGCTCGACGAGGCTAGCCGCGTGGTCCATGACCCAGTTGGCCATGACGAGGTCGTAGGTCTGGCGCAGCGGCAGGTGGGACAGCGGCTTCGCGACGTCGCCTTCGTGCCACCCGATGCTATCGGCGTATTTGGCTCCCGCGCGCTCGGCGGTCCGGCGCCCTGCGTCGAGCATGTCCGGGGATAGGTCGACGACGTCGACGCTAGTGGCGCCCAGGTCGATGACTTGCCGCGCGCGCACGCCGGTTCCACCGCCCAGGTCGAGGACGGTGTAGCCTGTGCAGTCGCCTAGTGCGGATGCTAGTAGTTGCGTCTCCAGGATGCCGTGTGGGAGCGCGGGGTACTCTTCGTTGTAGGCACGCGCATGTTCTTTGTATTCCTGTTTTAACTCTTCTGTGTGTGACATAGTGACTGGCAATTGTAATCTCTGGTGAGGTTCTTCAGACCAAGTCTCGATTCGCAATGTGTATGTATGCTCGATTAATGCAAACAAGGGTTCCCACCATATCTTCTTGGTTGCTCTACGTGATGCTTTTGTATTCCAAGGAAAGCACATTATCTGCTACTCGGTTTTAACGTACATACATCGTACATAATTCCGATTGATTGCCTACATGTCGTATTGAAGATGCAGGGGTCTACTTGGAGTCATGAACTATCACGGCTTTCATTGGTTTTGGATGGACGCCGATAAGCAAATACAACCTCAAACGGCTGCAGCTAAGGACTCAAGCTCCCGTCCAAGCCGGAACAAATGAAGCATATGGTCTAATGCCACTAACACGTACTACTTCATTGCGTTTTTTATACGTCATTCATATACTCCTCCCAATATAGTCAAGTGGGTAATGAAGGTCTCAAAAGCGCAGTTATAGGAAAAACAAGTACACCATTTATAGACGACATTATCTACAATAACGCTCCTGTGTAGTGAGTTCCAGATGACCTTGCCTCATAGAACACACATGCTACCCCCTATAATCAAGACGAACTATCCGTTTGAGGAGTAGAATATGCTTAGTACAATACATCATCATTGTGTTAATAACTGAGAGGCGTACGCCGCATGTACGCAGCACCTCGGGCCCAGCTGTCTCTAATCCTCTACCGTCCATGGAAGCTGGGGGGTTCGTGTGTGCAATCGGTGATTATATAGAGTAATAACCGGCACGTAGCTCGTAGCTAAACGATAACATAAAGGGGCAAGGGACTGTATCAACGCCCATGTATCTCAACTCGATAATTTTCGATCCGTTCCCAGATTTGATCGACTTTCCTCCGATAAATCATCCTCAGCTTAAAACTCTCCCAGAGTTCCATAACCTGGAGGAACTGTCAATTGACTGTCACTTTATATATCCAGAGCGTGATCATGATGAGGCGGATCGACTTATCACCCTGCTTCCACCATCAACTCGGAAGTTTCGAATCTCATATGTATATGAGGGCATATACAAGTCTTTGTATCAGCTTGCCGGAAAGTTGCCGAAGGTCTTTCCACTCCTCGAAGATGCCATAGTCGGCATTGGAGAGAAGACATATCCAAGATACGACTATGGTATCGAGAAACAATAGGCCTTCGTGGTTCTTTTGAGTAATCTGATGTCTGATTCTCGACGAAAATAGACTTATTAGGGCCGGACACTAGAACTATCATTCCAGGGGCGATTCCAGGGTAGAAGTTGGTCTCTATACTTGGAGTAATGGATGTAATCGAAACGAAGAGATGGAAAAGATAATCCTAATTATATTAACTAGACGAAAACATATATTATTACGTAAGCAAGCCCACTAGAATTGTCGTTTGGTCGTTCAACAAAGACTTACATTAAGATACTGAAAATTAAAAAAATCATAAAGTTATATTTATTACGCGGTCATGGCTAAGATGATAACTTGTCAGCGAGCGTGGACTTTTTCACAAAATTATAAGACTAAAATAGCAGCATTTTGCCACTGTACAGCCCCTATAGCTCAGTGGTAGAGCGTTCCACTCGTACCACACGGTCACAGCGTGATCTAGTGAAATTCAAATGGAGAGGTCCATCGTTCAATCCGGTGTGGGGGCACAATATTTTTATTCTTTCCTTAAGAAAGGAACTTCTTTTTTTCTTTGTCATTGGTATTTTAATATTATCTCTCCTCTGTGTATGAACTAATCCTTTCAGACTTTATTTATTAATTTATCATCATCGTAAATAGTGAAAGTTGAGTTGGAAAGTGTTGAATACATCACAGCGAACTTTTGTTTATAGAAAGGTTTATTCAGGGGTTGGTAAACTTATGTTGGAGTATGCATTAATTAAAGGAACTGTAGGTAATCGTTCCAAGTAAGTTTCCCTAAAGTGCCTACTTAATTAATATACGGCTTACTTTCCCATTAGAGTATGCCTCCTGTTCTGCTCGACTTTATAAAACGCACTCCCAGCTAGTTGCCAGGTTTGCATCACCAATGCCGTCCCATCTGCTAACCATAGGATAGGAGCAATACGCTACCATATAGAATATCAGTGCCTCGATCTTGAAGGGGAAAGATACACGGAAAACTTACTTCGTTGTGCCGTGATATTACCCCCGATAAGATCGTTTTCGTACTTTGTACCGACAATTGTTTCCGGTGCCGTCCCATTTTCGACCCAGTTAACCAACGCGATAAGTGCATTATGTGTAGAATCTAGCAGCGTCTTGTCGTACGGATATTTTTGCGCATTCCCTATGCTCCAGGCTCCTAGCCCCCCCGAGCAATGACGCATCCCGGGAAGGAAGAATAGTCGATAGAAGCTATGCATATCTTGTAACGTAAGGTTCAACGTGGCCTGAACCCCAGTGAAGAATTGTTCTGAGAGAGCAGATGTTACAGCCTAAAGTCGCCTGTTAGCATTGATTCGGAAAAGTCAGTTACTTAATAAGTGGTCTATTCATCCTCGAGTCTTCCATAATTACTGAGCCTCACTTACCTCATCATTCCTCCCATGATACGTGATGATCTTACCGCCTCTGTGATAGAAGCTCGACAGGTCTTTCTCAGCAGTATTGATTCGCCCTGGGTTAATGCTTACAGCAAAATCTATGTCCGATTCATTAAAATTCTCCGGTGTCCAATAGGTATTATTGAAAACAGCACCACGCCAGAAATCTTCAATGATCGTATAGCTCAACTTAGCCGTCCCGTTCTCCTGATTCTCAGAGAATACATCGGTCCTAGAGCCTAGTTCGAAGGCTGGATAAACGATTTGACCCGAGGCACTAACAATTGGCTCATACGCTCTACGCACAGATTCCACCTGCTGTGGGCTAAGGCAAAGTGAGGAGTTGAGTAGGTCGGTGCCGCATACCAGGCTCTCAGGATTAAACCGGTGCTTCGTTGGCTCGTCTATAATACCGTCTGTTACTCCATCTAGAGAATCTAATTCTCTGATCTGTGCTTCGACGATGGCTGGCCACTGCTCCGGACGTACATAAGCCGATGAATTCAGATGAGGCCATCCGATGCGTCGTGCTATGATTCCCTTCGAGGCCACAACGCGAAACCAGTCGATACCCGGGCTTCCAAGAAGCATCCCATCGAAGTCCTTGGGATGCAAATGCGCGTTTTGAAACCCTTGATGTCCCCCCGTACTACAGCCCGCGTAATACGTCTTGGTTGCTCTGGCTCCGTAGTACTGATGTGCCAATTCCTTGCTGACCTCTGCTTCGACGTGAATAGATCTGTGGCCGAAATCGTTGATGACCTCAGGTTGGTCTAGGAAAAACTCATATCCTACTGATCCGTTGTGTCCAGAGTTAGTCCCGAAAGATGCAAATCCCAATCCTGCCCCATTTTGCATAGTAGCGTAATCAATACACCCCCCAATGCCACCATTCCCTGTAGCTAATATTCTTCCGTTCCAGGTCTTCGAATCTGGAAGCCAGGCTTCTAGCTGTATCTCGCTCGAGGGAGAAGTTGTGACGGTAAACACGAACCGACAGAGATCGGCTGTGACGTTAGCTTTGAGGTTCGGGCCTCCACAGGACTCTACAGTCCCGGGAAGATCGATAGTTGTTCCATTGAGTAAGTAGTTATACATAAGAATTGTACTATTAGGAACCGGAATTTGGGCGCCGAGTGACGCACATTTGTCTACAGAGCATGCAGCTAAGCGGACAGCAACTCCAAGAAAGACGGCAAAGCTCAAGGTAGGTAGCGACATGGTTGGACTTTTTTAGGTTGTACCTCAGTTAAGTATATTAAGTAAATATCTCCTCGTGTTAGGATGCGGCGAATAAGTGTAGCCTTACTTAGGGGTAGTTATCGTTAGACTTCCCCTCTTGAAACTGCATCTCGCAACTTGGTTGAAATGACACCGGTAATCAGGTAGTCGATGTATTTATTATAGCCACATTGACCTTTAGAGTAACACCAGACATATATTCTCCACTCAGGGGGCAGGAAATAGGGTAAATACCCTAGGTAAACTCCAAAGCCGAATCATACCCCAGGTTCTCCGCATCCTATAGTCCCTGTATCGTATCCATTACCCCACAAAATATTAAGAGTAGATATCTGCCAGTTTCTAATCCTGAAGCGAGCTTCCTTATTAGTGTCCAGTTATTTCCATCCAAGCTACCCTAGTCTATAATACTTATTGATACCCCCCTAGATGCTTTTTTCTTTATTCTCGAGCGACTAGACATAATACACGAATATGTCCTCAGGATAGACTATCGAAGGCAATGATTCCTTTCAGTCTTGTCGGTCATACGATGATAATGAAGAACTCTCTGGAGAGGATCCACCCGGTGATGAATGTTGTTTCTCCTCTCCTTGATAAATACTGTCCGAACTAGTGTCCCACACAAGCCCGGTCCCGTCACAAGCATGACAATCATTAACCCTAGAACATACTTCAGTTAGTGCACTTCCACATTTGAGTTGCTTAGGATATTAACTTACAATCTAGGAGTTCCAAGACACGAAGGGCATGAATGAGGCATACGATGGTCGGGCCCAAATCCGTAGATTATTCTGTCCTCAAGGGCCAAGTTGGAAGCGGTATTTGCCGACTGCGAAGACATCCTGGAAAATATCGATTCAAATTAGGAAGTAACTTTCAATTTTTGTTGAGAGTTGGTATCGAAAGTCTTGCCTGAGTTATCATGGACTCTTAGTATCTTCAGTGTTGTAAGCCCGTGGATGCTCTTTATATAATTTACTCTAGATAGCTCTGTACAAAGTACTTCCTATACCAAGTCGAATTATATAGACTACCTAACCACGGCTTTAAGCCATGCCGTCTTATATGCAGAGAAACAGCCTTAAGAACTCCTAATTGGCAGCGGGTATGACAATAGAGGGTGCATCCTGCAACCACATGAAGGAGAAATTATGCCAACTATTCCCATCACTTCTATGGCGAGTTGATCCAGGGTACCTGAAGCCACCAAAAGTTGTATTACTTCACGTTGGATCACGTTTGCAACCCTTATCGAGCACTGACGGTGCGATCAGCCGCCTTTAACAAGTTGTACGACTCTTATACTTGAGAACCTTGTCCAGTTCCTCAATCTTGCATGTTCCTACTTCTCGTTTTGTATCATCCCTCTACGCCACTGTTACATATTAATAGGAGTCGGGAGGGCTTGTTACCGATACTTCTCCCACGGTCTAATTCTTTCTTTTCGTGTACCAATTCCTAAAGATGTATCCAATAAGCTTATCTATTAGATTGATTCAAGACCAGGTAATATACCATGCTCCCTAGAACCCCTACGGACTATTAGGTCCTCCAAGTTAGACAACTAGCTGCAAGTAACCGCAAGACGGCTGATTGTTTATTGTTTTAGCATCCTGTGCCGACACGCAATATATGCAATACCCGTGGGCAGTGATCATTGGATTATAATGCTTATTGGTTGAAAAACTGCCCGCCCAAAAAAGAAAAGTAATTAAATTCAAATTGTGGCGTTCTGTACTCTCATCTTGCATCAACTACGACTTGCATACACGCAAAGCAACCACTTGGCGTCGGAAACATATTGGCAAACATCTTTCTCCTCTGGATCATGATGACCTCAAATCGATAACCTGGCCCTGATGTGTAATTTCCCGTAACTAACAATCCGATCACACCCCCTGGTTACGATACCTATTGGCTGTATCGCCTATTGTTTGAAACTAGGCAATCTCCGACTCACTATAATCACCAAAGGTATAAGCATGCTGCAACGGGATAACCCGAATAGTTGCACTTCTACTTGCCGCTCTTACTCCGATGAATACCAAGCTTAAATCTAGCTCTACCGACGTGGGAGAAATATTAGCGACAGTGTTTCACTACTAAACTCCTAATAGTATGATTCCATAAGTAGCGCAAGCTTGTACCCATGTAATAGGTTGGGCTAGGTAGATGATAGTATGTCAAGGTGGTGTACCTACCTCGGTAGGAAGTATATAGTAACTCATCAACACTTTCATTTTTGGGCTCAACATGTGGTACATTTGATCATGGAAGGTAGAATTTCGAAAGAATCAAAGCGTATCCTCATTAAGATTTTCTTACCAAATTTGGTACATTATTATAACTCATGCGTTCATAGTTAATATCCCCGAACCCTACCCAAAGACGAGTTATACTGAACATTTCTCAGTAGCCCTAATTGATTCGCGTATCTTCCTAGCAATGCCCTCAGAATCGATGTTTTAGCTTGGCCCTCTTTGCGTGCTTCCCATCTCGACTTGCTCACAAATTTTCAACTTTGGAGCGAATCGTGGTTCAAAACGCGGGAACATAAGCTCGAGAACCGTGATGCTAGACGTGCCCCGTCTATCTTTATATGTTAGTATGTATTACATCTCTATGCGGATCATGGTAATAACCCTCGTCAAACTGATAGAGATCGAACTTACAACGTACTATGCATGAGTATGTTTTATTATAGACTTTTTATTTTTCTTATGAACTCGGGCTTTCGCCTGGACCATTTTAACGCTACCAGCAGCAACGTTGGATATCTTGATAGGTGTAGCAAGCTGGACTTTATAGCTTGACGAAGGACATGGCGAGGCTAGCATACGCAGCCGCCGTGCCCTGTTCCCAAGCCCTAAATTAGCATTGGCATTATCTGATCCGTATCAAATTTTCCTACCTTCACTATCCCTTTCCACTTGGCGTCGACTCTTATCCGTGGCGCGATTGCTCGTGACTTGACGTGGGCGCGCACCATTACGTGCATCATCAGACGGGAGAGCTATCATTGACTTCAAGGTAGACATTCTCGGCGGCATTTTATGGAATTGTTTGGGAACTATTATGCTATAATCCGCCCTAAGAAACAGCTAGAAAAGATAGGTGTCGACTCTAACCCCTTGTATATAGAAAGGGAGAGATTTACAGTATGACAAAGGAACATTAGTATCTCGTGAATATTTAAATAAACACTTCTAGCAAATCAACATATAACTCTACATTCCGATAAGCGCCTATGGAGTACTGTCGTCATCAATTGGTAATCATTCTAATACATTAGGATTGGTCTATGTATGAAGAATAGGGGCATATGAAGAGGTGCATTTGTACCAAATATGATGTCCCTTGGCGTTGCACTGGGTAAAGATTGCGCTCACTGCCCGAAAACAGATCTACACCCATCAAATTAAATAGACCCGCTCTACCATTTATAACTATTAGTCTCAATGCGAAGAGCGTGTATTCGGCCTTTTTCTTTGTTTTTAAAGTTTAAAGCATACATATATATGGACTGTACTTGATAGTGGAATATATGTATGGTTTGGTCGTAATATCCAAGATGTGCACCTAACTACTTCGTATCCCGCCAACAATTGCTGCGCAGTACGTATAATTAGCATAGCCTTTAAAGGTGGAAATGAAGATAGCAGTGCAATACTTGTAGTGTCAGTTGTTTAATTCTTCTTGAAAGGTGCAGTCTTACTCTAATATGCCCAGTAACTCTCGAAACGAAAGAAATGGTTATGAGGATATAATACGGTAAGTCTATAATCGGTAGCTTAGGCGTGAAATGCATTTAACGGGGTTTTTATTAGAAAAGTACAAAATGCCATAGATTCCGTAACTGCAGATCTTATAATATTCGGAGTTTTATTTTGGTGGTAGGATATTAGGCGCCTCTCTTTGCCGACCTGCTACAAAGCCACGGAACGGTCACGGAATGACTGAGCATCCAATCCCCGAACAAAGAGGATCGCGGGCCGAGAATATTGTGTGCATTACGGCACGCAGTAAGCCGGACCCTCGGTGTAATCCTTGCCACCAGGCACCAGCTGGCGAGAAGTGAGATCCCTTGCATTTCTATCAGCTAATAGACTAAGCACGCGATATAATACGTAACTATTTACAAACATCCAAAGCGAGTAGTTTATGCTATGAACACATTGCTTCACCCTGAATAATATTCTCAAATAATACTATCTAGAAGCCATAACAATGAAATTGATTATTTCAGGAGCTACAGGCTTCGTAGCTAATGAAATCATACGACAGGGTTTAAGCAGGACCGAGATTACATCTATCGTGGCCTTAGCTCGCAAGCCAGTATCAGCTCCCGAAAAGCTTCTACCGAACGCAAACCCTTCCAAGCTTAAAAGTGTCGTAATAAAAGACTACGAGCATTATCCCGAAGAAGTCAAAAATGAATTTGCTGGAGCTACTGCCTGCATATGGTAGAGAACCCTTTGATCTTCTTAGCATTGCGGAGATTAGCCATATGTCCGAGTAAGATCGCTAACAGGACCAGGACGGTGGCTATCACACCGTCAAAATCAAAGATGTACGATTTTGAGGAAGTCAAGCGCATCTGTCAGGCATCCACAATCGCAGGTTTTAAGGCCATACATGAGGCTGGTGTCTTAAAGCCGTTTCGATTCCTTTATATGAGCGGTGCAGCAGCGGAACGTGACCCGAAAAAGGCCGTACAGTTTCAGCCACAGTATTCATACATGCGGGTGAGGAAAGACAACTAACCAACTATACGGTTCAAAGCTGATTGAAGGAATATAGGGAGAGACGGAAAACCAAGTTCTTGCATTGGCAGCTGAGCTCGATGGAGTCGAGGCCAGTGTCGCAAAGCCAGGCTATATCACTGCACCTGGCGAATTTATGAAGTCTATTGCCGGCGTTATGATAAAACTTGTTGTTGGTATCCCTAGCATCAGTGTCGTAGACCTTGCAACAGCTATGCTAGATCAGGTCATAAATGGGTTTGAGAAAGACCCGTTGATGCCCGAGGATCTAATCAGGATTGCCAAGGCACATCAGCAAGTTTCCGAATGATAGTTGAACTTGGGGATAAAAGTTCAATACAAGATGTTAATGAGATTACCATACACTCTTCTATTACGGGAGGGATATTAGGAGTAATAGATAGAAGAATTGGATTTTAAGTTCATTATCATCCCCTTTCTTTAACAATACAGGCCTAGATGTATAACCTAGGAGTATCGCATGCTTCCAACTACCATATAAGGTAGTTCGTCAATTCGGGATACACTCCCTCGATTAAGAACTTAAAGTCTTCTTGGATTAAGATGAATACTATCCGCCTAATAGCATCTAGGAACCATTTTCCTATCTCGATAAGTGTTATCAAAAAAGAACGATCTGCCCCAGATTAATACCTACTAATTACCCATTCACAGGGGCAAGGGTCTAGGTACTTCTAGTTCTAGAAGACATACCGCAGCCAAGCCACAGACTTATAAACGTCTCCAAAGAAGAGAGTGCGGGCATGAAGGGTAAGTTTAGAGAGGCGGGCACCTATGTTCTACTATTACCCCTTTAGGCCAAAGCGTCCTCAGGTCTAGATTCCCATGTCGCATTTTAATATCTGCAAAGAGCTTGTAGGGAGGGACCCGAATGGCGATGTCATCATACAATTCTCCCGCTTATTCTTCCGGAGCCGGGAATATCTTTGGCCATGGGAGGTACTGGGGTATTGGCAACGGCACTTCCACTTACACGCCGATTAAAAGGATATACATACATGTTCCTAACGATACTTATTACAGACGAGTGAGGATCTAACGGACACTTCCTGTATCTTGGACTCGACTCTACAACGCATTGATAGACCTATCTACACTTGGAAATAGAAACTTAGGCATGCATTCCTGTCTCTTAGGTGTTGGCATTGCAGTCCTTGGGGCTTTACTGCCTCAAGCTGCCGCCGAATACGAGTGCAACCGGACATATATCCAGTCTTTCGCAGACAGTTATGTCGAGGCACACGAGAATGGACAGCTAAGCAACCTAGAAAATATCGCTGACAATTTCACGTACGTGGAGAACAACAAAACGGCAGAGATCACCAGCGGCATCTTCAATAACGCGCTCAAGATCGCGCACCGCCACACTATCGTCGACACCATCGATTGCTCCTCCTTCACCGAGCTCATCATAACGCACAATGCCTCGGGTGAACCAGCACCCTATGTCATCGGCGCCCAGATCCGCCACAGCCCGGGCGATCTGAGCTGCTACCTCATGGACTTGATCGTGTCTACGACCGGGTCGTGGCTCTTCAACTCCACGAGGACGCTAGAATACGCGTCCAAGGAGAATTGGTCCCTCATTGAAGAGGATAAACGCCCTTCGCGCGAAACCCTCAAAAACGCTGCAGACGCCTACCTGGATATGTGGAGCAACAGCACTGCCGAGGACGCCGTGCCTTGGGGTCAGCCGTGCGATCGACTTGAGGGCAGCGTATACACGGGTAGCGGGCTTCCCACGGATTCGTGCAAAGTTGGGATTCCTTCGAACCATAACCAGGCGCCCAATTCGCACCGCCGCTACGTCATCGATCCAACCTATGGCTCTATCAGCGTATTCTGCATCTTCGAACACCTCAGCAACGCGCCCGACAGTCACGAGTTCCGCCTCGAGAACGGCAAGCTACGGTTCGTCCATACCATCACACTTGCCAACAGTGGTTTCTTCGAGGCGGCAGAGCCTGCGGCGCAGCCGATCGTACGATACAGGAAACGGGGAGGGGCACGTCGAGCCGCAGCAATAGGCTCATCAGATCGTATCTAGGATTCAGATACAGGGATTGCTTTAGGCATCGATATCAGGAATGACAATTGGGTTAGATACCTTAGGTAGATTTAAGATCCTAATTCAAAGCGCGTATATGACAATGATATTTATAGCGTCTACGAGATGGGTTTCCACGGGTTTGGTGAGCCCAAAAATAAAACTTGCATAAATAAGCTGTCAGGTTTATATGATATACGTGATCTACAATAGACACATGCCATTATAGCAAATTTATAAAATCACTCGATACGTCAGTCGAGTAGCTTCGTCATATTATGTATCAATTCATCGCACTATCCTACTCTTACAACCAGCTAAGCTAAGCTACAATATTCGCCGGGGTTCGAAAGCATAAAAACTTTCCAGTATTGCCTAGACGATGTTGGATCGCCTAGGTATGCTTTTTTGTTATCTTCCTTCTTGAATGCTGGCGTACGTATTGGCTGGTAACAAAAATGCGCATAAACTTCCCCGAGACGACAAGATTGGAAACCGAAGGCATTATGATCTTTTTGGCGTTGACAGCCATCAGTATCAGACAGTGGAACGGCTCCATAGTGAAAGGAAACGGTAAAAGAAATCGAAGGAGAGAATGAAGGAGAGGGAATAGTTGAGCCAACAATCCCCTCCTGTCAAAATCTCTCCACTACCTATATTACAGAAATGTTTTGTTGATGCTTTGTCTCAGGAGGGAAAACTCGGGCCTAAGTCGGCATCGAAGAGTGGGGATTTACGGATGTAAAATGTCGGCATAGTGCTGGCATCGATAGTTGAACGTTCGAATATGGCCAAGCTATGATCTGTTGCTTTTGTGTTAGTTAATCTTCCTTTCAAGTACTTGAAATTAGTACTTACTATGGGGTACTTACGAAGTATTAACGACATCTAGAAGCTTGATAGGCTCCTGAAATGGACAAGCTAGGATTGAGATGTGTCCTCCAACCTGTCTTTTTCACCACTTCATGTCGTCAATTTGGATCTAAACGCATTCCGTATGCTGAATATCCGTGAAGTCCTCAGATTGCGGAACGTATCATCCGAACCATGCGTGTACTGTCGTTGTAGTCGGGACTCTCGAACACTTTCTATCTCAAACGCGAAGGATTTAAGTCGGTTAATCATGTAAATCAGCATCCCCTTCCTTGCGATATCTGTATTCCAGCCCGCTGCGAATCGCAATTCCCGAGAACCTGACCAGTAAACTGCCTTCTGCGATTTGGTAGATTGTGATCCCTCGTCATAAATCTTGGCTGCTCGACGACGTAGACAAAATTCATCGCCCAGTACTTGACTGATTATTGGAATCCAAGGTATAGATATCACCTCTCGCATGGAATCTATCTCCATTCCATCTACTACATAGGGAGAGTTAGTAACTGCTTTCTTGAAAGGAGCCCCATGAGTACATACGCTTGGGGTCACTGCATGCCACTCCTGCGATCGACACAATGTGAAAATAATCTCCAATACTGGCTTCCAAGGGAGCTGCCATCGCTTCAGTCCAATGAATAAGCATTCTCAAGGCCTGGATTCGATGCGATAACCTGAAGAATGCAGTGTTGCCGTCTTCTGAAAGTCGGTCAAACGCCATGGTACAGAAAGATCCCTCCCAACCGTAGAGAGCAATAGTGGTCACGTCAAGATATTTCTGCCGAAAAACTCTTTCCACTTCGGCCTTCCAGTCTTTGCAAACCAAGCGTAACAGGCACCAAGCATCCGGCAAGTGTTGCTCTGCCACTAGTTTGACTACCATACGTTGGAGCTCTCGGGGAAGAAAAGGCAATTTCGGTTTGCTGGTATCTACCGATTCCAAAGTCATGGTAGCAACCTCTCGGGGGTCATTCGAAGACATGGTGGTGTGAGTTCAAAGAATCATAAAAATAAACGAAGCCTGCAATCAAACCTCGCAAATAACAAGCTTCTGGAGACAAGGCCAGGGTAATAGAAGGGGTTGATCCGGTCACTTCCCGTCCAAACAAGAAGTTTGGTGGGAAGTTTTGGTAATGTGTGTCTGTGTGTCACTGGTAATGTTTGAAAAGGGAAAGAGGCAGTGGCCAGGTACCATGAAGTAGATGGGATGGGCGGAGCAGACCCGTCTCCTGGACGAATCTATTGTGTTCTATGGTCTGCAAACTCGACAGTTGGGAGTTGTCGCCTTAGCGATGTCCCCGGTTTTTCCACTGGGATGATTTCATTCATAAGGTATCCGCGTGTGATAGCTTATGCTGGTGCGTAAATTTCCAGTGTCAAAGTTGACATTGGTATCCGCTGCCTCATGTACCAGTTTTAGTGACCAAAACAACCCATTTATAATGAATTCATCAGATTCCCTATGTTAAAATAAGAATGGCATAGCTCATACGATACTTTTAGATGGGATATAAGGCCAACTATTATCTCCAGATATTCCATGCGGAACTTATTGAAAGGGTGATTCTTTAATTAAGACTTGACGTCTACGTATTTAACCTAACAGGACAAATAAACTGGAAGAAGCCCTTGACTAAGTTGATTAAGATTTAGGCAGATTGTATAATTTGGTAACCAGATGCCACAAAGAACAAAAAAAAAGCATGGCCCTCCTGGGAATTTCCATCCAAGGCAGTGAGGCCCCTGCGTATATATGGTTGAACTTCTGGCTTGGTAAGAAATGGGTTAAAAAATCGAAAATAAAAAAGCCGTATTATGCTGTTCATGGCTTAGACGATTCACGTATGGTGAAAACATGTAATCCAGTATGAGAGCAGCTAATCTGGTAGAGCAGCTGTCATATCAGGAGTAAAGACTCATTGTAATATTCAACATATTTTAAACCCATTGTGGAAGTGATCTTTTTCTATTCAACCAAGTACTTAATCACCCATGTGTCACATCCAAATACGTTCATTTGGAAGTAATTTGAGAGGTTATTAACATAGGCACTAAGAAGATTGATATAATTTACGTGCAGTTGAAAGATCGCCTTACATATATGGTAGCTTGGCTGATTATGTAATACAGTGAACTAGGTGATCTAGGCTAGCTTTTCAATACAGCTGTTATAAATTTATCTCAAGAGCACTATGAGCTTAGCTATTTCTGTTGTGCCTGCTATGTAGGGCACAGAAGAGACACCAACATTCCTTTACAGAGTAAATCCCCGGAACTGTGCTTAATTTTCATATGAAGAAAACTTGTTGCTCCTTTCGAAGATACTGCAACGATGAAAGCTGAAGAATAACTAGGTCGAGTGGCTCTCAAAGGAATATCTATTACATACTCAATATCGATTAGTCCGCCTTGATCTAAGCATTATCTTATGCCAGTAATGCTTTGAAGCTATCTTGACAATTAATCCAGAGCTTTCTATGCACATATGAAAGGTATGTGAGAAATAGAATAAACATGTTATCACAGGTAATAATTCTAACATACTACTTCTAATCGCTTCAACTGGTGGCATACCTATAAACCTGTGTAAAGACGTTATTATTAAGGATGTAGATCTAGCCTAGTAGCTAGTGAAAATAACGTAGCATTGCAGCTTGGGGCTTAGTTTGAGGCGGGGATTAAGGAACGTTAAATACATACCTACATATATTATGGAACCTTTCAATATCCCTCCTGCCAATTTAGCTATTATAACATTGGTTTAATAATTACGCATTGAACCAATCTTGATGATGGGTAGCATGCCCTTTTATAGTAGAGATAAGCAAGATCGATCAATCTCATATCGTCTTAATAACCGGGGCCGGGACCGGGGCCGGGACCAGATCCGGAGATATCGGGTCATTGGAAGTGAAGTGACACAAGAAGAAATAAGATTGCTCACATCTGGCTTACCCCGAGCCTGGTATTTATTTTGCTTGAAGTCGATAGGCTCCAGCAAGCAGAGTAAATTGTTTGAAGAGCCCCTACATAGTTGTGTAATGTTCCAATAATAAATAAACCCATTTATTAAACTTGTACCTAGGTACCCAGTCCGTGCCTGTGGTCCTAATTTTGTGCAACTTCAAGTTGCATTAACTACCTACCTACCTACTTCTCTAGCTTTATCTACAATGACAGAGAGGATTTGGCAAAGTACTATACTAGTTCCCGTTATCAAGTCTTAATAACACTGCTAATTTAATAATCTCGGATCTGATGATAACTGTATCGTCGGGTATATTTGCATGCGTATGAATGAATTTAGTTAATAGGTATTACATTCATCATCATGCGTCAAGATAAGTAGGTTATTCCAACCACTTCAAAACCTTCAGCCGCTCAATCCATGGCTCTATCACAACTGTAAACACCCGCTCCTAGTGTTTTCAACTATTAAAATGAAGTATATTAAAGATATCACTGTTTAGACTTCAGTGCGCTTCTCTTCGGGAGCTACGGTTGGTACGACATCGCTCGCTGTCTCGTCACTGAATTTAAGATCTTCATTGAGCTCGGTGGTGTCCTTGATTCTCGTGAAAATGATCGGGGCAGCAACTAGGAGAGATCCGGCACAAACACCCCACTGTTTCAACTGTCAGTTACGGATTCATACCTGCATGGGAAAGGAGGGGGGTAAACTCACGGTAGCGGCGAATATGGTGTTATATTCGGTGTGGATGCCATCTAGGCGCCAGAAAATGGCCGCACCAGCGGATTGAAGACCCTTATAAAACCCAGCCATGTTGGCAGTCTTTCGGCCAGAGTTTGAGAGTGCGCCCATGTACCTAAGACAGTGTTAGACTGATATCATATATTTGCATAGTTTAGTTTGAATTTTCAAGGACATACCAGTAGATGCTTGTTTGCCATACGGCATCATACACGCCGTAGAAAATGTAAAGGAACATAGGTGCAAGGAAGTTTCTGTCCGTCCAGTCAATTTTCTGACTATCGGGTACTTTCCCAGACGCCGCCCGGTCAAGCTGGTACTCTTGCCACGCCCAGCCACCACCCCAGATGATAAAGGTGAGGGAGAAAAGCGAAATGAATGAGAGCTTGGCACGCATTGACCGCCGAACTGATTTGATATCAAGAGCGTATCCGACAATAACGGCGCCAAAAATCTGGGCTAGCCAGTAAAGGAGGTTATTCAGTGAGCGGGCGCGAGTGTTAAAATAGGCGAGATTTAGAACGTTCTGCTGGTATGTGTAAAATATGTTGGAAGCGAAGAACATGGGGAATAGAGCAATGACCCAAGGGCTAAGGGAGATACACTCCCAGAGTCCAACGAACTCGCTCTGCCAAGTGGGGTTCTTCATCAAGATAACTTTGGAACCATCATCACGGATAACCTTGTCTCCATTCACCAAGAGAGTGGTAAGACACGCTCCGACAAACATGAGAACAATGAATCCAATGTACGTGCCATCCGTGACAGTACCGGTGTTGTTGCTAACGTTCTGTCCGAGAGGGATCAAACTACCAATAACGGCGCCGAGGTTGAAGATGATCCAAAACCAACTAATGTAGCGGCCTTTAGACTCCTCTGGAGGATAAGCCATCATGATAGTACCTTGCGCAGTCCAGAGCAAACCGGCGCAAAGACCCAAAAGAGCACCGGAGAAGACGACGAAGCCAACATTGCCGGTATGGCTGTAGCACAACAAACTAGCCGAGTAAATGCAGTAACCAATACCACCGATAGTCAAAGTAATCTTTACACCGAGTTTGTTCGCGATGGAGCCGGAAAAGAAAGCGACGACGGCAAAGACGGAGTAAAGAGCAGTGGATGCGTGATCTTGTACAGTCGAATTCACCTGTCCACCACCACCGAGACCTTGAAGCGCATTGTACATTCCAGGGCACATGAAGCAGACGAAAGCCACCATTAGAAGCTGGATCTTTGGTGACGCATACCAGAATTCCTTCTTGCCGATCCGAAATCCTCGATACATCCAACCATCAGGACGCGCTTCGGGGCCGTGCGTACTCGCGGCAAGATCCGAGTGGGATCTTTGAACGGCTTGTGTATCGGCGTCGACCGCCGGCTCTTTCGCGTCTGCCATTTTTAGGATTGGTCGAATGGTCAGTTTCCCCTAGCGATTCGAAGAAAGCTCTCTAGCGTAGACCTGTAAGCATCCAGTGTTAGCTTATCACAATGATCGCTAACGCTGAGTTATTCTTGAAGTAAAGCACAATAGGGGATTAAATGGCTCCTATAACATATCATATAAGCGCAAAGTGTGAACATACCCTCGAATATTATTAATCGCCGTGGCGGCTAAATTATATTGACCGTTGAGCTGGCAGGAGATGGGAAAAAGTAAGAGTTGCGCTGAAGCGGAAAGGGCGTAGACAATATAGCGAAATAAATATTGTACTAGAATAGATGGGTACTGGGGTACATGTCTGTATAATGTAGGTAGGTATCCACCCTGGTAAGATAAGGCGATGTTAGATTAATACGATATGCGGCACGTGTGGTATACTTCCACTATTATGCATGCATGCGGGAAAGAAGGGTCAGAAAAATGTACCTGCACCTACCTAACCTAGTGGTGATCGGATGGTACCAGTTACGATCTACTTGGGAAGTTTGTGGTTGGCGGTTTTGGTATTGGCATGTATGTATGGTAGCACCAACTTTCAACCCCGAATAAACCCTCAGCCCCGAAAACTCGTTATGGCTCGTGAATGTTGCTCGGAATGATGGTTACGTGACACGCCCAGCCCGATTACCCCTCGTATATCTTTAGGAGCTATACTTATGTCGCACAAGACGAGACGAAGAACATTGAAGTGTTAGTTATGTATGTAGGTACCTGGGTCATGTCACTCCACTAATAACCCTAGTGTTCTTAAAGTTCTGGGGATTTTTGGGGCACCGAGAGACGCTAAGTTGTTTGTGGTTTGACTAAATGGTCAGATTGCAGACAATCCTTCGCGAGTTCCGTTCCTTCAGAAAAAAAAAAAAAGAATACGCGCTAGAGAGCTAAGCTTATCTACCTACCTAGGTACAATACCTACTACTGAATTCGTACGATATTTTGTTTCATACTTCGTGTTCTTGGGTAGGAATGTCGTGTTATCCTCAATTGCCTCCAGAAATAGAATGCGGTTGGCTTCGTAAAGTCCAATTAAGCTATGGGATCTTCTTCCATCTTCCCAATTTGCGGGAAGGCCCTTAGCTAAACCATCATGCTCTAAAAAAGAAAACATTTGTAAAAAGACAAGGACATGGAAGACAGACTAATAAGATGGCCGATAAGAAGAAAGATAACAGCGGGCCGAATATGGAGATCACAGACCAGCTCTGATTGGACCCAAAAAGTCGCAAGTCACGAGACAGGCCCGCTACGAATGGTTATTGGATCGCCATCATTGGCCAAGTGGCGTAGCGATCTCTGGGGAAGGAAGCTGTACATTTGTGTGTATCTACCTACGCTAATAAGTAAAGTATACCTCCTGGAGAACAGGATTTCAATTAAACCTGAGCACCTAAGGATACCGCCTAAGATAGCCCCCCCCTATTCGTCAGCCAGTCTACGTCTTGTAATATGTAACGTTGCCCAAATTTGGCTTTTTCTCTTGTGCTAACGGGCAGAGACACTACCAACCGACTTTCACAAGAGACATACATCTCCTGTAAGACCGAGGACACCACTAGAAAATGATACTGCCATTATCCGAAAATTATTGGTCCTATCTCGATTGGTGTCCTAAGCGGTTGGCTGACTGGTACTGCTGCTACGATGCATATCATCCTATGCCAATCCTCTGGGTAATGTTACAGGAGATAACAATACTCATAGCAACATCTTCGACTAATGCAATTTTTAACTACCTAAACTAGACCCCAATAAGTATAAACTATACTCTTAGACATAACCACAATTCGTATCAGCGGAGGGGATGTGTTGCTCCTACGTGCAACACCGATTTTGCAATTGCGTTTCACACGTAGTACATGAATTTCGAGACAAGTTACCATGCAACGGCTTTCTTGCACGACATAGTCATCCGAGCGCGCGAGGTTACATTGGACAATTCAGCAGGTCAGCAACATTAAGCCACGGTCATACATCCGTCGTTCTAGAACGATGCTTTGCGTAGTCGCAACAGCCCTCGCTTGTAGATAATTCCTGTCTTAGATACCTAATGAAGCTCCGTAGCGGTGTTAGAAACGCGGGGAGCAAAAAGAAATTGGAAAGGGAACAACCAAATCAGAATTCAAATTTCATATGCAGATATGCAGGGATGGCATTCAGAGATACCATGTCCGCACGCCTGTTTTGGACAAATGTTGGAGCAGAAGGATACTCCATACCCAGGCGTTCGATGTTGGTGGTTTATTACTATAATTAACATCGTACCATCCGTATCTAGTGGTGTACCCAGGCCCATCAGATACGACGCCAAGTGTTGAAATGTCAGCCCTAGTGAGTCAACTTTTCGAAACCACGCTCAAAACCACGTGGTTATATCATAGTTTTGACTTTGGCTCCGTTGCTACTCTACAGAAGCCAACCAGGTATGAGCTGTCCTAGTAATGTATTATAAAATATATATTTACTAGACTCTTATGAATGTTCACTATCAGACTCATATGTTAAAGCTATATAAGCGCATACCGAGGCATATAACTGTGCCACTTAGGCAGTCATTGTTTATTGATCATATGTCAAGGAGTGGTATCAACACGACAAGGATGCCTAGATAATAACCAACCCAACGCTTAACTAGGCAGTTCCACGCCAGGGTGCGAACAAATGAAATACATAGAAACTCGCAAATTAAAAATAGATCAGAACCAATCTTCCCAGTGCAATCGAATTGAATACAACATCCAAGCGGTGTCTTGCCAAAGCCAATATCTTAGCAAAATCGCTCGACGACTTGCGCGAGTTGATCTTGAATATTACAAGATCGGGATTGATTTGGATTTGGATTTAACTGGAGCAGTTCGTGATCAGCGAGTTTCTATCGCTAGCCAAACGAATTGCGAGACAGGCAAACACAATTTACTCTTTGAAACGAGCTATACTTAACCTTATGATTGTTCTTACAGTCCGGCTGAATCGCAAACGTTAGTAGGTAAAGAGGTGAATTTCCTAGATCATAATAGATAGGCCTACAAGGCATCGAAACAACTTGGGTATTACGCAAGAAACTCTAAACCAAGCCATGGGAGCCCATAGCTATACGCGCCGAATTTATCTTATCCTTTGGGTGTCTCATCTTGAGTCCTAACAATAATTATGTAGCATTCGCTTTATGAGTCGACTTACTGATGGTAGGCATCGTTTTTTTTTCTGAAAGTTACCTATGTGGGTATCTACTCATGACTACAGTCCAACGAAGAAGTTCATATATGAATGAACACTGAATTTAATACAGCTTCAAGCCAAAGTTGAAACTTTTACAGTCTCGCTTGAAACCCTCGCTGAATCATAGGAGCAAGGCGAAGTACATGTATAGTATTGAGAGTAGTAGCACAGGTAGACTTTTTATACTGCTAAACTTCCGTTCTCGTGGAAGTATATGAAATGAATAAGGTGATAAATATCGTAACTTTCTTAATGGGATCCTAGCAATTTTTATGAACAATAGATAATTTGGCATTATAACTACTAGTATGATTAGCTTATCCGTAAGCCCTATGAGAGTACAAATTATTGGTACTTTGTAGCTGTTCGAGTCAATTGTGGTTTGTGGGTTGATAGTTGAAGTGACTGATAACAGCCTTGTATGTACTGTGTCTGCTCGGTGCCTTAGTGTAGACAAAAGGAAGAGGAACTGGTAGTCGTGAGGTGTCTAGGAGCTGCCTCGTTAGGCCTTGCCTGTTGAATATGACGATTTAAGATATCTCATTATATACTACGACAACACCGGATAAGTTATAAACGGGACTGGTATAAGGCCAGGCAAATGAATCATATCGATTTTTATTAGCGACGAGCTACAGATATGGCAAGGCTTGCGTGGCTAAAATGCGCCGTGCTATATTAAGTTGACGATTCGATACATAACCAAACCTTATAGCTGGCTTCAGGTTCCATCTCTAAGCAGATCCAAAGCAAATTCACAGCGGACAGTATTTTTATGCGTCGACTAATATGATTATCTCCCGAGCGTAGAAAGCTACGGTAGTACATACTCTCACACTTCATATCAAGTACCTGTATCTGATACAATAAGTTTTCCCCCTTCGTGTAACTGGTGGGCATTGGAAATATCGTGTCATCCCTCAATATCCTGATCACGCATAACATCCATGTTTATGCCCAAATGCTTTTCCCCGTCCTGTGAATGCTGATCGAATGTATACCAAACTCCATCCACCATTTTTCCAAATGATTGCAGATGAACAATTGAGTGTCAACTCATGGGCCAAGTCCTTGAGGATTGGTGGTCAGTTGATGGGTATACGACCGGACCAATATATGTGCCAACAATAGAAGTTACAGGACTATCCCTTGTTCCCCTGCCTGCAAACGCCAGTACCTGACATGATACATCCCAAATGCTTCATAATTGGGCTGGATAGTAAAAAAAAAAAAAAGGAAAAAGAAACAACAAGGGGTATCAATGGATGAGATAAAAAAAAAAGTTGACGGAAAAAGTAGTAACGAGTGAGGGTATGCGGCGGTAATGATGATCAATGTTACGAGTAGGTGTCATTACGTAGAAATCGTCGCATTATTGTGGCGATCTCTTGAAATCCAGCCAAACAAATCTGCCCTTTGACCTGCTGGTGTAGCGGCTGGGCCATCAGTTGGGGTTCTCAAGAAGGTTTCTCGGGGTTCAAGCAGTAAACTCTTTCGGTAATAGCTGACTTGGACATTGCCTTGGTCGGTCTCTTTTACACGAGTAACTTGCGCTTGAATCCATTCCTGCATGTCCGGAACCTCTGTCAGCTTATAGGGAATTTGGAACCGCTGTAGCTCCCCGATGATCTTCGCAGTTCGGGTGTGCTTGTCAAAATTGATAACTGTTAAGCCGTTTTCGTTTGGACCTGAGCCAGGAAGTTGTTTTGTAGCAGGGTTTCCAATATCGACAAACGTAAGATCGGTAAGGAACATGCCGAGAAACGGGAGGCATGGGGGGACATGGCCCTGAAGACGAGCTCGAAGCACCTTATTGTTGTTGGATGGTTCAACAATAGCTTGCATGGTTTTTAACATTTCGCGTCGCTTTGGGCTCACGAGGTCCCAAGTCTTTCTCAAGCGACTGATAATAGAGTTGTTCAGACTGCAAACAATGGACATGAGGCCATCATAGTTATTCAGTTCCAGGCACTGATGGGCAATCTTGATCCACTGTTTGATGACCACGGCACGCTTCTTAACTTCTGGATATTGAAGAATAGTGTCCGCCACGAGATTTGACAAGTCGGTCGAGAAGCTCGACATCGCCTTTACGTTAGGCGATGATGCACCGTTCTTCTTCATCCATTGGGAACCTAGTAGCTCTTCTGGCAAGATTGAGCAGAAGATGCTCATTTGTTTGAGAGTTAGCTGCCGAGCAATTTCGAGAGGTTCAAAATCAAGAAACGAGGGGCAACTGCCCCCTGACTTCCAGTTATTGAGGAGATTCTGTTGGCTTTTAGATATGGCAGGATTGGGCATCGGTGTGTCGATAGGGACGTATTGAGAGGTGGAGGTGCTCGTCTTCGCCATAGAGGACACCAGACGTGGTACCAGCGAACCATCTGTGGACGAAACTCGCTGCGAGAGTTCCAGGATTCGTTTACCTACGCCTGGAGAAGCAAGTGACCCAAGTTTGAACTCTGCAAAATTCTGAATAAGCGGTAACGCTTCGTGATCGATAGAATCGCGCCAGTGCGATTCCAGCCACCCCTTTAAGACATTGCAGATGCGTAATCTTACAGGGCCTGCTGCGTTGGGATTCTCACCCACGTAATCGAAGCGCTCAATGAGTGCTTCTACCAGCTTGCTAGGCGTGCAGAACAGCCGGAAGGTGAGGTAAAAGGTGGATACAAACATAGCGTCAGGCGTCGCTTCGTGGGTTGTAAGACGCTCGACTAAAGCAGCAAGCGAGCCACCAGTGATTTGTCCCTCCTTGTTAAACATTAGCTCATGAGCAAATGTTTTCTCTAGTAATTTTGACTCAAGCTCCTCGACCTCCTCGCCTATGCTGGAACTGCCTGCTGTACTTAAGTCTGACAAGGACGGTTGAGCCTTTGGTACAAGTGTAATATCAGGTGTAGTGGCACGTGTGGAAATATCGGACACCATGCTCGATTCCGAGTCACGGCTTAGATATGTGTTGTTACTTCCAGAACTGGAAGCGGTGCCCGTATCAGATCGGAAAGAATTCTGATACTCGACGTCTTGCGAAATTTCTGTCGTAGGGCTATACGGTTCATTTGGCGGAATGGCAGTCGTAAGCCTTGGTAGAGAGGGGGGTGAAGGTCGAATAGAGGAGACAGAGGACGCCATGCTCGATGCTGTATCATCTATAATCATCGATTGCGGCCTTGACGCAGGCGAGGAGATTCGCTCGGGGGTTTCTCGCCCTTGCGTATTTTCAACAGGGACCTCAGGGAGTGGCTTGTCGATCGATAACTGAGTCGAACGATTAGGCCTAGATGACGACTCAGGTGTCTTGGTTTCTGAAATTGTTGATTCGGTTGGCGTTCGCGGCTGGCTCTCGGATACAGCTTCAAAAACACCCAGGTCAATGCCCAATTTTTCGTTCTCGACTTCGAATTCGAAATCGCCTATTCTTTCCAAAACCCATTTGGTTTTGGCCACACATTCGCCAGCTGCCTTGACGCACCCAGTAGCGGCTGAGAGAAGCCGACTGTTATCTTGTGGCATAATGACATCCTCGCCGTCGGGTCCCCGGTTACCTAGAATCTCACGGGCAAGGTAGACCAAATCTCTGATACGATCGTACATGGCTACACGCGACTGTCCCAACGTCTCCGAAACGGATATGTTGTGATCACATATCGCATCTACCACTGAGAAAAGCACTCCGCCTGAGATTACTGAATGCTTAATAGCAAGGGCGAGTTCCGGTCGGGATTGAGATTGGACGTGCAATCGACCAATGAAAGATCCAAGATACGATAAAAACGTATCATGGCAGGAATTTAGCCGCACTGAAACAAGATTTTGGGGATGCGATAATGGAGAAGGACCGGCTAGAGACACTCTGTGTGATATAGTAGCCGATAATCGATTTCCGTGTGACGTACTGAGTTGAGACATCCGATTACTTGCTACATTAGCAGACGAGTAAACACTAGATGATAATCGTTTGTTGGTGGATCCAGTTGTTTGTGCGTCGTCGGCTGCCGGTGGTGCTAACCCTTTAGTGGTCACTGCATCGACAGCTGTTCGGGAAGATGCAGCTTCGTCTCTCCGGTCGCCCTCAAACTCCGTCGACTCCAAAGGTGGCGTTGGTGGCACGAATGACTCCTCGACAACGGTTGCCATGACTGTTACTGCAGGTGCACGTAACCGTCTATCGTCTTCAACCAAGTCCAAAAATCGAACGCCTTTGACCACTATTTTGAATGCCTTCAGGATCATCTCGTCAATAATGTCGTTTACATCGTCGATATATCGCGGTAACCCTCTTAATGTTTCTTGGAGTCGTTTGGCGATTTTCACTAAACATGATAGCTCGGATAGCAACGACTTCCTACCACGACGTAAGATTTCGCTCCTCTGTATTGTAGCTGACTCCCGAGTCAAACAATGTGTGTGTTCCTGGGACACGATTAGCTACTTGTAACCAGAACAATCCCACACAAATCTTTTAGCTTACCAATAGATAGCGCACGCCCGCAATAATGCCTTTCATAAATTCCTGGTTGCTAAAGATGTCCCGATCGTTCGTCGCTGTGCTCCTTAGCAAGTCCCAGAAATTCAATAACGCATTGAGTAAATTCCTCATCTCCTCGGGGTCGTACGCTTCGCAGTAGTTCGTTGGTAACCATCCCCTCGCACCGGATATCAACAATGTCCCATCGGCCCACCCATTAGTGTGAATAGAGTGGACTAAGACCACGTCGCCTTCGTTCAAGGGTAGTGTAACGGTTGAGTCTGACATAGCATATGTGGGATGGAACGGATAAAAGGCTCGAAGGAAGTTATGAAAGATAGGGTTTGATGGTGTGGGTTGGGGGACTAACTCCTCCTGCGAATCATTGGGAGTCGAAGGCGGAGTTATTTGGGACTGAGAGTAGGGATGTGTGGATGCTGTTGGTTCACCTTCCTGTGGGTTCACTGCTGCTTCATCGTAGCGGCTCTTGTTAATTGCGAGCGGAGCCACTTGTAGGCTCGCTCGCATAGGTTGGTCATCCAGCATCATGATTGCTGTAAAACTGCGCTGTAGAAAATCATGGGACCAATTTTTGCTGTTACTTTTGCAACAGCCAATAGTTAGAGGAGATACCCAGACTCCTCACGACGTAGGTGCTTAAGCGGACGTGCACCACGTCTTAATTCTTCTCTGAGAGTCTCGAGACTCGAAGGCTTTCTGATACCATAAATAATTGTGTCTGGAATAGGCGATTCTAGAAAGTTCGATGCGAGGTTATTGCGAGAACTCTAGTTGTTCAGGTTGAAGAGGCGTTGTGGAATAACCAGAAGAACCTGGGAGAGAAATAGAAAATTTGTTAGTACGCGACCATTTGTTGTTTGCAATTGCTACGAAGGAGAAAATCCGAGAACCTGATGGAATGAAGGGAGACAAAGTAGAAAAAAAACCATCAGGTTTCTGGACAGGAGGGGTCCAAGATAGGAATGTTGAAGCTATCTACCTAGGAGGTAGCCTAGCTTAAACAATTCCGGGGTATGTGTTTGACGCAAAGTCTCAGACCCAATTGCTTTGCTTATGACGACTCTTTCTATTTGACATGTAGCATACCATAGTAGGCAGTAAAGAAGATCGTTTCCTCCGTCCCACCATACGCGATAGGAAATCGGAAGAGAACTATGCCCGTATGCGTACCTCGTGGGTTTTGATGCACCAACCCGGGAAGCGCAAAACCAATATTCTCGATTCCCTTCCTTAAAAGCTCGAATAAAATATCCAGGAAAATAACAAAAGAAATAGAAATTTACCTTTTCACAATCCTCAATTAGTATACCCAACAGAAGAGGGGCGCTGAGTGCTTTAATCCAAGCTTCTCGAAAGGTGTAACGAGATAATTGAGATAGTCGATGTCAATAACTGCGATTGCCGAAAAATGGTTCCACCAGTTCGCGGGTAAGTCCAATACCGTGTCGACACTTTTACCCTCGAATCGATCGTCCTATCAATTGCAAGCTTTCCTTTAATTCCAAACTTATTCCGAGTCCATAACCAAGTCCGAGAATAGTGAGAAATATTGGAGATGGATATTCGTGGCCGACTAGTATCGAGAGCGCTTAGGGAATCAACACATCAAATGAGGATGTGAAAGATAGACGATAGACAGATGAGTATGAGAGGGTGAAAGCGTCGTATTGTACTCAGACCCGTCTGATCACTTAGGTTGCGTCCTGTGCCGTCGTAAATACTCGACCTACAAAGTCAAACTGAGCTTGAGCTTGAGCTTGTGTAAGTGGATGAAGGAGATGGTAGGACAAAATGCAGATGCAGATGCGGCAAGATAGGTTGGGGAGATGCACGAGAAAAACAGATACCAATGCGCTCCTGCACGTCCTACTACCTAGCAACTATTATCTTAATTATCCACGTTATTGGACCTGCTTGTTGCAACCCCCCATGCAGCTATGCCTAACAAAGACTCGGCAACATTTTTATTAGGCATGATGGACCTACGAGCCGGGAATACATATGTACCTAACGTATCTCCAAGAAGGGGGGGGTAGGTAAGGAGGGCAACCAGGGGTATGTTCGGGAACTGCGACCTTGACTGACAAGCTTTCGGTGGGTCCTGTGTCACTACCTATTGGTGGCTTCTGCTCGAGCTTTTGGTTAGGAACCTTAGGCTACTAATTTGACACCCAGCATGGGTTAGGTGCAGTGGGTACCTGCTATGTCGTACAGGGATACTTTACAGGGTCTCCGGGGCTTCCTCAGGTATGTATAGATACACAGGTACTCAATCAGATAATGCGGTATGCACCTTCTGTAGATACGTGCAGTACAGTCAGGCATACTGTAAGTTCACAGGGTAGGTACGAGAGACGATTCCCAGCTTAAGGCCAGTTACAAAGTTGGAAAGACGCGTCTTATTAATCCTTATAATAATCCAAAGCTCTGTTCGCCGATCTCAAGACCCATTTCTAACCATTTCTAAGGACTCTAGCCGCTTGATAGTGATTGCAGTTGCAGCTCTGGTTTCTTATTCGCGTATTCTTTCGTCTGGCGCCAAGCGGCAATATCAGCAGACAACCATCTCAACACCATCCGCAGGCCATTATACGATGCAATATTCGAACCTAAACGCACATATTGGTACATAGCTTCTATAGGACCTTCGGGGCGTACGAAAAGGCGTACCTCGCCTAGGAGGAACACGACTCAGCTACTATAGATCTTGAAGAAGATTCGTTGGGACGTGGCCAATAGACGAAGAACCTACGGAAAATATGGAGAAAGGCGTTAGATGGGCTTAGACTATTGATTATCGCGATCTAGACGTTCATAGAGGTATACATATGACACGTTATAAGGCTTATTTAAACTACCGTTGATCATGCAATGTGGTTGATGATTCAATAAACTGTTAGGCTCGTCGGTTGTATTTCTCACTATCCAATATCCAATTACCAGGTATAGTACAATAAGGATTACATTAGTTGGTGCGAGTTGCACGTAAATTGTAATAATAACTAGCACTAGTATCGATGATGGCTTCAGATCTATGTATGTGCGTATGTATGGAGTCGGGGGGTTTTCTGTTAGTGTACCACGCAGGCAAGAAATTTGGGCCATTTTATGTTGTAATCAACATAACTAGCGGATCGTACCGACCTTTATAGAGTATCGAGATGGTCGATCCCGGTGAGCCACTTGGAGCTAGTCCACGGGAAAATAGAATCTTAGGTGAGAGTAGGAATTAGGAATGGAACGGCGAATTTTAAGAGAAATGGTCTGTTAAAACTGGCGCATCCCGGGCATATTGCACTTCTTACAGGTATTAGGTAATGGCATAACATTGTTTTCATACATTTGAGTATTGTCATTCACGAGGACATGCGTTTATTGAAGATGCTTACCATAGAGGTACACCTACCTACATAGTACCCGGTTCAACACAGATCGCGTAGGTATATCAAGAGTCGTATCGAACAGTTATGTTGGCTGTTTACATGAACCTACCTACCTACCTTATACGATTGGGTTAGGCATCCGTAAAATAAAGAAATCATCGTGTTGTATTAAGGTACGTATGTAAGTCACGCAACGCTGCTCCCGAGTGCGACTATCTCCAATAATCGTACATTCAATGTTGATAATCACACCATCTACTGGCTATGTACATATAACTGCTACACCAATAGAAAACCAAACCAGCTCATGCCGTGTCACTTTACAGGTGGCCATCAACGCAGTTGCTTTGGCATCTTATTATGTATCGTCTACATTCCATCACCTTTCGCCTTTCTCCCCACGCGGCCATTGAAGTTCAGGCACATATGGTAAGCCTCGAAAATATAATAAACTGTTCAATAGTATCGCTTCCGGACATACGCGGCGTGAGTTTCGTATATGTCGATTATACGCTTTACCAATGAGCTCCTTGATAGATTTCCGGTTACGACAAAGGTAATTTACTCCGATATCTAACTTACGAACCATACTCTGTATGGCTCTCCAGACCCTCACCGTCTTAGCCATACGATTTTTGCGAGCCTTCTAATTAGCTATGAGCCTCCGGTGGCTTGCATTATCACCACCCTCTCCGAACGACGGCCCCATATACCTCATTCAGCGGCGGCACTATCGCCTCGAGAACTTCGAGATATCGTCACAGAATCTGATATGCGACATACATAGGTATCCAGCCGCTTCTGACACGGTCTAGTTGTATTGGTGAATTCGTAGTACTTGACTGCGTTCAGCTGCGGAATTATTGCTTTAACGATAACACTACATAGGTACCACGCAATTAACTGGCTGCCTTACGAATAGTGTCGTCTTCGCAATGCCACGCGAGCCACACCATGTAAAGCATGCCAGGCATTAGGGAATCCATACCGTATCCATGAGGGATTGGTACTGTCGGCCGCAAGGGACGGCAACGTATGTCACAGTTCCGGGATTCCTCCTAACGACGTCAGGGTCCTACATACAACATCACAAGCATAAACCCACAAAGCTTGTAGTCCTCCGTACAAGCTTTTGCCATTGTTCCCGCGCAGGCCAAGCTTGGAAATCGCCAAAAATGTCCGCTCTTCCGGATCTTTGACAATAATAGATTATGCACAAAAAAAAAAAAAAAAAAAACCCGGCCGATTTACTCGGCTCACCTACTTCCGAGTTCGATATACCTTAAGTCTAAGGTTAGAGAACTAGCAATCATCATAGTACGAAATGTTCAATTGACGATAGTAGTAGTACTTCTTTCTCCAAGCTCGTATCTATATTCACGTCGCAAATTTGAAGTTGTCTTATGTCTCAACCGGAAGCACACCTAATGAGTGAGCCGACCGAGACCTATCTATGCCAAGGAGGAAAAAGAAGAAAAACTCCTACCGGCTATAACTTCCAGTCCGCATAGAAGGCCGTGTCCAATGTAGATACCGTCAAATGGTACCCCCGTGGTTGCAAGTAGTCAGCCCCGGCGAATAACATACATAGGATTTCTCTACCTAGCGTTAAGCCACGCTGCGGAGTTTGCAGTAGTCACACGAGCCCGTTGGATCGTATGGATGCAGGAACCAAGAAAGGCATCAGCCAAGACTTTAAAGCATTGGCCACATTACCATGTGAGAACGTGGGTGCCGAAGGAATTAAATTTGTGATTACGAGCGGCCATCTCATTTCCTTGTTGAGATGCCAATCTGGGGAGTAGAGCCGAGAAGCCCTGGTGTCGTCACGAATCTTAAACCTCGCACATAGGTTATGTATTCTGCACAGAATACCAAGACACGCGTTTCGTGTATGTATGTATGTATGTATTTATCTATGTATCCAGTAGATAGCGCGCGACAACAACGTCACATTACATATGTACTTATGCCCCAGTAGAGACATTGATACGGCTTTGAACTAGGAAACAAAGATCATTCATCTCGAAGTAGAGAAGCACTTCCTCTAGTTAGATACTCTCTATTCCGGCGTCATATGCGAATACCTACCTATGTATTCTCCGATTCCTTACCCAGATAAGAGGTATCTAGGTAGCTTATTAGGCGACGCTGACGTTGTGCCAGTGCAATCCCAGGGACCGATCCAACAACCTGTGTGGATTAAGATTGAGAAGCCCCATGCTGTAAGCTCCGCTTCCAGAACTATGTAAGCTTCTAGATTCTGTACATTGTCAATAACCTTACGGAGGGTTGCTAAAGACTATATTCAATATAATAGCTATTGTGCTACTATAACATTAAAGAAACAAAGCGAACTTTGCAGCATTTTGAGGATAGTTAAAGGATATCGAACAAGACGCTTTCGATTCATCATTAGGTCGGCCTCGGCATGTCTGTGCGTTTCTCATCCTT